GAGCCCACCAAATAATGTTTCGCGTTTTAAACCGTTAAGTGTTCACTGAACAATATACATATTTACGTGCAGTGTATCGCTCTACAGCCTACATTTATAGGAGACCGCAGGCTAACTGATGAAATTATCTACAGTTGAATTTTCTGCGCGTACATCACAGTTTGTATATTTGTCTTGGCGAATATTTTAAAGGCCGCTCGTAAATAGTAATGCGATCGGTAATTAAACGTTGACGCGTACATTACACTTCCGAGGCCGAGATATCTGAATATTGGGTTGATCGTGCTAATGGCCTGGAATAGTTTTATCGACACGTCCAAACCTGCGGTGATCATAGAATATTCGCTTTTCGATTGAATTCATTGCCTTAAGAAACTAAACTTTTACGCTATGACCGCCTCTGTAGCTAAATGATTAAACACGTTCCCTAGCAGTGCGTTAAGCGTGATACTGCCTGTGTTCGAATCCCAGGGAAATAATAGATTGTTTCAGTCATGCAGGATACAGACGTCTGATTAATTACATGCCTGTAAATAAAACCGATTAGGGAAACGGACACAGAAATGTGTTCGCCCCATGCCCCGCGGGGGGAAACGGGATTTCACTGTGGTGGAATAATGTTGTGATAAGCATGTGGCGTGGTATCAAGGATGTGAAATAGGTACGGTGAATTATACGCAATTTAATCACGAAACATTGTATAAAATCGACCAAATGACGTCATCCGCGAAATTAGTGACGACATTATCTTTGTGAGATTGTTATAAAATATCAGATACCTAGTTCATTATTAATTAAATTATGTCTTTGTGAATTTGTGTTTTAGTTTATGTTAGTTTTTTGATGTTCACTTGGTAGCAGAAATACCGTAGTACAACGTCCAAACAAAATGCGCTGGCAACTTTGGCTTTGGATATTAGGAAATCCACAGACCGAAACCAACGGCTGTGGACTGTGGACGGCTGTTCATGGCCCGGGCGGGATTTTGATATTCTTACCCATTTAATATCCAGACTTTCAAACGAAGTCTAACTGTATGTATCAGACAAAAATCATTGCTTTGAAAAATGTTGAAGCCGGTGGGGATCGAACCTGCGACCCTTTGATTAGCCAGTCATTACTACCATTAGACCAACGAGCTTGACATAGATAGTTATTTCAGGTTACTAATTACCGCACCGAGCGAGGTGTGGCCTCAGTGTAAGCAGGGCGCAATACTCGTTTCCGTTATCGCGAACACTACACGCTCCCAGTTCAATATTCAAAATCACTTTTGTTACGCCCTTTTTTTAAATTTTTATATCAATATTACTCGATGTTTCTAACGCTTTTCAGCGATTGTGCACGAGTCGGACTTTTACCTTTTTACTCGTTGAGTTTCCTAACATCCAAATCTGTCAATCAAATTAAAGAAATTTAATCTGTCCATTTGCGTAAGTTCACTTTTAGGATTTCTATCAAGTTAGCATGAAATTAGGTTTTTACTAGATGAATTTCAGGTTGTTTTGTTAGGTTAATAAATTATCCAGTGTCTTAAAGTGTTTTAGTGTAAATCAATGTAAACTTTGTAAAAAAATCGCGATTTCATGTAAATTGTGAGTTTGTTTACAAAAAATGTCAAGTAAGAAAAAATACACTAGTGTTGTATTTTAATTAAATTGAAAATACATAATTATAATGTAAGCTAAACACCCACATAATACACAAAAAGTTTAACAAAAACACAATTAAAAAACTATAGACATTAAATCAATGTCTAAATATATTTATTCGTGTGTATGACCTTTTCGAAGCAGTGTACATAGGCTTATCTACTGAAGTAAATTATTTTTTACCTTAAAGCTTTGGAAAGTCCCTGGGGCCGTTAAGCGTCCTCCATTGCAAAGACATTAGGGAAAATTGGAAAGCTCAAATTGGTATCAAGTACTTAAAGCTTCAGGCTTCAGCAGAACTTAGGAATAAATTTTAAGTACTGCGACGACTGTGACGTAAGAGGCAAAAGAATTACACAGTATTGGAGTGAAAAATCTAAGTACTAAATATCTATTCTATCATTCGCCTTTGAATCTAAGTGAAATAATTAGCTTAAATTTACCATATGTACTTATATATACATTTGAAACCATCCCGGGTGTGGAAAACACAATATTTTGGACATGTTATTTTACACGATAGCATTATATAAATTAAACATCTTTTTAGATTGAGCTGCTGTGTCCTACTAAAACTAAAAGGTAGGACACAGTAGCTAAATTGGTTAGAGCAGCTGCACGGAACACTGCGAAGGCCGCTTCAAGTCCCGCTCGTGTCGAACATTTTTTTTATTTGCAAACATTATTTATTACTTCAACATAAACTATACTCTGCAAATGAATCGTAATCGATATCAAAACAATCGATTGAATCGTTTTCGATAGGTAATCGATTGATTGAGAACACGTAACCAGTGGGCGCAGCACTCAATCAATCAGACAGAACTTCTCTTCTAATTAATGATCTATATTCGATCCCATCCCAACGTTCCCAGCATGAATCTCGCGCAGGCTATGATTAATAGTTGGTATGTAATTTACGCTCAATTTCATGCCTTGTTTATCGTCTAGTAATGTCTGTTGCGTAGCAACGATGTTATGCATTTTACAACAAAAGGGAATTGTGTTTCGTCCTCATCCAAGTAGAATAAGGCAATGTTTGAAAGAGAGGTAGCTAAAATATCTGACTTGTGTAGTGATGGGCTTATAACTTTACGTCTATTCGATTTTACTAAAGAATGACCGGCTATTCTCAATGGTAAAAGAAATCCAAGCAACCAGAACGAAAAACCTGTCTTACTTCACTCTGTAGCTTGGTGGGCTTCGGTACATATAAATGATTTTATACAAAGACTCATGACAAATTCAATTTTAACAATTTGAATATAAATAAGAATTCATATAAACTCTAGTCCAACAATAGTTATACTCTTCGTCCAAGCGTCCCAAAACTTAGGTCGACACACCCGGCCGTGTTCCGGGAACGAGATAAAAGTATCCTTGATCGCATTTAACGAGCGTGTAGAGCTTTGAGCAGACGGGCCGGATTTTAGGGCCCGGCATAATCAAGGCCCCCCCCCCCCCCACGCTTAAGGGGACTCAGCCCTACCTACGTACAAGTCTACACAATACAACCACCTATACACGACAACCCTAGCCTTGCACTAAACCGCATATACGGTCGCAACGCAAACAGAACCTTAACTTGTAAAACAGTAGATTGTTTTAATCAAGACCAAACGATTGGATACCCAAACAGTTCAAAATCGACCTTACTACAACCAGTTACAGCACACAATCGCGCGACATATATTGTAGTTCAGCGCAACGTGCATTCGATAGGGAATCACGTAAATATTGAAAATAACTCTTATGGCGTCCGCATAAAATCCAATTCACTCCGGCAAGTAACGCTTTACACCACGTGTTTACGCAAAAGTTAGTGGCATAGATACACCGAACTCTTACTTGGTGCACATGTTGTAAACTATTAAAGTTTCCAATGTGTAAACTGCTTTATTAGTTAAAATAGAGAAGTATTTCTATGAACTTGAAACTATGAAAGAATGAAAATAGAAAGTTTTAATTTAAGATATGGCCAAACGATGCTTCAAGTGAGATTAGTTATTAAATCTTAATCTCTTTATTGTCTGATAAATTTATTATTTGATTTTTATTATTGTCTTATGAAAAGCAAATACCACGAAAAGAGTAGATACAACTATTCCACATACTAAGAATATATATCATCTAACACCCTTATATACGTACAAAAGAAGGACATAACATAATATATGTATAAATAAAGAAACAAGGTCATTAATTGCCAAATCTGAACATGAAGGTCTATTACACTATCGTGGACAGAATTTGTAACTCAACAAAGCAAGGTTTTCCAATGTAGTAGTTTCAATGGCCACTCTATTAATAGGTGTCATAGACGGCAATGTCTATGTATGTCTTAAACATTGTATTGTGATGACAATGAAGTAATTTTTTCTTTTAAGACAGTTGGCTAACATACCAACATTTGTTGTAATCTTATGTAAAAGAAAATTTTAATCTGTGGACCTTACTGTTATTTCTTACAATAGAGACTCAAATTTCACCACAGATAAGCTGTGAAAGAATTATAGATTTGTGAAAACTGTGAATTTATTTGAACGCTTTGTTTTATATATAACTAGTTACTTGTTTCTGTGTTGTTTTCATGTAATACTTCCTGTTACCAGGCAATAATATATACAAAAAGATATAATACTTCAAATCATATTTATAATTGATTTGGCAAGTATATTTTCCATTATTTTTTCTATGCATTAAATGTTCCTTTAATTTTTATATGTATACTCATTAATACGATTGTATTAATAAATCTTCCAGGGATAACAATGTCTGCTTTTTTAAAACTTGTGGATTTTTTAATATCACACTCATTAAATCAATTTAAGATGTAACATTAAGATTCTGGCACAACTGTTCTAATATATTTAACGGGTTGCAATGGCAACATTGATAAAACACAATATGATTAACAGTGTCCATTATTTGTATTGTTTGCAAGATATTTATTTTTTTGCAAATAATTATTATAATTTAATATTCTCACTTACCAAGCTAACCATGAAATTAATGATGTTTAAGTACAATAATAACATAATATTTATTTCAAATATTTGATCAAGTTTCTGAAGACTAAGTCTTTTCATAGACCTACTTAATTTAATAATTATAAATATAAATAAATCAATGTGAAAATCAATAAGATAGTAAACAATGACTACATTTAAAATAGTTAACTGCTTCCTGCAAAGCAAACTTCATTTGAAACTTTGTGACTTTATGTAGCACGTTAATTTAAGTAGGTACACGTATTTTGTATTGGCTCATTTAAGTATACAGTGCCAGCGTTTGTCTTGTTTACAGCTATACAAGCTGAAAAACATAAAAATAACACGAGCAACTCACCATACTACTCCGAAAGCGCCGTAGCCTATGGGCCTGTCTGGTTGCACGTCGGTCGGAATGGCCGGCGTTTGGTAGTAGGGCGCCGCCGCCGCCAGGATGGCGCCCTGGGGCGCACTCTGCGTACCGCCCTGCATCAGCGACATGGACACACTCATGGAGACGCGAGAGTGCCGCGCTGGGCCGCTTACTGCCGCCATCCAACCGCTCGCCGTCACCGCAAACACCGCATCACACGCTTACTCTAAACCTGACACGACTCCGATCAAGCTCTTCCAGGTTGACACTCGACGCTGTTACCGGTTACTTCTATATTATTCATGCTAGAACGACTATGCGGGATCACTGATTACAATTAACACTGCACGAACGAACCGACACCTGTCAATTTCACCAGTTATACGTGCGATTTGGCGAGTTAGCGCTGCGTTTCGATAGGGCGAGCTATTCTTGTTACATAAAGTTATTATTTAGGACAAAGGATAACACGGTGATTGTTTCTGACGGATTCACGCGGACGTCAGCACGCTACGCGAATCGAGCGAGACTGTTGTATCAAGGGTGGGCGGGGGGCAGGGGTCGAGTTGAAGCGCGGTGGCCTGTGTGTGAGGGAAATAGAAGACAACAATGGCGGCGTCGCAATGAACAGCTGCTTTCTATGTTGCCAGTTTCTGCATTTCTACCTGAGTAAGATAATGTTTTACTTCGCCGAATCGTAGTTGTCCAAACTGACGTATATGTATTAAATAATGAAATTTCATAATATGTAATAATTAGATTCATTGTTATTTAATAATTTATAGAATCAAATAGCAGGTAAACGCAGTAGCTGCAATTTGCTATGGTATACTCGCCTCTGATGAGGAATCAATCCAACATAAACAAATATAACGTTGTAAAATGAATAAAAGATGGAATATGCGTTCAACGCGCCTAATGTTTACTCTCTGATAAATATTAAATTTACCTCTTTAAAAGACTACGATGACACGACTTGTCAGAACGCAATAACTTTTAAACATTCGCAAATGTCTTATACGTTTTTAATTTAAAGATTTCGATTTTATCTCTCTGAGGGATAAGCATTTTAAACTGGACCTAGGAATGCAGACGTCAGACTTGGAAACTCCGTAGAAAAAAGTACACACACGATAGCACGCCCACACACACGCACGATATAATATGACGATAAACAATTTTATTATTATTTTACTATAACTTTTAATTAACTAGAAGCTCTACTTTTATTACTTTTCTTTTGAAGGCTGACACCGGTACCAAAAGACATCTCTTATCTACTGATTGTAATTTCTAAAATATTGATGTATGTTAACAACTCTTAGACTCACTTTTACACATTTGAATACTTTACAATACCTATATTACTAGGGGCTGTCTCTGTTCTTGTACTTCTTCTATGCTTCACAGTTAATACAGCTACTTTTAATTTCGGCAAAAGAACATTTTAAATATTATAATCGTTTACGAAAATGTTCGCTACTCATCATTTTTTTTATTTATAACATTTAACTGAGAGTCGATACTTAATTGTTCCTCGATTATTATCTCCTAACGAAACCTTTTCGTGATACGTACGGCGATACGTCACGAATCACATCCATTTTTTAAGGCCGAACAGCTCGATTATTTTAATAAAATGGCCGCGAAAGCCAGCCTTTTTAAATTATATACGTTTAGAATTTAATCTTAGCTTTCGGGACTTTGTGTCCTATGTCACTTGCAACCCCGGCAGTTTCATCTTGCAGCGCTATATTTCTTACTTATTCCGTTAGGCTTTTTTTAATTTTGAAATTTCGCTTACGTTTTTATAAGTTCCGAAATTTTGTAGGTTACATATTATTATAACGAATAAACTTTTTTGACTGCATTTTCAAGTGAAGTGCTTGCATTTTTTTCATTATTAGGCAAATTTAGAAATTAGGCAGAGAAGGTCCTACTAGGTGTACTAATACATACTAGTGCCTACGCTTAAAAGGCAAGTAAAAAAAAATATAGGTGTGACGGTTAATAAAAAACAAAATTAATAAATATTAATCATTTTATCACAGAGAATCACATTGTGTTATACAACATTTACGTGGCTAGTACAAAATATACCTTACAACGATCCACAAAGATATAATAGTCACTATTTTAAATACCTTAAATAAACATCGAAATATACCTACAAAATACATTCTTTGTGTTTAACAACGTGCCTTTTTAGAAGGAGAATTATAAATATACCTTTTAATTACAATTATGTAAGAGGAAGAAAGCTTTGCAACATATTCTGTCAAAAACTCAATAGTTCGTTATCATTTATTCCTGCAATGACTGCTTGCCTAAATAAAAACAATGAAATTATAGATGCAACTAAGAAAGAAAGAAGATACACAAAAAAAATAAATGTGAAGCACGTTGTTAACATTATATGGCTTGGTTGGATTGCACTCAGTATAACAAATGAAATTCATAAAATATACGATTTCTAAGACATTACAAAACACTACACTAGATACATAAGGTATAGTTTATGTAGATATGAGATAAAATTATTTACATATACACTAAAAAGTTGGGAAGATTGATTTGTGCATATGATGTTAGGAATAAAAAAACAAGGGACAGTGAAAAATACTTTTTTGAATCGAAAGAGAATTTTAACTTAACAATTTATTTAAGATGACAGGAAGATGATTTGATTTTACTGGCCAGATTTAAATGTTGTATGCATATACACACTTACATAACTGCCATCTACCTTTTTTACGTTAAACTAATGTTGAAGGGTATTTTGACTCAAGTAAGGCAAAAAATGTTTTTTCATTGAGAGAAATAATTCTTTTTTTACTAGGGCTCTCAATTATGTGGGTAGACCAAATCGCTTATAACTTATTTTACGTAGTGCTAGAGTTTCGTTATACAATAAAAACATTTTGACATAATATTAAAACAATCCTAGCTCAAAAACGATTCTTGCAATGTACTACAAAAATTTCACCTGATTCAAACGCGATATTTATTAGTTAATTGTCTTTAAGTACGTTCATAATGTTGTCGATAAGAAGTCTTTTTCCATTATTTACTATGTATATTAAGTAAATTTTCGGCTGTTTAGCACAAGAATTCGTTGGAAATACATAAGCAAATTGCTTTTAACACAATGAGTTTAAGAATTATTTTAATTAACATAAACAGTTTGATTACAGATATTTGTATCGCGATTGAACTTCATAAGATACTATATTTATGTTATGGATATATGGCGATATATACTATTGTAAGTATACTACATATAAATACTAAAAAGGATTATTGTCTATTTACAATGTATTCATAATTTAGACCTGAAATGGACTGGCTCAATTGAATATTCATCAAAATTTCTATACAGATAAATTTAAACTCTAGTTTACGCGAGTAGTACACATTTTAATAAAACACTTTAACGGTTTAAAACACGATATATATTACACGCAAAACTGATTTGAAAATTATTTTAACTGCCCGACGTTTCGGACGCTTTGCAGCAGTCGTGATCATAGCCTAATAAGTAATCTGGCCGAAATAAGTTTAACTAATATAATAATATAATCAGCCGTTTTAAACCGTTAAAAAGTTTTAATATTATTTAGTTATTACTCAAAACGACTTGCTTGTAGTAATGTTGTGTGTAGACAGTGAGCAAAACCGGAATAAACCGTTTTGAACGATGATTAGACGCAGTACTACAAACACCAAGATGTCTTGAAGCAGATTTGACTGAATAAAAAATGTAAGTTACACGTAGCGAATACAAGAGTCAATCAAGCTTTTGAGGTTTGTTCAAATACTTCAAAGGCTCTAAAATTTGAGTAACCTTTATACCGAATCACTATCATTCATTTTAAATAATTAACTAAACACCACGAGCACACAACAGGCAAAATACAAAGAGAAAAAAAGTAACCGTCAAAATTGATTTCTCTTCTATTTTTACTTTTGTTTTGGGGGCTAATAACTCCTACGCGCATTCTTAAATTATGTTTTTTTTTTAAATACAGGCAAAGACAACAACCCTGGTATCAAACTAGATGTAACAGTCACCTTTCAACAAGTTCTGTTTTGATTTATTGCAAATATTTTTAACCAATTTCATTAGACCATCACACAGGGGTAAGAATGTGTTTTAAATAATTCGGCAAGTTTTTAGTTAAAAAATTAGACTAAAAATAAATTCTGAATACATAAAAAATGTGCTGGTGTACTCTTCTCAATTTTTTTTACAAAACCCTTATTTACAGCATCGCCCAAACACGAGCCAACGAATGTGGCGAACCACAAAAATATACTGGCCACGTAAACAGCTACACAAAAGTGCTAAGTGCAGTCATAAGACAACGAGGGCACAATATTGTGATACTAAAACTTTGGTTAGAGTTGATGTGCATTTGTGAGAATTTATTACGACTAGCTTTCGCTCGCGTTCTCATTTATTTTTATATTGGACATTTTTATAAGACTGTAGGCCGGAAAGTCACTCCACGAAAATCACTTAACCATTTTGATTCCCCAAAGTGTGGGTTAAGTAGGCGTTTTTACAAATAAAAATACGTTTTTTATTTAAGTATAAGGATTGACATGACTTACATCGAAGCACAATTTTGCTCAACGAAATATTTTTTACTGAAACAACATGGGGCTCTAATCAAAAACTTTAGTCGTTTTTATCAGCCACTTACTGTTATACGCTATTTTGAGGAATTTAAATTATTATATTCCAACTTTTTGCAGTTTTAGGGAAATGTATATTATCAATTTTGTTTTGTTTATTAAGGAATTCAGGAAACCAAAGACCAAATAAATAGGTCTTTATTTATATCCATTTTAATACCGGGTAATCGCGTAAAAATTCGTAACTAAATTCGTTAATCTCGCTATTTAATCACGACAAAACGTGTATATGTAGTTTCAACTTTTACTCACAAAAAAGCAAGGGAAGAATTACACTTAAAAATTTCCTGGACAGTAAAATAGGAATCAAGAAGGCATCTCTTCTCTTCTTTTTTTTTCATTTCTAAATGAACGCTTTTTGGTCAAGACTTACTATCCTCTTACAATTAAACTGGCAACACCCAAATTTCCATTTTAAGAAAGTTCAAAGCCAGTGTTACTGTTTACCGCATATCTTAATTTGTCGCGTAAAGTGCTTCTCTTCTGATAGTTGGGCAACTTGAGCAGGTTGAAGCATGTGGACGAAGTGGGCAGGCGATTCAGTGGATCCTTCTTGCGTATTGTAAAGAAGCCTCGAATGACACTGCCTGAAATTAAACAAATTAAGTTTCAATTGGTAGAGCAACAGCACGGAACGCTGACGATGCCGGTTCAAGTCCTGCCCGAGTCGAAAATTTTTTCAATTAAAAATGTATATATCCAAATGAGAGTCTTACGTTCATTTGTTTTAAATAACAAAAGTCTATATAAATGTTCACATATACTGTCCATAAGAAAACGTTAAAGTAAAAAAAAATGTAGCAAACACAGACTTGAGATAATACCACATATAATTTTATTTCACTTTTTAACACAGATTCCTTTTATTGCTCTACATACTTATTTAATGTTCATATTAACATTACGAGATGCATGGTATCTTGCGAGCACCAGAATAAAATAGTAAAGTATAGATAAATCTTTTAATTTCGTCCTAATCATCATCTTTGATCTCACTATCTCCGCCCCTTTCACACATATCCTCTCGCTCATTCATACACTTCTTTCCGCACATTCTACAGATACTTTCAGTATTTTATAAGACCTATTGATATAAATAGTTATTACCTATTGTATCCCCGGTATCTTCATCATCACCCACTTCGACGCAACGTATTGAGAAGGGCGGCTTGAGATGAGCAAAGCCCAGTACTGGAGGCTTCGAGCATGACGTCACGAACTGTAAAATTTGATGTGTAATGTTTGAATAAGTCGAACACCAATTACGGAGAAATAAATGGTGTGAATGGTAGAAACGACGACATGCCTACTTTTGACTAGAACCGGCGACTACTCTGCCACCTACCAGTATACATTTGGCCAGCGTGTATTTTTCTGATAAAAGAGAACAGACAAGCATGGTATTAAGTTGATGGTATATGAAGTCCCCCAGCCATATTACTTATAAACAATCTGTCGACCTATTTTGGTTTTGAATATTCGGAAATCCACGGACTGAAAGTTTCTGGTTCGTGACCTGCCGGAATTTCGATATTTCTACCATCCTATCCTGATTTCCAGACGAAGTCGAACACGTTTCAGGAAAATTACAATGTGTAAGCATACCTTGAGGAACTGTGCTCGTTCGTGTTCAGTGAAGTCTCGTTGTAACACGTCCCACAGCCAGCAGACCACGCGGTGGGAATCGTGGAAACCGCCGTAGTACTGCGTGTGACGTCGCAGATCTCTCAAGTCCAACGGTACGTTGTCACCGCTTATGAGACGTTGTAACTGTAGAAGTGATCGCTTATGTACTTGTCTAACATTAAAATACAAGTCACTACAACAAACAACACATTGGGAAATGTATAATTTTTAATACACTTATATATATATAATGTATAAGTGTATTAAAAACAATTGTTATATAATAATTGGACAGATTTTTATAACGGGATCATAATCACGACAAAGTATCTGAATAAATCACGAAGCAAGTTAAATTAAGGCTCAAAGTAATGTATTTAAAAATACAACAAAAAAGATTTTTAGAACCATTCTCGCAAACTACAGAAATTAAACTACTAAGTTCATTTTATTTAAATAAACTAAAACAATGAAGAAGGATCTGTAATTTAAACGAATAGTACTTATTAAAATAAAGTACTTTTGACGGTTTAAAACGGAAATTATACAGTTCAAAGTGACTACTGTACTTACTTCTGGCGTTGAGAACAATGATAGCCACTCTGGATTGATAATAGCTCTGAAGCCTTTGATGAACGCATTTGTCTGATCCTTAATTTGTGTGTGCATACGAAAGTGTGCCATCAGATGTATATAGTTTATTCTGTGAAACAAATTGGAAATAAAAATACTACAATACTAATATGTATTAAAAACCTAACCTTGTTCTTTTGTTTAATATAAGAAAACGGTTTAAGAAACCGAAAAATATGTATAGGCAAGATCTAGAAAAAATTTGGCGACGGTACATCTTTTAAGATTAACTCGCAAGAACCGTGTCTATGGAAATGTCGGTCCAAATCAATGGATTATTACTAATTAATAGAGTTGAATTTTAATATTAATATTGCAAAAAATAAAACATATGCTGGATCAGCTAGATTACAAAGAGAGAAGTGTTTTTCAATATAGCTTTGAAGCTGCGAGTTATTTTCTTTCTTTATTTATTAGAGAAACATTATGCTAACAAATTACTTACTTATTTTCATTGGTCACCGGTATAGCTTTGCCTCCAGGTACCAGTTCATGAGTGACGATTTCCCCCAATCGTTCTTCGTCGACTGAGAATGTCAATTCCAAGCTGGATATATCACCCTGTTGATAGATACTAATGATTATCTTTTTAATTTTAAGTTAGAACTCAACTTCGTGGTTTATTAATTTTATTTCAAATAAAGGACACCGTAAGAAGGCATTTTAGATTTTTTTGATTTTGTGAAAGTCATTGGGTTAGTTATTGGTATACTTGGCGCGAACAAAATTCTGTGTGCGTTTCACAGATCGATTTTATTTATAGGCCAGTTTTTCAGACTTCTCTGCCCTGCCCAACCAAAACAATCTATTGTTTCCACGGGATTCGAACATAGGAACACTGGCCCTTAGCCCTTAACGTTGTATTTTATTGATTTTTTTTTGTTTCTTTAGTTCTACTAACTAACATACTAATATACAACTTAAGTCAATTGTTATTATTTTTTAAAACAATGCTAGACAACACGTTTAACCATTTAGCCACAGAGGCAAAAAATTGATTACCTGAAAGTGTTTAATGTAAGTAAGACTCCGATAGAGGTCGCGGTCAAGCGATGGCAGCTCGTCGATCCAGCTGTAAAGCGCCTGCTGAGTTTGGCCCAGCACTTGGCTCAGGAAGAACGAGGCAAATGGAACATCCACTACAATTCCCTGGTGATAAAAGGTGATTTAAACCTTTTTTTTTAGATTACATTAAAATTCTTCTAATTCTTAATAACGCATGACTATAGCTTGTGAGGCCAAAATGTCTATTAGTGAAAATTCTTAATTTTAATTATATTTTGTATGTTATTTGTCATATGTATTTTTCAAACAGTAGGAATACATAATTACAAATAGAATAATTCAAATAACCCTTTTAGCGGCCTTAAGCGCGAAATAAACAAGTATTAAAGTAAAGTTTGCAGCAACTTAGTCCAGAGGGAGGATACTGGTTTATTGTCTGGAGAATAAGTAAGCTTTCATAATCAGACCGTAGTGAGTCAATAATATTCTTACCTCGTACACCGCTTTTCCCAGCATTCTGCCAATAAATTCGAACAACTGTAAATGGTTGTCTTGAAGGCAAGAAGTGGGCGATGGGTACAACCGCTCTTCACTCGTAACACGGAAGAGGTTCAGCGACGGGTCGAAGACTCGCTTTATCGTCTCTTCGAGAAATTCTGTATGGAAACAATATTTGAAAGAAATTCATTATTTAGCTTTATTTTTATATGTATTTGACTTAAACAAAATTATTTTATTGATTTAAATGACAACTGCTAGGCTCACCGAATGTAAACAGAATTCTTACATATTCATTTTTCGTCCGGCTCGAAGGACCAATTTAATCCCGATATTTATTGATTCCTTTTCCTTGTAGACACAGTCAATATATATTTTTTTATTTTGATTATATCAATGGACAAACCTTTGAACACTCCATCCTGATCTATACCAGCCTCATCCAAGCCTTGTTCATTAATGAAGCGTACCCTGACAACTCCTCTGAGCGCTCGACTGGGCAAAGCGGCAAGTTGTCTGTAGCCGTCTTCGACTAGTCTGTTACGACGAACAGTAACTAGAGTAGAACGACCTCCACAGGCGCGCTCAGTCAGACCTAGAACTACCTGAAATGAAAAATTAACAGAGTCTAACTTACAGTTAATATAAGCCATTTATAATTAATTTACTTTATTTTCTTTATCCATGATTATGTCTTAGGAAATAAATTGTAATTTTAAGTGAATTATAACATGATTATTATACAAAACTTCAAACCTTTTCGTCTGCAACTGCTCGCCGGAATAACCTGACTCTTTCACCGTGCGCTATCATGTGCGGAGTCTTTTGTACTAGCACCTGCAATGAGAAAAATCATTTAATTAGCGTAAAGGCAAAAAGTAACTATGTGACTGATTTTCAGAGATCAAAAGTATACTATAATGTATCTGTATGAAAATTATTGTGTGAAACGGTTTTATCAAGACATGATAGAAGACAGACAAACAAGTCCACTTTAGAACTTACAATATTATAGTGACTATATGGTATTCAGGAGAAGTTATAAGGAAAGTATCATGGAAATTTTTATCAAAACCATTTATATTGCCAAGTATGAGTTGTCTGTGTAATGCAAATTCTTAAGAAGATAACCTAGAAGGTAACCCTTACGTACCAGGCCATAAACACCATATAATTTCTAGATTTATATAGTTCAGTTCAATTTATATTACCTGTTGTGGTTTCTTTCCCTTTTCCAGGTCCGCCATGAAGTGCGAGTCTCTAATATCGCGTACGAGCCAATGCGACGGAGGGGTGTACGATCGTCTGCAGTCACGGCGGTAGAGCACCAGCAGCAATGTATGTACAGAACGGAACACCTCGTTGCTCTGAATACTCTTGAGATCTAGAAAAAGTATCATTTTTAAAATCTTAGAAAAAATAAAAATTTGTGCACACTATTATATTTATTGACTATATATTTTGCGCTTACACTGTTTTATTATGTACATGCCAAAAATATATCTCACCAAATAACTGTCCTATAATAGACTTATAAATGAACATGTTTAAAAAGGCAGACATGTTAACAAAGTCTTGCAGTTTGAACGGCTCTTGCTTTTCATACATTTCCATATCGTCAAGTATTCTGAAAAAAGAAAGAAATAAAATACAAATATTTTATTTTCACCTTTTTTCCTACTATCGAGACATTGACACTTATTTCAAAATTCATAATATATTGGTAGACAACCAGTTAACGAGTTAATTAAGTCTCTATCACTACGGTAACTCTGAAAAGCAACCGTTGAAAATTTAAATAAGATAACTCAAATATATATCGCTTTTTTCACCGTTAAAAGTGTCTTATATGAATTGTAACACCATGTTTTATTTAAATGTAACTACACAGAGTAATTAACAAAGCAATTTTGTTTTTTTTTTACATCAAATTTATTAAAAGCGAATAATACAAGCCAATACTTATACTGATATTCAGAATATAGTTCACTACTACTAACGCAGCCACGTCTAGCAAATCCAACTTACGTAACATAATGCGTCATACAATCAGCAAATAGGATGAGCATTTGAAATTCCGGTGCTGATGATTTCGTATTAACAGCAAGCAGGTCTAAGAATGCTTTTAGCCCGCTGTTCGGTCCGAGAGTACACAGGAATTGCCATAAGGAGTATAGAATTTCGTCTTGATTGCACAGACCTAAAACCAGTATACAACTACTGTTATAAGTAACAAGTAAATAAATGTTCAATGGCTGTTTTAAAAGGTAGGTCCTTCATTACATTAAACAAATTCCTAAATTGCTAATAGAGGCATTTCCAAAACTTATACAGGTCCAGTCGAATACTGTTTTGAGAATTGCCCTCCAAGATCGTATGTTTTTAAATACTATTAAGACTGGCTGGAAATAAACACAAAACAAATAACTATGAAAGAAAAAGTCTTACGTACTAACTTATAAATAAAATGGCGGACTATCGCTAAGTAGCGATCTCTTCCAGGCAGCCTGAAGTCCATATAACAAGGCTACAAAGTTATAAAGGCGAACTATCGCCTGGTCTAATAGTAACAATGTATGGCTAATAACCAACGGGTGGAGGGTTCGTTCCTCACCGAGTCCAACATGAATAAATTTAAAATTTCTCACACATGTTGGTCGTCGTCTGGAAATATGAATATTAAATGGATGGTAGAAATATCGAAATTCCATCCCGGTCACGAACTGCCGTCTACAGATGAAAAAGAGGTATTATCGCGTTTCAGGTTACGTAGCTGAATTTCCAAATATCCAAAATCAACATAGGCCTTAGCGCATCTTGTTGACATGTAATGTATATTTTACCATCATGATCATTCCTCCTCTGTCATGAAAAATACATAGCCATGCATACTATACGAATTGTATTTGTGTTGTCTGTGTTCCGTACTAAAGATAAAAATTCTGTTGTAACTCACCCGTCAATATATCTAGTTTGACTTGCGTCATTGTCTGCAGCGCTGTGTGATACATGGAACATATTAGGGCTACCTTCGTACAGTCGGGTGAGCCGAGCTTTCTGAAGTTCTTATTTGAATTACCCCTGTAAACATAATTAAATAATATAAGTGTAATCCATATTTCTTGTGAAGAGCGGAGGAGTTTTGTGTCCGTTTCAAAATCCGATATTATTCTCAAGCATGAAGATCTCTCGCGTTGATCTGTGCCCTGCCCGGCCGAAACAATATATCCTTTCCCCGGATTCGAGAGCACAGAATTTCTCGTGTTTTATGCAAATGCGAGACGTCAAGCTAAGTAAAGTCAGGTACATAAAAATAGATAGTTTCTTCTTAGAGAACTTTAATATGTTTCACATGTTAGTGTGGATGATAGCAATATATAAATTAAAATTTAACTACGCGAGCGGGATTTGAACTGGCATCCAGAACGTTCGTTTGCTGTTTATTTTTAATCTAAATAGATTTTTTATCAATGGTTTGATAAGCCGCGAAGTGGTACATCTGCGTTTCGGTTTCAGTCTGATATCCAAAGCCAAAATAGGTAGATAGCACATCTTGTTTTAGTAGCTAAGATTTGCCTTCCACCAACTGAACCCTAGCTTGTCTGATGCGCATGTCATAAAAATAACTGAAACACAGACGTGTCTGGCGCATGCCTATAAGGATAGTGATATTTCACATTTCTTATGTTTTGGTGTGTACTTACCTATTAGTCCTTGCTTCTAACGCCCTCCGTATAAAAGATGCGGGGTTATTACTTTGTATTGGTGAAGACTGCTGTGAAGGCCCAGCCCCCTCCTCCCCCACACCGCCGTCGATCATTTCCTTCAACGGATAAGCCAAGAGCTTCTTCAACATCGGAGCACCCCATAGCAAAGACAGTTGGGTCCGAAGGTTTCCCATAGTAGGGGGAAGATAAGCGTCAAAGCTTTGTGCGAACCAGCCTAACACCGGATGCCAGTTGCTTAGATTTCCCTTCTTGCACACCACGTATTGTTGGCAACTGTCTAAGAAGCGTGTAGTAACTAGCTGTGAATGTAAGACAAGATTTAAATTATGGCATTAGTTTGTAATACAATGCATACGAGTATATAATACACATTTAAATAAAAACTTTCAATGGTCAAAATCACAAATTATTAGATTCAGACGCTTCAGATGCTCCCAGCAGCCATGGTCACGGGGGGTCTGAAGATAAAGGGTGTCCCTAACGTTAAAATTGAAACTGCTACGGTGGCGCAATCCGTTACTTTGTAATTCATATTATGGAGGAACTATATGGGTCCATGCAGTGACCCACAGTGTTTATCAGTGCGGCGATTGTTGAAGCATTCAAAACGTAATTTAAAAATCGAAAATAAATTGAACAAATTTTCGACTCGGGCAGGACTTGAATCGGCATCGTCGACGATGAGGTGTAGGACTCGGTAGTTCAATTGATAGAGCAACAGCACGGAATGCCGACGATGCCGGTTCAAGCCCTGCCCGAGTCGAATTTTTTTTTAATTTTTTTTTTGATTTTTATAATAACTAGTGCCTTCATGTACATGTAAAAAATATTAGAAGTTTTCAATTCAAAACGTAATTAAACTGTTTGTTTCCAGTACTTACCACAAAAGTAGGATAAAACGTCTCAGCATGCGCGTGCTCACGTTCAATATGCGCCATTTGTATTAGATTTCCGAGCAAACACAAAGCATAGTTTCCTTCCAAAGTATTGAACACAATTCTCATGTTTTGATCCGCGCTCAGAAACTCAATGGACTTGTCGAACAGTGCGTGGGTTCGGAATGTCGATATGGACTGAAACATATAAAAAAAACTGAGTTTTCATGCTTTGGTTTGGATTGGTTATCCTTACTAATATTATAAATGTGAAAGAAACTCTGTCTGTTACTCTTTCACGCCAAAATTACTAAACGGATTTGAATGACATTGTACACATATGGTCTAGACCTTAAGAAAGGTCATAAGCTTTATATACTTTTTATTGCGAAAAAGGGGTTGTAAGGGGTTAAAAGGGGGGGTGAAAGTTTGTATCGAAATTCGTAGTTTTTGAAGATAGAACAATGAAACTTTCTACTTTGGCTTTTTGGGAATGGGGTGGGTGTGGGAGTGGGAGCGGGAGAGAGAGTGATAGATTGGCCGCAATAAATGCGCAATCACATAAATTAATAAACAGCCTAAATAATTTATTTTATAATACTGCTTCTTCAATACTTTAATTCACGAATGTAGTTTCAATAAAATAGTTAATAGAATGATACTGTCGGTAATTTACGCGAGTAGTACACATTTAAATAAAACACTTCAACGGTTGAAAACTCGATATGTATTCGTTAAACTTATTTGAAAACGATTTTAACTACGGTCGACGTTTCGGATGCTTTGCAGCAGCCGAGGTCTCCTCGTAACCACAGCTACTGAAACGTCTATAAGTTTAAATAATATATATCGCGTTTTAAACCGTTACAGTGTTTTAATTCACATAATTAAATTATATGTTCATTTTAGCGAACTATCTTATATATCATTGAAAGAAACTGAACCAGAAGTGCTTACCTCAGGTGATATAAGTTGCATGTGATACACCAAAGTAGGTACAGATAGAATCTGTATAATGAACATAGTGAGTAGTTTCTCCGAAAACTGTGCTGAGATCAATGGTCGTAGAGCTAAAGCCACGATAGCAGATAGAGCGATGTTCTTCAGGGCCACCTTTTCCCGACAAATACCTCTGAGGAGTAGTGACTGGAAGTGAGAGATTCGTGTGTTAGGCAAAGAGTTTTACAGAAACCAAAAAACCCATAAACAATCCGATCGTACAAATTTAACTTACATTACATTTAGAGGACTTCATTTGTCATTATACTATTTAAAACTGTTATATAAGAATAAAGATTTAGAATATAGACAATTTTGAGACACGAGTAAAGGAATAGTTGTTCACGTAGTGTCAAACAAATTATCATCAAATTGAACAAAATTGTTAGTCTTTCAAATTCATAATATTAATTAATCAATTAAATCAAATTCAAAACGATGAATTCATATTATTATTGTATAAACAATGTGTGGAACGCGAAAAACACAACATATTATAATAACCAGTGGTTTATCATGAAAATATGCTATTAAGGTTTTACAGAAAGCTGAAAGCCGTGTTACATGAAGATGCTCTTTGTTTTATCATAAAAACACTTACTTTTAAAGTCAAATAATATCCTTTATGAAACAAGGATCCCATCACATTAGCACAGAGCTGCGTCATACCACCTCGGAGTTTATCGAAGTTTTTCATGCGAGTCAATGCCCAGGTATTTGTCGCCGTAAATTCCAAAAGTGTGTGCAAGTGTATAAGAATGCTTTGCATGTCAAGTGGTGACTCTGGCTTCAATTGTTCTAGGTACTGACAGCATTTAAAAAGTAGATCTTTTATGTGAGAAATCCAGCACAGACTGAAATAGTAAAAGGTTTACATTTAAATAAAACATTTTTAATGGTTTACAACGCGAAATTTTTCACTTATTAACATTACGATACGAAGTTTATCATACTTTTCACGGTTTTAAAAGCAACTTGCAGTCTAAAAACAGCTAGTAATTCAATTTTATATTATCTTTTCACTGACAAATAGAAAGCAAACAAACGAAAACTGGCCTAACATGTTGTTATTTTTAAATTGATTATATTATCAATTTCGAAAAACAACTAAGAAATATGCATTAATTAGAAATAAGAATTATTATTCATGGAAAAAAGGCTATGTAACTATACTAATATATAAAGTTTGTTTGTTTGAACACGTTAATCTCGAACGACTGGTTCAAATTGAAAATTTTTGGATGGGTAGAACATTTATCGAGGAAGGCGAATTTAATAGGAGCGAAGTAACAATAGATAATGTGGAAAAAACGGGGAAAATAATTCATCATTATGAGTTTCCGAGGCGTACGCTTCAAAAACGGTTCAAGATATCCAAAAAAGATGTAGGGTATGAATGATTCTTCTTTAAAAAAAATCTGCGACGCTATATATCTATCTTTTGAGATTAATATATATAATATAGAATAAATTTATAAAGATGAAGGGGTTTGCGAAAACGAATTTGGATGCCCAAAATAAACCTATACAACTTTCAAGCGGCATGTTAAACTGGACCTCCTTGGAAAGTAGATGTTGCAAATAATGGTTATTCTATTATGTATATGTTTGTTCTGGTATATCAATCTTGGAATTATATTTATATTATATTACTTTACTAAACTGCAATCCTTTCCTTCTATGCCCGGGCCAGTCTGAAAACCAGCGCTGCTGAGTGTGACAAGCATTCAGCAGCATAGCTGAGACTGGTACCGATTGCCATCTCTTATGTATATTTATTACTTTATTATTATTATGCACACAATATAGTTTGTAAATATCTTATTATGGCAATAAGTGTTGAATATGAAAATTCTCACGGACAAAGTCGCTGGAACAGCTAGTAGATTTTAAAAGAAAACAAATTTTAGGATCAATGTTTGGATCCATGTCTTGCTTTATATCCTGCCAGTCGTATACCTCCTCTTATTTGTACAGTGATGTTCATATTGCTTCATTAGATATTACAGTAGTTAAAAATAGTTCAAACAAGAAGTGCCAAGAATGCACAACAAAGTCACTTTAGTTTACTTTGTATCTTTTAGCATATTAGATAGTTTTTTTTACTTCCTTCTTGATAACCGTGTGCCTTTAAAAAAAACGTAACAATATCACCGTACCACGGATTTACTCTACCAAACTAGGTATTCATGACCACTGGCTAAGTTAGTTTTATCAGAATCTTATAAGAAAAAACAAATCTTTAGTTATGTGAAGGACCAGAGGTTAAGCCTTCAAATATCAAGGAATTCTATTCTATTCTATTCTACTACTAATTCTTTTCTTTCTTATTTATTTCTATTCTATTCTACTACTAATTCAGTAATTGGTAGAATTTCTATGAAAGCAAAGCTAAGTCAAACCTAAAGAACACAGGCGAATACTTGATCAGACTTCTGTACCCTTCATAACCTAATAAATGAATTGTTATGCTGGGATTCAATCAAGAGTACACTCTCTCTCTCCTAAATAAATTTTAGGCAACACGTTTAACAATTAAGAAACAGACATGGTCATCTAATAAAGTAACAAACAAAATTAACACTCACCTATAATCCTTATTTAAGAACACTCCCACATAAGATATTTTCACAGACTCTGAGTGGAGGCTTTGAACTATGTACTTGCACAGTTTCTCGAATCTCTTTCTGTCTCTTTGCTGCTTAAATATGAGGAACAGGCGACAGGTCACTTTATAAACATCCAGAGCTTGTACAAATTCCATCTGCTGCCCTTCATCTTGTGATCCGTGACTTGATTCAGGTAGAAGTTCATCAAATTCATCTCTGAAATTTCATGGATAACAAGTTTATCTGTCTGAACCGTTGTTTTTGTTTTCTTGTTATGTAGGTCAATTAGGATAAACATCAGACATTTAGGGGTTAAATATTTGTATGAATACTGATGTTCGGCTTTGACCAAAGACATTTTCTATAAACTATGATGAGATAGTGTTACTTTACTATGAGGGTAATTATGCTAACACACTAAAAGCTAGACCTTAGCGAAGCTACTCAGCTCTATACAGCAGCAGAAGTAGATATTGATAAGCCATCAATTCAAATTGTACAGCTTAAATGCTAGTTATCTTATTACAATAGTCTTGGTAGTTAGATACTTAACAAATAATAAGAAATACCTTAGAAAAAATTTAATTAACATTTAGAGATTCCATTATTAATCAATTAAAAAGAGTAGGTACATACATTAATAAATATGGACACCTAATATCAAATTCTAGGAATATATTTCTTATCAGCTAAGATCAACACTAATGTGTCAATTTAAACTAAAGTAGTATAATATTATACTGAATAATCAGTTATGTCACTCATATTATTTACTATTTAAATATATTTAATGAAAGTAAATCAGGAAAATAACAGACTAAGTACTATTAATTCAGAAGACAAAATCGTAACTTATACTTACAAAATAATCTTTATAAATCTCTGTCTAGCTAACCAGCCCCTGACTATTGCTTGTATCTTTGTAGCTGATTGTTCCCTCTTCTTTTCTAAAGCTCTCTCTTCCCTCGCCGCTTTCATTTGCTCCAAGAAGGAGTCTTTGCTCGTGAGGTTTTTGGAAAACATTATAAAATTTTTGTACTCTAAATAGTATTGCTTTGTTTCTGTTTAGTAGTCGCGATGCGAGGGATTAACGAATTTACAACACATTTCGGCCCACAATCGCGACGGATATTGATTTTGTATCATTTTCTTGTTATAGAATTGCAACGCCACATTTCTCATTCAATAAGAAAAATTGATTGCAAAATTTATATATTTTTAAGTATGAAATCGGACATAGAAATTCAATCAAAATTGAATGAAGCTATTTTTCATTGTTTGATATTCTTTGACGTAGACAATTGACATTACTTCGTCTGACACTTAACCTGTAATATATCTTAGTCATAGATAAAAAATACGTTTACGTCTCAAATATGAATGATAGCAAAATTTTCATTTTTTAAAAAGCTACCTTTGCTCAAAATTTATTAAATAAATAATTCTTAACTATTGTCCTAGTGATTAACGATGGCAAAAGATAGATCGTATTATATAATTCGAGTTAAAAGGTTATTGTTTTGTTAACAGTGACATCTAGAATGTTTCAGGACCTTCAACATAGTTATGTAAACACACCACTAGATGGTAGTAGCGACAATTAAATCTCATAAATACCTAATTAATATAATAAAATAAAATATAATATCTTGTAATTTAATATATACTGATCTCGTTAGGAGAATAAGAATGTCAGATTGGATTCGAAATATGTTTACCTTTTTTTGGAAAATTGCATGCATATTATTAGTGCTTTTTGTTGTAGAACTATTATCGCTAAGCTATATGATTAAATGTGTTATGTCAAGCCTTTATCTCTAATCGTACCTCCCGCGGATTTGTTAAAAATTTAATCTAATCAGCTTAGTAATTATAGTAATCTTATAATAAAGCTGCTAATATAGCTTTAATTGATGGTCGAAATAGCACAAAAATGTAACATATGTTTACAATGAAAGAAGATTTCAAGCCACAGAAAACTGTTTTAAACGAGAAGAATTTTAAGATTTACGCGAAATCCACTATTTTAACTAAATCCCCGAGTGTTCTGTGCACCACGGCTGCTGCCAATGTATATTACCTAAATGTGTGTCGGGTTAATTAATAAGTTAGATAGTATATTTCAGGTTTTAAGCCGTTAAATATGTTGTTTAATAACGTTATTTAATACATACAATAAGTAAAAATTATCTGTGTTTTTAAGTAACTTAACTTTAATTACTTACTTAATACCTACTTACGTCTAATAACTTTATTTATTAAATAAATATTATATATATTGTATATACCTACTATGTAATCAATTGTATAAGCTTTCGCGGCCATTTTGTAAGTTTTAGGTAGGTAGGTACTAATAATACATAATATTTATTGTTAGATTTGGATATTTACCTTGTAAATGTGTCACGCACAAACCTATCTGTTTTAAGAATGTTACCTCATTAAAGAGACATTTTTAACTTTGCACATCCGGTGATAACAGGTCAGCTCTTTGATGAGTAAGCAATGATTAGGGATCCGATTGTATATCTTCGTTGATAACGCCATGAAGAGGCAAAGACTAATTAGAATTCAATTCTTTTTCAAGCGATGATGCATAGCGGTATGTACTATGTATGTTTTGAAGTGATTGTGTTAAGCTAGTCTCTTTAAGCGCTGAAGGAAGTTGAGTCTGTCCCTTATAACTTACAACAAATATTTAAATAAAAATGTAAAATGTCGTAGTTTTTGGTCACTTTTTCTCCCCGGGGGTACTGCAAACCGGCGCTTCTCTACTCTGAAGTGTGTAGTGTAGCACATGCCGAGTGTTTTCTCCCATTTCACAATCACTCTTCTAGGTTTTTTTCTTCCTATTTTTTAATGTAGTAAGCTAATAATAGTTCATTTTGTTATATTCTTTATGCCTTGTGAAATAAATGGTTTGAGTTTAAAAAAAATAAATACTAACTTTTAATGTAAAATTTAACTGCGGTATGACCAAGACTGGTAATTACTTTTAAAATCACGTATGCCTTTGGTTAAGTAATAATTTTAACCATATTGATTGTGTTTGACCACGTACGTAGCGCAATAATTAAACGTTTTGCTTGGTATTCTTTTGGAAACATTAAATTGTTACAATTGGGCAGACAATACAATCAACTAGGTACAGGATTTAAATAAAACACTTTAACGGTTTAAAACGCGATGGATTAGTTAAACTTATTTGAAAATGATTTTTAACTTCGGCCCGACGTGTCACGTAGAGACGGCTGCTGCAAAGCATCCGAAACGTCGGCCGGGCCGGGCCGGGTCGGGCCGAAGTTAAAAATAATTTTCAAATAAGTTTAACTAATCTATCGCGTTTTAAACCGTTAAAGTGTTTTATTTAAATGTGTACTACTCGCGTAAATTATAGACAGTATTTTACTACAGGATTTTGAATAAAATGACCTACGGTAACGGTCACAAAAATGTGTTTGTGAGTGAAATGTAGCGTAATCGGGGTTTACTTTACAGCATTCATTAGGTAAACGAGTTGGTATCTAAGTATTTTAATAAACGTTTTCTCCTTAAAGTAATTTATCTCTTTCATTTATATATTTAGTTTGCTTGTGTCACGATTATATATGTTTTTTTTAAATAGCTTCTAAGTCCCCGGTATGTGATTTAAAATCATTTAGGTATACATATCTACTTAGGTAGTGCAGTCTGTGTAGTAGGTAGTATTTAATGTCAAATTCAATTTAAACATTTGTTTTTATTACAAAGGGAATTTTATTTTAATGAAACTTCAGAAATTTTATTTGTAAGTATTTAAAAGATAAATTTCAACTATCGTAGATGCAGATATCCCTCCCTACTAAAGACTAATAGTAGATGTGTGGATATACTTAATTATAAAGTGAATTGTGCTTTAGATCTAGTTTTTTGATTTACTATTTAAATTAGTTACGCCATAAAATATTTTATGAATAGCCATAAGAAATACTGTCTGTAGTTTACGCGAGTACGCATTGAAATAAAACACTTTGCACGTGGCCTCCCCGTGACCACGGCTGCTGAAAAGCATCTGAAACGTCAGGCCGTAGTTAAAAATAATTTTCAAACAAGTTTAACTAAAACATATCCCGTTTTAAACCATTGAAGTGTTTTATTTAAACAGACGTGTGGATATGACAACGAAGCGCCAAGCTATGAATTGAATAATGTATAAACACACATAGTAAATAAATATACAATGATAATAAGGATCCATTAGTACCGATAACTTTTTGTAGATTTTTAGTAGTAGATTAGGGTATAGAAATCTTCTAGATGCTATTTTTCGTCTCTTTTTGGCGCTAAGTTTTTATTACGTCAAGCGTGTAGTTAAAATTTGTTTCGTTGTTAACGCCAATACTGTTACTAAATATTTAAAATCATAGTTATAACCATTTTGAAGGTCGGCTTATCCTTTAACTGTTTAATTTACGATTATATGTAAATAAAATTGAGCAAGTATCTATGCACGCTTTTAGAATTAGCTTGATTGTTTTAAATAAAGACTTAGCCGTCTCGATCTAAGAAGGACGTTTAAGCACCTTCTTATCTTCAGCGCTACGATGACTTTACTTTGCAGCAGCCGTGGTCAAACGTCGGGCCGAAGTTAAAAATCATTTCCAAATAAGTTTAACTAATATATCGCGTTTTAAACCGTTAAAGTGTTTTATTTAAATGTGTACTACTCGCGTAAACTATAGACGCTACGATGATTTCAGAAACTCAAAAGTGTCAGTTTATTAGATCCGCCAGTGTTCAATTCAATCCAGATATATTCGAACAATCTTTAAGTGTAATCCAAGTAAACACTGATTGATGTGTGTGTTTTTGAAAAGGTAGTTCGTTAGGTAATTATGTAAACCATGAACCGCTAATAAACACCCTATCATGTTATAAGTTATGTTACATCCAATACGTCTAATATCCCCAGTGCTACAAATAAAAAACAACCCTCTTAGTTTATGAGTTATATTCAAACTTAGGAATCTAAAAAGATAATAAAACCGAACTTGTATTTGATACAGTAAATCTGACACAATTCTTGGACATTAATGTTTGGAACACTTTTAATGTCCACAGAAGAGCAATAGATTAACCCCCACTAATCGAAGATTTCAATAAATATTTATATTATCTTAGTTTATTAAAACAAAAAACGAGATACAAGCACCAGCTGTTAACAATAGGTTTTCGATACATGCGCCTACGCGTCAAATGTCAGATCACCTGCGAAGGCGGGCGGAAAGCTCGCGAGGCTATACAAAGGCTTTACAATGTCATTAGTTATTTTTCCACCAATGAACGCGCGAGGGCGGTGCCTTGCGCACGCGCCGCCCGGTCGTCGTCTCGCCGTTAGTGTAAACGCAGCTGTCGTGTCAACACGACGCATCTATTAAGTTTCTTGGACATCCGTGTTTAAGGAGAATCGTGTTAAATGTTATAGTGGAGTGTTTGTGACTTTCGTATATTATTTTCAAGATGATGATGGATCAGGCGCATTTCAGCGAATACTTGCTGAGGCAACAAATGTTACACGCCGCTTCTTTGAGCGGATTACGTGAGTCAATAATTAATTCAAATTTTATGGTGCTTTATAAACTTACAGATATGTTTATATAGACCACTATGTTGGTAGTTTTGTCTTCAGTATTCTTATTATATACAACACACAACATATTTTTCACAAATTTTATCCTGCAGTACATTTAATTATATTTAGTTTTTATTGTATGAAAATTATCAAACGATTGTCACCAAAATTACACTTTAAAATCAAAAGAAATAAATCGAAACTATTTTTTCCTATTAATAAAATTTTCTTCACAAGAATGCCACTGAAAATGTAATGTTTTTTTTTTACTTTCAATTATTATTGGTCATATGTAACAGTTATTAATACAGTAATTTTTAAGTAATTATTTGATATAGGTAGGTACCTAGTTTCATTAGAAAAAAATGCTATCTAAAAATTACGTAGATGGTTTTGATGTGCTCACCTACCTTCAACTAAGTTAAAAGTAGTCGTGATTCATGTTAAAATAAAGAAGGATTTAAGTCATTAGTTTATATAGGTCATTAGAATATAACTTGCCTTATTATGAACATTCTCACAGTATATACTTGTATAAATTAGTATTTAAAGCAAATAAATGTTATTTGTATATATAGCTTTCTTAATAAAATAGTTATTACAAGTAAAAACCATATTATTACGTAATACATGGGTAGGTAGTAGGTACGATGTTGTTTTTTTTGTAGTTTACCCTTAAATATCAATTACTATAATTACAATATAACTGTTTTCAACTTGTATAATCTTATTTATGTACATAATAATACATCACTTAACTTAATTATACATTTTATTTTATTATTCCTGACTTAAAATTTAAATAAGTAACTAAGTGCGTTGGACAATTAATACTTTATTCATACGTAGGTAATAATAAACTGGCTTTTTATAAAAGTACTTATTGATTTACTTATAGTAAAATTAATGTTAAAACATCCTTTAATTTCCTTTTCCCAGGAATTTTGAATTATTGCTACACACTATTGTTTTTTTTTCTTTAAAGGAATGAATATCATTACACTAATTACATTGCATTAAAATAAATATTAAATTGAGTACATTACAAATAAAAATATCTGAAGATACAAGTTATTTTTTGTAGGGTAGCAACGTGTTGCGCGCGTTGAAGTCTTACATATTGAAAATTTGTCTTTATACCTTACTACTTCAAGATATTTTTTACAAAATAAAATTAAGTTATTAATTTTATTTTGTAAAAAATATCAATAATTATATTTGTAATATATAAAAAGTCAATTTTTTAGACAACACGACCAAATCACACAATAACATAATTTTATTGAAAAAGTTTTTCTTACATCTATTCGAAATTAAGTTTAATATTAACACACCTATCTACCTTTCAAATATAAACTATATTCTATGTTTTACAGTTAACGCTTTTGATTGGCTTACTGCCTTAGGCCATAAGTAAGTTATCCAATTTCGACAGGCTTCTTGGTGGTCTGTTCTGTATAAAGAGCTCTCACGCAATCGGTTCCCTTATACGTTTAACCAACAGGCAATTAAAATTATTTTTTATAACAGAAGACAACAAGAAAAAGACAAGCAAGGATACCTAAGTTAAATAACATCCAAACAAATTATTGGGTTTGGGATATCTAGAAGTATAGGAGTAAATCACACTTTACAGCTTTTCCTACAAATAATGAGTCGCGACGCTTAAAATTTCTATGTTCACATGTAACATTTATATGTTTTAGACGAAATCAAAGTTTCAGAAATTTAACATTCTTACATCTTTTGGAAACGTGTTTTGTGAGACTTAAACATAAACCGTGAATTATTTACACTATATAATGAATGCAAATAGTACCTACACATCTTAATAAAACACCTTTAACGGTTTAAAACGCGAAACATTTTGGTTATCTTATTCTAGATATTTCAAATGCTTTGCATTAGCCGTGACTGAAGATGAGCTTTAAGTGTTTTATTTAAACCAATTATTTCATGTAAATGTTTATCGATGCGCTGTTTTTGTTTATTCATTGCTTAGTATATAATTTGTAAGTAATTGTATACAAGTTTAAATCTATCTACATAACTGTAAAGGAAGAATTTAAATCTAATTTATAATTTTAACTCCTAAGCTATACTATTTAACATTCAATTTGTATAAAGCCATGCATAAAACTGAACTAAAGAACCAGTCGAAAATTAATAGATATAAAACATATAGCATAAATTGTTTTTTTCCGAATATTAGAAAAATTGCTCGACCGTACAAGATATTACTGTGGTCGCTCGATTTCTGACACAAAATGTCTTCCGCTGACGCCAAATGATCTAAGTCAAAATCAAGGCCATCAAATTGTAGCGGTCAAAAGCCCGAGAGAATTGGCAATCGTTTAATATTTGTGCCTGATTGTTTCCTACGCGAATCGGAGATGAAAGGAACCGATGTTATAATTGAAAACTTAACGTAATCTTTAATTTTAAGATATTCACGTTCACACGCAGACTTCAAATAAATACTTTTTTAAGAAAGACGAGAACCGACCAGAGCTTCTCAATACTACACAATGAACAGTTTTATCAGCGAAATATAGCAGCCGTGACCTAACAATTAACTAATATGTTTCGCGTTTTACACACGTTAAAAGTGATTTATTAATTGGATATTCTTGGACATCCTCCATCTTTAGTCTCCCCGTGACCACGGCTGCTGCAAAGCATCCGAAACGTCGGGCCGAAGTTCCATCATTTCCAAATAAGTTTAACTAATATATCGCGTTTTAAACCGTTAAAGTGTTTTATTTAAACTAAAAAAAACTACTCGCGTAAACTATAGACAGTATTTATTTAAATTTGATATTCTTTTATTGCTAATTGGAAGCGTGTTATTTCAATTTGTAAAATTAATATGGAGGTAATTATAAGCGTATGAGTTGATAAATTTACAATTACGTGAGCATAATAACCACTGTGACCACACGATACTGTAATATATCAATGTTTTTGTCTGTAGCCTTAATTGTTTTACAAATTCTTTGTACCTGTTAGAATTGCAATTAAATAATACATACGATAAAAGATATAAAATGATATTTTTGTCAAACAAGTTAATAGTATACATGTTTATTATAATATTGTAAAATATAACGGCTAACTACTGTAAATTAAAAAAGATAGTAAATTTTAGGCATTCGTAGCAAATTTTGTTAAAAGGTAAAATGTGGTTTTATTGTAATATATATATAACAAATGTTTTATTGTCACTATACGATTTCCACTTCTTACTTTATAGGCCTTCATCAAAGACTTATAACAATTGTTTCAATAATAGAGGTCGTTACCGTAGTCCAAAGGCAAAGGGCATTTCTCATGATTACATATACGTTATCAAATAACTAATAATAAGTAATAGTTAATTGAGGTATATATTAAGTTGTTAATACTGTCTGTAGTTAACGAGAGTAGTTCACATTTAAATAGAATACTTGTACTGTTTAAAACGCGATATATACTTATTATTTTAACTTATTCGAAAACGAACAGATGGCGCTAGTGTGGCAGTTTTTACTTTGACATCTTTAGTCTCCCCGTGAGCACGGCTGCTGTAAAGCATCCGTGACATCGGGCCGTAGTTAAAATAATTTCAAATATGTAACTAATATAGGTACATCGCGTTTTGAACCGATAAAGAGTTTTATTTAAATAGTACGTCTTAATTTTTCTGTTTGTTTTAATTTCAGCCCTGATTTGATATCCCACCTGTGATGACATTGTTATATGTATGAAAATAAATAAATATTACGTTTATTTATTATGGTGTATATATTTGAGATTATGTAGATAAAAAGAGTTTTTTTTTTCAGAGCACAGAGTGGGCGCAGACGCAGAACCGCCCGCTTGCGAAGCACGGCTTCTGAACGGTGATCTTTGGAGACGCTTTCACGACATTGGAACTGAAATGATCATCACAAAAGGCGGACGGTAAGTCATATCTGCTTATATTTTAATCTATAAAATACTGTATGGCTAGCTACCTTACACATATGTTATTTGTCTACACACCTGAAGCGATTATTTTTCAGGATTTGAAAACTACTTTTTTTTTGTTCATAAACAACAGTTATAAACATTATATTGTCGAAATTATTTCAAGTTATTTCAATTGCATAATTGAATTCAAGTAGGTACTATCTGTAGTTTAGTCCTACTTAAATAAATTACTTTTAACGGTTTAAAAAGCAAAAGATCCGAAACGTCGGTAGTTTTAACTTTAGCCCTATGTTTCGGACGCTTTGCAGCAACCGTGGTATATATTCCCTATTTTAAACCGTTAATAGTAATTGAATTTAACTTTGTAAAAACTAAATATTCAGGTAATTTAATAATAATTCAGTTTTACGTTTAAATAATCTATTAGCTTTCAATAAAAAAAAACACCCTAGATAGATTAAAAATCGATTATAAATTGAAAAAAATTAGGACTCGGGCAGGACTTGAACCGACGTATTCAGCGTTCCGTGCTGTTACTTTAACCAATTGAGCTACTGAGTCCTCAAATAATTGACCCTACCTATATTATAAAAATTCAGTAAATAATAATGTCTGGATATTTATTGTATAGTCTACATTATTATCTATTTCGAGTTATCTTAATATTTGTTCAAAGCAAACAACCCACAGTGGGTGGACATACGAATTGAAAAAAGCAATCAAACAAAGCAGCTGTCATACAGCCTCCTGGGCGAAACATGGTTATCCGCCATTAAATCCAAAATAACAAAAACCTAACGAAAAGCCATTAGGGCTGCCGAAACTGACGCGGGCCCTGTTAACCATCCGGGAGTGAGGACCTCCGTCATAGACAAAACAAACAGCTGCTCCGCAGCAATTTGTGCATTTCTCTAAATGGTCGGGCACAAATTACAGCTTATTATAAGCTTGTTTGCTTTACGAGTGTACCCCTACAATTATTTTTTTTCATCGATGATGTGAGCACAGAAATTATATGGTCGTGGTAATCTCGGCGCCTTCCACGTTTCCTGCTCGCGTTGGGGTGTGGAGGGGGGGGGTCATATGCGTCATCGCTTCTCATATTAACGGAGAAGCTTGTTGCAAGCACTTCCTCTAACTTCAAAAACCCTCAAAATTACAATAAATATTAATATTTATTACTAAATCAGAGTGGAACATCGTTTAAGATATATAATTTTAATGAAATACTTTTAACGGTTTAAAACGCCAAATGTATAAGCTACACTTATTTACAAATTTGTATATTCTAGGGCTCGACGTTTCGAAAGCTTTGCAGCAGTCATATTTAAAGTAGGTTGTTAATAAGTAAACAAATAAATTTCGAGTTTTGAACCGTAAAAAATATATTTTATTTAAATGTGTATTACAGCTGTGTGCGATCATACGAGCAAACGTTTAGTTTGCACAACCCTGCGGTGACAGTACCGTCAGTCCTAACAGAAGGTATCCGTTCGCATAAAACTGAAATTGCCGTAATTATCGGTCAATAATCGCGTCGTCATTTCGCGAGATCCAGGCTCTGGTGGGCTAATTAAATGCGCTCACGAGATGTCGCTTTTTGCAATTGAATAGCGCACATGCGCGCTCCATGTCCGCCGAGACGCCGTCGCCCGAGTCGCCTTTTTTACGCGTAATTAGCCGCTCTCGTCTTAGCCTGTCATCTTCTACACGTTTTTTCGAGACCGCTGCCGGCGGACCACCGCGCTGGATGCCAGAATTTCGATAATTTACCGCTTTATTCGTGAATCTCGTTAACTGTGCGCCCGCGCCGGTCCAGAGGTCACTTTTGTTTGTTTTGTATTAATGATCTGGAGAGCGGGCAGGCCGGGGGCGCGTCGGCGCCGCTCGTGGCGCCAACCATCGAAATGGCTCAAAATATTTAAGATTTGTTGCGCACAGATCTATAATGTGTAACATCACGTACGGGCAGCGATAAAATATGTTTAACACTTTAATAAAACAATTTAACAGTTTAAAACATAACATATACTAAAACTTTAAACTTAATTTTGCGTTTTGTATCGTTTAAGTGTTTTTGTATCGTTAAAACACTTTAACTTTACTACTCGCGTAAACTACTGACAGTATTTAAATATAAAACATACCATTATTTTTTTGTTACATTGTGGAAATAGCATATGAATAAAAATGGAATACCACTAGGTATATGTTGTATTAGGACACATAGGTATAATCTAGGAGTTTAGTCAAATCTTACTACAAGGACTAGTGAGTTTTACTTGGACTTACTAGTCAACAACATACAAAATTTATGTAAATTACATAGCCCAATATTTTTCCAATACGTTTCGTTACGAATAATTATTAAACTACCGACGTAGAATTGAGTTATATCATTCTCAGCTAACGCATACCTACATTTGTGTGTAGTGTGAACTATCCCAAATTGCTTTTAGAACTACAATCGTTACTCTAGAGGGGATAAAGCTCGCGTTGTAAATGGAAAGTGCAAACAATGAAAATTTGGGCGGTTCGTTTGTGCAACGCGTATATGCTTAGTTAACACCTGCCGCGGCCATGCACACGTCTTATATACCTCCACCTGCTAATAGGATACGCATAAATTAGTAGAATAACAAGACAGAGGCATCCCACATCCAATTAAAAAGGTAATTGCTCTTAAAATTGTTTGCGGACATGTGTACAACCATACCTGTAGAAGTTGACAAGTTATAATACAAGTAAACAATATTACGGCTTAATATAAACAATGAGGCATTTTCGATAACTGCATTGCACTCAGTAACTATTGTAGACTTAATTAAGCAACATTAATTTAATGAATACCATCGTGCTTAACTTTAATTATTATTACCATCTTATTTGGCCGTAAAAAAGATAATTTTTTCTCTGCAAAAACGACCGTAAGTTGATGAAATATTTATATGAACCGATGTATAAATAAAACACTTTAACGGGTTAAAACGCGATATATTAGTCCGTCTCCCCGTGACCACGGCTGCTGCAAAGAATCCGAAACGTCGGGCCGGAGTGAAAAATCATTTTTAAATAAGTTTAACTAATATATCGCGTTTTAAACCGTTAAAGTGTTTTATTTAAATGTGTACCACTCGCGTAAACTATAGACAGTATTTAATGAACCGATGCCTCGTAAATATGGTGTATCCTTCTAAATAAATAATTATGCCGGCAATAATAAACCACAAAAGTGTAACATGTTCCATCTGCTACAGATAATACAAACCCTCAATAATCGCTGTACAAACAAACAAATGCTTAGACTAGTATCTTCTTTTTTCTACAAACAAACGAAATATGACAAATGGGCGAGGCGCGCCGGCGCAGAACGCTCGCGTGTCGTCGCGCGGACCTCCCGCCATTTTAAAAACAAACAGACAGTATAAAAACACGTTATTTATTCTCCTGTTATTCGATGGGAAGGGCGCGCCTAAATTCGCTTAAAAAAATCATAAGTTATAATTAAAGGTCTGTGATGTTCCTTACTGTGGGTGAAATTGTATTGTGGAGGTACACCGCTTCCATCGCGTTCACGATTAGAGGTCCGTGAGATCCGGGAGATAGCGCTATCTCTGAGATCCACGGATTTGAATACGCGCATCTCGCCGCTTGTCTTAACATAAATACCGATTAATTGATTTGATCTGTGTCGTAATTAAAATGGGTGATTAGAGCGCGGGGTTCGGCGCCGGCGCCTCAAAGCGTCTCCTCCAGCATTCCTTTTGTTTTACCATGGGTCGTTTGTCGCCTGCTCGCTGCGTGGGCATAGGCCGTCCCTCTCTGGCCCGAGGCGTGGCCGGCGGGTGCGAGAGAGAGGCGGCCGGGCGCCGACCTCCTGCAGCGCCGTCGGCCGCCCGCCGCGCGCCCCGCCCAGTGCATGCAGCACTAATAATCAGATTATGACAGCCAACTCTTCGGACCTCGATACTACCTCCGCATGTCACTCTTCAATGTCTCCTGAAAAATTGACAGCAGACATCCACTTAGCCATTGCCGATCGGATAATTGGCGGCCTAGCCTTATACGGCGAGCAATTATTTCCGACTGAAACGCTAGTTGAAAAAACTCGACTGCATCTAGATAAAAATATTTTAAGCGGCACGTAGACAGATAAAAATTGCTGGAACCCGTTAAGTGGTCGAAAATACCAAATTGCTTAATTTCGCTTCACGCAATCACAATAAAATCGAAATATCCGTAAAACGAAGTCGTTTCGGCGACTCCGAGTCGATTCGAGGCCTTTATTACTATAAACGGTCGCAGTTTAGTAATAAAGGCTTAGATGTCGTAAGTTGGTCAAAACCGTAACGTCATTGTTGGTAATTGATAATTCCGTGAAGGGGCAGGAATCTCAAGCACGCGCCAACGGTCGTCGCCAGCGCACGATCATATCGCGATGTCCCTAAGGACCCACTGATTAGCCAACGTGGAAACGACGTACATTTCCGTCTTCGGTTGGACTGACTCTAGGCTTATCCAGCCACACGCGTCAATGTATAAAACCGAGGAATCCGTCATATCGCATCGTCATCGCCGCTCCCGCGACTAAAACAATCGGCTCACGTAAAAAAGTAATACGTGAACAACAAATTGAATTCAGAAGTAAAAAACGCGGAGCACATTTCTCGGCTGCGCATGATTCATTTTTTGCTAGGCCGGGCCCTGATGATAATTTCTCATTAGGTTATAACATTTTTGTCAGTGGAAACGTCGTAAATTCCTCGAATAATTTGGGGAAGAAAGTGGTCGTGTGTTTCGTTTTTATGGCGCCGAGGGGCGGCCGGGGTAGATCAGTATCTGTCGATACAAACGTTTAACCCATGTTACGTGGAAACTGGAGATTCTCACGGATGCCGACTCGATCATTCGCTAACGACGTGTAATGCGCCCGAATAAAACGATTCACATTTTTTATCTTCCGTATTGCTAGACTGACAAGTCTTTGAGTCTTAGAAGTCTATGATATGTAAAACTCTTTGAACACTAATCAGTTTTACTTGTCTATTAAACAATTCTATAAAATTATATTTCAAAATGGCTTTAGTTACTTGACGAACTTAAATAACAAGACGCTTGTATCTCCAAATTCCGATATTACCTACTACTTATAAACTTTAAGAGAACAAATGACTTTAACTCAAAGCAGATTTATGAAAACGAACTTAAATTCGTTATTAATAGTATTATTAACAATAGTAAATAAATAATTGGTACACTAAATTAATCTTTGATATCCAATGTTGGCCTGAGACACTATGCGTAGTGGGCATTCTGTTTTACAAGATAGCGATAAGTCTTTGTTATCGTCAATTTATGTTTTAATTAACGTTAAAAATCAATATTAATGAGAGCTAGTGTCAGATTGTGAGCACAAAAGAACCGGACATTCATTTGAAAATGCCTGAATGACTCAAACAATTACACAGCGGTCTAAAAAGTTGTATTCTTTTCACAAGTACCTAATTCATTCAGGTCTCGTTTTATAATAAATGTTTGCACGAAAACTCAACAGGATGTTATAAGAAAGTGTAACACGCAACATATTACGACAAATGGTGGTTGAAAATTTTCAACGAACCGACCACAGACAGACAAAAAATATATTGTAGCTAATAAATGATACAGTGCTGGCCCATTTCACCATTCATCAAATGAAATTCTAATTTAAAAAAAATTGTACTGTAAATTGTCAAGTGACACTGTCAATTGTCAAAAACAACGCTTCAAACCTGTCTCACCCTAACGTTTGAAATTGCCTTTTTCTGACTACGTGTCTATATTTTTATACCCTACGTGTTCATAATGTTATGAACAAAGTCATTAGAAAAGGAGTGGGTGCGTGGTACATGTCACAGTTTTCGTGGTCATTAAAATAAGGTCACGTCGTATGCCGTGTAGGGTTAGCAAAAACATTTTCAGTCAAATAGTTTTTGGTTGCAAAAAAAGATATCACTTTACTTATCTTTGTTATTAAGGGATAGAAAGATGTTAAAACAAATCAGTAAAAAAATATATTATTTTTTGGAGATTTACTAAGTTTAGTCTTAAATAAATTGAAAAAATGCTGCTGCTGACTTTGGCATAAAATTTTTCGGTAACAAATATATTTAAACATGTTACATCTCTTATCGTCGATCTAATTCATTTGCGTGACATTACACATTTCAGAATAACTTGATATTTTTAAATCTAATCTAAAGATTACGGATTATTTGTGATGCTGCCAGTCCTTGAACTCACGGGATCCCTAAAGATCTTATCCAGCGTTTCACGGAGCTATGTAAATGCTTACTGGCGCCGCTTTTCATCATGTCTCCGACGAAGTTTAATTTTAAATATTTCTACCTGAAAATAATATTTTAGAAAAATATATATGATGCCATGGGACGTGTAGCATATAAACAAAGAAAACAGTTTTTATATGCCATCGTAATTTTCTTACAGTTTTTAAAAATACATAAAATTCACTGATACATATACATATATACTTATATACACATATTTAAATAAAATATTTTAACGGTTTAAGCCGCGATATATTAGGTAAACTTATTTAAAAATGGTCACCATTTTTGGACAACATTTTCAAATAAGTTTAACTAATATATCGTGTTTTAAACCGTTAAAGTGTTTTATTTAAATGTGTACTACTCGCGTAAACTATAGACAATATTTATATACACATAAACAAGTATATACTTGTTTTATTGCATAATCTTATAAACTATTTGACATATTAAAAAACTTTACGATTGTAAGTATTTACTAGGAAAATAACGTTTAACACGGTAAACATGATTTTTTTCCAGACAGGAATTTACCCCGGATCGTTCGATTCGATGAGAAGTGGAAAAGACCATAAATTTTTGATTGTGCTCTCTCTGCTTACGAGTTAGATCATTATTTTTATATCTATACTAATATATAAAGCTGAAGTTTGATGAATTATCTCCTCTTTAAATGATCTAAAAAAAGTCTGCGACGGTATATGTCTATCTTTTAAGATTAACTTGTAAGAACGACAGGTAGGGAAGCCACCAACATCGTGGGTAACAGCTTAAGTTTAAATAAAACACTTTAACGGTTTAAAACCCGATATATTAGTTATCTAACTAATATATCGCGTTTAAAACCGTTAAAGTGTTTTATTTAAATGTGTACTACTCGCGTCAACTATAGACAGCTTAAGTTTATAAAGATAAAGGGGTTTGCAAAGACGAATTTGGATGTCCAAAATAAATATTCTTAGCGGACGAAGTCGCTGGCACAGCTAGTCTTATATATATCTTAACGCTTTACAATGACAATCTAATAATAGTATGTAACAAACAAAACAATGGTAATGATTACGAGAACCACCCGGGCGCAAGATACAATCAACCACAACGACATCACGCCATGATCTATATCGGACTTTGCTACTGAAACCGACGACCAACCCTTACTATTCTCTCACGCTATAATCAACTCTATTCCATTCGTTTACAGTACAATTTTCCATATGATTCATCCAGTACAGTGTTTAAGATCTGGGTGAGTCGTCCAGCACGATTTTTTAATAAATGTGTCGCATGGGTGTCTTACTCACTCGTTACTGTGAGAATACCGTTCGTGATAACTCATGTATACAGCCGTGACATAAATGTTTATGAGTTTCAAGAACACTAGCTATCCACCATGATTTTGTGTACAGCTAAATTCGGGGTTAAGAAATATATTGATAAAATAACAGGTGTTTCTGAAAACGCTCTATCGACATCTAGGTATATAAACATCAGCGACTTCGTCCGCATAGAATAGTTATTTTGACCGTCAAATTTGGTTTTGTAAACCACCACTAGTTTATAAATTATAGCTGTTAGCCACGACGTCGATCGCGTCTCCTCGTTCTTGCGAGTTAATCTTAAGGAATAGATATATACTGTTGAAACATTTATTTAGATCATTTAAACAGGAATCATTCTCTCATACATAATTTTTGCCCTCAAAGATGAATATTTTTTCCCATTTACCCCCCGTAAATGGTTGAACCAACACAAATTGTTGAATTCAAATATATCATTCGAACTAAAAACAGCGACTAACGTCAAGTCTAAGAATCCCCAGAGCCGAGTTCTCTGAAATATGCGCAAACGCAACAGTTCAATGTCAATAACACGAAGTATGATGTCGCAAGCCACTAATTGCTTGGGGGAGCGGCACGTTTGACTCCAACACATTATCCAGCCTTGGTGCGATTCCTCGTATCATACTGATCATTTACGCTTGGGATAAGCGATTAGCGGATAGCCAGTAATCGAACCCGCGATGATTGCGCACTGATACCAATATACCACAAGTATGAACGCGTTCATAAATATAAATGTATATTTTTGTGTATATAATTCTATAATTTTTGTCGATTGATGCAACGGAATCGAAGCTACAACCGACTGGTCGAGTGGATTGCGTCTAAATACATATCTTCGTAGCTATAAATATTGGCTACGAACTTAATACTTATATATTTATTTATTTATTTTATTTTGTTTACACAACAAGAATAATCCATGTTTGTCCGCTTATGTCTTGAAATTTGTATTTGAAATCCACTACAGATCCAAAATTAATAACTAAACGATTATGTCTAAGAATCGCTTGAAACCGTTTCGTAATATACCTACCAAAAAATAACTTTTTAATTACGCAGTTACACAGATTGATGTAATACAGAAGCCAATAAAAGCGGTACCTCTAACGTATACATAAATAATCGATTCCTCTAAGTAACCTGTGTATAAAATAATCGATACGAACGTTAGCTAAGCACTTGCGCCACACACACCGAATTAATACCAATTAACGCACACTGGCTTAATTACGAATCGAGTGTTCGCGTGCGGCGGCGTCTTTGTCGGCGATTCTGAGCCCTCCTATGTGTTTAATTCGCGTGTATCGCTTCCTCGAAGCCTAAAATACTGATATCTATACTAATATTATAGAGCTGAAGAGTTGAACGCGCTGATCGCAGGAACTACTGTTTCGGAATGAAAAAAATTGTCTGTTAAAGCATTTGTCGAGGAAGGCTTTACTACATAGTATACAATAAAATCGTTTTTTTTGTCCCTATGTAGGTACGATTAAATCTTTAAAACTACGCAACGCATTTTGATGCGGTTTTTTTAATAGATAGAGTGATTCAAGAGGAAGGTTTCATATACAACGTTCATAGTTTTTCTGTAGTGTATTTAGTATCAGCATCGTACCCGAGCGAAGTCGGGGCGGGTCACTAGTTAGGCTGTAAAACATGGGAGCGAAGATATAGTGGGGAATGGGGAAGAACGGGGAAAATAGAGATAAAAGATAAATAATCTTTAAGGGTTTAAATAGAGTTCTAACTGAGATTAACTGGTAAGAACGACGGGACGGGGCCGACGTCATGTAAAAAGCTATAATTTTTTAAAATCAGGAGGAGGCTTGCAAAAATAAATTGTGATGCCCAAAATAAGCATTCTATGCGGACGAAGCCGCGGGCACCGCTAGTAATGAATAATGAACCCTGCCTTGGGCGCATACGTTTGTAATTAGCTCGTTCTAGGTACGGTATCACGGTACGGCGAGCGAGGTTCCGGCGTTTGATGATTCGCGACTATTAGCGGAAGGACAGAGATTCTTGGGAAGCTGTCTTGTTGGTCTTGGTGGGACGGTGTTGTGCTGTCACTTTTTGTGGAGGAAAAGTGTTTTTTCTTTGCAGCAGCCGTGGTCACGGGGAGACTGCTGCGCGTTTTAAACCGTTAAAGTGTTTTATTTAAATTCCTACATTTTATTAATTGATTAAAATGTTGGACCATTGTTACCATTACACCAATGAGCAGGAAAGAAGATGAAATAAAAACACATTAAGTTCTATTTGTTTTTATTGAAGCAAATACTTAAATTAAATCTTTTAGCATTGTTCTTACTTTACAGAATCTAGTCCAAGTCCCTGACTTACTTGATGCTTAGTACACGTGTTCAAATTTTACATGAATCTATTTACTGGTAATATTTTTATAAGCAATGTCTTTTACTATATTGAATTCTGAATATTCCATTCCGCAAACTTTAAGTAAAAGATATCAAAACTATTTCCCTAAAAAAACTGAAAGCGATTTTTAATAGCTACTTAATGCGTACTAAAATCGGCACGAAATGCGAAATCAATACACACCACAACGTGTTATACCAAAATTAAAACAGCCGACATTAAAGATCACGAACCAATAGGCGCCAATTAAAGCGGTAATAAAAAAAAGCTCCTATCACCGAGATGAGACGTTAGATAACATCACCGAATTACTGGTGATCATCAATTCCTCTCCGCGTCGCTTTGACAGGATTATAATTAGAAACTGTCCGATATTATGGTTTGTCGTTTTTAATGTCGCTAGCCGGGTCCCATACTGTGCTCGCATTTCATTAAGTTGCGTTAAAAAATTGGGAGCTCTCATAAAACCGTTTGATTTATACGCAGACGGCAGCCTAACGAGGATTGCCGCCGCTCAACGTAACTGACGGGGAAAAGGGGGGTTATGTTTTGATGTATCACACAGAAAGCACAAACTTTCGATAATACTTTTTTATTTGCTTTGATTTACTAATTATTGTTATAACTTGATTTAATAATACATTTACACTTATATTTATGTGTTTAGTATAATAATTATAAATGAGTTATATCACATAAGATCCTTCGTATTATATACACCCTAATAATACCTACATATATTTTTATTTATTTATGTATAAAAATAAATCTACAAGCAATGGTAAAACTTAAATTAAACATTTGGAAGAAAATACTTTATAATTCAAACAAGTACCAAATAATACACTAAAATCACTGTTCCTAAACTATGTGAAAGAAATTGTATTTTTTTTATCAAAGAACAAGTCTTGAAATCCTTAAAAATTAATATTAAATAATTTTCGATATTCAAATATAGTTTTAAAGTATAACCCAACATGTGGGTAGATGTATAGATAACAGACAACATGTCAAATATAGCCTTACAACAGACAAGTAAATGTTTACAATGTGACAAATATGAATAATGAATCAGATTATTGTTTCGATATTGATTCAAAACACTTTCCAATTTTAGTTCCGGTTCGTGCCGGATTCAATTTACGAGTACTTATTATAAGAGATTAAGTTCTTTATATTCTGCTTCAGTTAATAATTGATATTTTCATTATTATTTTTTTATTCCAAATTACTTAAAATTTACTTCTCTAAACAGATTAACAAGGAGTTCATACATACTTTTCTTTAAAGCAAAAATAATATTAAAACACAAAAATTTATTCTCAAACGAATTTACTTTTAACGGACCCTTTCCCGTCTTATACCGTTTATATTTGAATGTGTACTAAATTAAAAATCGATTATAAATTGAAAAAAAAATACTCGAGCAGGACTTGAACCGACATCTAGAGCAACAGCTTATATAGTGAAAAAATGTGAAAAAATATTAAAGTAAAAATGTGTACTACTCGCGTAAACTACAGACAATGCTTCAAGCGAAACCTACCTTGTATCTAGGTCTGAGCCGGCTTTCCTAGGCCCGCTAAGGCGGTAATATTGCAATTGTATCGCAGGCAGTTCATATCGATTGTTATCTAAACGATCTGTTGTCCGCATTTGACGGCGTCAAAAGGCGCATAATAGACTTAGATGCGGCGGCGAGATAAGCTTTGTCCTATGCATGGCGGTCCCGCACTAACTGTCAACTAAATTACTAAAAGATCGCCAGCCGGCCTCCTCTGTCGCAATTTAAGCCGCTTTGTGCGCCGGCGCCGAGAACTTATGTAACGACAATCAATGCGAAAGTGAAGCCAGTAATTAAAACGAGAGAAAGGTTTTGACTCGTTTTAATGTCGAGTGACAAATATGAGATCGAAATTGAAAAATATTACAGAGCATGGCATTATTATACAGTTAAACATCTTTATCGCTAACTAGCAATCTCTTTGAGGCAACCCAACGCTATATGCAACGTGCGCGAAACCAAAAAATATGCAGTCTTTGATATAAAGAAGGAAAACTTATCAAAACAAAAACAACAAAATTACAATTACTAAAAAAGTACCGAAATCATTTTATTAAGCGATCTAGAGAAGGGAAATTCTAGATGTTTAGGTTCAAGCACACTAAAAGTAAACCTAAAGTAATATCATATTAACTGTCTCTTGATTCTGTAATCCACTCACAAAATGAATGTTAAAATTCTTATTTTAGCATATCGCGCACCTTTAAAATATACGCAAATGAGTTCAAACTCTTAAAAGGAGATTAATTGTATAACGAAATTACTGTTATACTTAAATCAAAGGACGCCGGCACATTCGATTTCCGCAAGTCGCTGTTTGGGGTAGTTGTAAATTTTGCCAATAGTCACATAAACATGTCACGCAGGTGCGCCCCGCGGGACGTCTTTGTGCGCACGCCCATCAAATGCAACTAGGATCTACGGCGTTACTACGGTTACGTAAAAATTGGTTAATAGGAACATAATTGATGTAGATCTGTTAGAATCTTAAAGAGGGCATGAGTGATGAATACTCTTAATTTTTTTTTACTTGTAAGTTTTATCTTTTTTTTTGATGACCGGCGACGCGCATCGTAACAGAGAGAAAAATATTTTCAAAGAAATTAAAATAAGATATACGTACGCTTCCCGATTATCAACTTAATATAAATTTATTTTTCATTATTCTGAATCAATTTTATATATCCCTAAAAGACAAACATCGCCGCATAAAATAAAAGAAGGCAAAAAACGAGATATACCTATAGAAGCTCATTTCTTTGCCACCTGCAGCCACGGGTTAATTCTGCAAAAAGCACCCAATAAAATAACTTTTTTCCACGATCGTTATGATTGAATGCTCTGTCGCTGATTTTAAACAAAGCACGACAGATAGAGGTGCCCATCAATATGCTAATACCAGTCCATGGGTTTTTTGTTCCCGATCCCAAATTGGTTATTTGTATTGTTAAGAACTTCAACTCTATTTGTATTCGACCAACATGAGTGGATTCGCTTTTTGTTCGAAAACGACGAACTCCGTGAAAATATTTATTCACGTGGCTTTCAGAACTTTTTGTTAGTATATTTAAAAAAAATAAGTTATCATGACATTTATAGGGAGCCTGTTACAATATCGCAAAAGAAAATAGAGTAATAAGCCTACTTGAAGCAAAGATTTTCATTTCCACTATTGCTGTTCTTCTTCTGGCTATTGTTGTTCGTTTAATTATAAAAGTAGGAACTTTCCACATGACTAAAGATATCAGACCGATTAGTAAAATGTTAGTAATTATTTTACAAGGGTGGTCAAAACGAAACCTTTACATGTCATGGTATACACAATTTTATATTTATTATAATTTGCTGATTCATTTACGCACAAGCCGACATTACCATGCTGTAGTAGAATTTACGCTTGTGTGCTTGCGTAAGATTTTAATTGGAAATTATATGTTCAAAGCGCGTGCGCTTTATACATTCTTCTGATCTCACCGCTACTGGTAATCATATAAATCATGCGATTAATGTAGGTAGGTAACGGAATATTACAAAATGGCGGCTATACCCTACATTTTCTTCTTTTATAAGTTATAAAAATAAAGTATAACTAATATATATCAGGCTTTAAACCGTTAAAGTGTTTTTTTAATAGTTATATTTATTTAAATTAAAAAACAACATAATATAACCTTATGAGATGTCCCGATTATGAGTTTAAGTTAAACAACATGAATAAATACTTTAAAATTTATGTTTAATTAAAAGACTAATGAGGTCGAAGAAAAATAGGATAACCGTATTCAAAATGGCTTTCCAAGATGGCCGCCTCGCCGTTTCCAAATTCAAATAAAAGCCACCATTTACACGGCGTGTCAACATCAGAATGACGCTGTAACGTTAATCACTATCAAAACACGATGCGAAGCCGCGATTCTCACGGCGGCTCTCAGAGCCGAGTGAACAATTTGACACATCCAGGTGTCCGATTTTTTATACACTCATACAATGGAGGAGTGGTTGTTTGCCCAGGCTCGCATCTGGGCGGATGGAACCGGCTGGACCTCTCGTATGGATGCTAATGAGCTCTTTTTATGGTTGAGGGACAAACAAGCGAAGCTCACTAGGTGGAACGTGTAATGCACTACAAAACACTCTTAGAATAAGCAGGCCATCTATTCTTGGTTAGGACCTTAGGGATTATATATATAGACTTAAACTAAAACCGCGAACTAGAATGACGCGGACAAATGATATTTAAAATTGGTTTGTTCTGAGATTTCTAGATGTCGAACCCAAACCTGTGCGTTAGTATTTCGTGGCATCAATTCAAACCAGTCCCTCGAACGGCGTCAAGAGGCGACATCAAGAGACCCCTTGTCTTTAACATTGAACTTGACGATAAAATAACCATCAAATCAGCTGTTTAGATAATTAGTGGGGTAGGTTAGGGAGCGTCACAAACGCGGCTTTCAGTGCCATAGACATTATCGATTATGTGCTCGTAAAGATTAAAAGAAGCAGTCCATAGACAAACAGAGTTGTTTCAAAAGTGAAACTTTTATATTGATATTTTAGCTTAGCGATCTTTAAAGAGCTAGAGTTTCTAACACTCCCACAGACGCAAACGCAATTCAGTTTCACTGGTTTATCATCTGTGGACGGTGTTTCATAATCTTAGTTGAATTTCGATATTCCTACCGCGCCTTCAGTATCATTTAGTATCCAGACGAAGTCTTATTCAGAAAAAAATATCAATTAATAAGAAATATGTTGAACATTATAAAAAAATATGTTTATTGTTCGTCTCTTAATAATACAATGTCTATAGTTTACGCGAGTAGCACACATTTAAATAAAACACTTTAACCGTTTAAAACGCGATATATTAGTTAAACTTATTTGAAAATGATTTTAAGTAATATATCGCGTTTTAAACCGTTAAAGTTTTTTATTTAAATACAATTACATCTTGTATGAAGGATATTCCAGTAAGTTTACTAACTTGTGTGGTAGCCTCACTCCTTCTCGTGTTACATTAAAAACTTTCATTACATTTACTTGTGTTGTGAATTTTGAAATATTCAAAAGCGGACGCGATTGTCAAAAGTCGCGGTTCAATTTCGAGTGTGGATGCTAGAACCGGATGTTAATAGTTCCCGCGTTAGCGCCCCCGTGCGGCAATTGGCGAGTTGTTACCGATTTACGACCCACTTCTAACTTTATTCGATTCTGGTGGTCCCATTGTGTTCCTTCCCACCAGTCATCGCGGCTTAGCGCGCCCTCGAAAGCCTTTTATGGCACTTGTTTTATACTCTCCTTATTTCATTTGGTCGCTATCGTTTGAATTACAACGCTTTTACATTTACGATCTTATACAATATTGTTGATTTGGAAATTAAAATATAAAAGTCTTTATTTGTATGTATTAACCGCTATCATTGCATAATATAATACATTCAAGCTTAATATATTGGATTTAAAAGCAAAAATGACAACGTCCGAAATGTTGCAGAAATATTTTCGAGTAGTAAACTATAATAGAAGATATCCGTAACAATAAGTTGACTAATATATTTCGGGTTTCAAGCAGTCAAAAGCGTTTTATTATAGACAATACTTCGAACAATATTTACAAGCAGATTTTTTGTTACCTTCATTTAAATAAAAGACTTCAACGATTTGAAACGGGAATTATATTAGTTAAACTTATTTTAACTACAGCCCGACGTTTCGGATGCTTTGTGGCAGCCGTGGACACCGGGCGATGACGGTTAAGGACCAGGGATAAGTTGACTTTATTTCATTGAAAACGGATAGTCAAAGAAGTAATGAGTATTAAAATATTTTTCATACGTCGTTTTTAAAGAAGACAAAGCCTGGGCTATAGCATTTTATATAAATGAACACCAATAATTTTACCTTTTTATTGGTCAAAGCGTAAAACGGAATTAATGTTGCCCTCATAACCGATCCGCGACAAACGATAATAAAATCTCGGAACAACTCGAAACCGCAAATACAACGCAATAAATAAATAAAAATCGGATCGGATTTACAGATATGACTACGGTGAAACCTTAAGAGGATCGATAAACTGTTATTATCGTATTTAATTAGTAAACGCTGTGAAGTGCGCGTACATTAAGAATATCTCAAGCCCGGCTTTAACAGCTTCGGCTTGTAATAGGCTTTTAAGGAGTAGGGCGATTTCGCATGAACTGCGCGATCGTCACCTTTGTCGGCGACTTCAAAGGTGCGATAAGCGACGTGGCGTGATAAGAGCCGTCGAACGGTAGCCGTGGATTTGTCGATGTACGGTCAACATGCGCGCGCGCCGCGAGTATTGTTAGTACATATTTGTGTTTGCTCCGATGCTTGTATGGGGTTGTCAATATTGTCTATCAGAGCTTTCATTTATCTAGATGTAATCGGTGTTGCGTATTTTAATATTTATGACAGGATAAAGGCTCAAATTGAAGTTTTAATTATTATCTGTACATTTTTATTTTCTTTTAACACAGTGTCATTAATGTCGTAACTTTATTGGGATAAGTAATCATGATAATTACCTACACTAATATAGTAGGTAGATATTGATTATAGCAATATCACTTATGAATACAAAATATTTATTAATATTCTTCTAACAAAACTTTCAATTATTGGGGTTATTATTTATTGCATGCTTTCTTTTAGTTTTAGTTAACAATTTAGTAACTATAAACTATGTTATTCACTCAAAGCTCTGTATTCTTCCATGGTCAAAATTCGGCTCCACATTTAAAATTCACTGTGATTTTTATTTAATTCAAGACATTCACTATCTGCGTATGCGCCGCCATGAAACGTATCGATTCTATCCGTACCACGTAAGGCGGTAGCCGGCGTCGTAAAGTTTAAATGGATTCTAATTTAGTGTTCTGTTAATTGTGTCCCTCTGTATACTTATCGGCGAGTTGCATTAGCGCGCCCGGCGGCCGACTGATACCGATGTTATGACTGATGGAGGGACCCTCAGCCTCCGATAATTTGACAGATCACGTGGCGTAATCTAGCTGCGAGCCATTAGGCTTTATCGTAATAGCGAAACCTGAAGCAAGTACTCGAGTCGCATTGAACACAATTATTTAAAAAGGCCCAACATGTGTGGTACGGAATAAATATACGATATAATATAAATGTTGTGTTTTGTGTGACCGCCGGAACTGCATTTTTTAATACGACATATGCTAAATTTTCTACTGAAAAATTAACTATTCAATTAAGATGTAAGCTATATGCAACAATAGTACTTTTCAAACCTGAGTAGGCATGTGGTTGAAAATTATCTTATATTGTTGTTGTGATGTTTTCTTATATTATACATATATATAATATAAGAAAACGTCATTTGTTTTATTACTATTGTTAAAAAATGTAAACCCAAGGTTTTGTAGCGTCTATGCTGAAATTTACGAAAGATAATTTTTGTATCGATATTCTCCTAGTTTAAATTAAACTGTTTTTATAATATCTACTATTTCTTTTATGATTATTATACTTATTTACTGTACTAGTTTGAATGTCAAATAAAATGATTTACTATCATTGTTAGAGAAACCAGTACACGATTTTTACATTTATAGAGTTTTATAATGGTCTAGCATAAACCAAGTCATCTGAACCGCTCTGTTTCTACTAAACATCTTGAATTCTCTGTAACTTAGGGCGGTAGGTAAGTGCCGATAGGCAAAACCACTAATGCATTCCTACCTATAAAAATCTCACCCTATCTCCCACTCTCGAGCCCAAACGGGTGCCAAAAGCTCGTTCACCAACACTTTTACTTCCACATGCCTCTACGATAAAACCTAACAGAGTGGCTATTGTCCACTATCTTCTTATAGCCGCCGTAATTTTATTATCGTCCCCTTTGTTCGGACGCGGTTCATTTTACGCTGTACAAAGTTATCTTTTATTGACTGTTAAGTGCTTGTTTTAATTTTATTTTGTTTATTCAAATTCGGAGGTGGAAAGGAATGTCAACTGGATAGAGAGAGGCACTTAATTTATATGTCGGCGGATAACTCTGGTTTGGCTTAGTGTTATGAATGCTTAGAAATTTTTCATAAAAATCTTAATTAGTTTCAACACGAAATATCTTTGAAAACTTTATTATTTTTTACGTGCTATAGCACATAACTTAAAAATCGAATTTAAAAACTCGGGCGGGACTTGAACCGGCATCATCAGCGTTCCGTGCTGTTGCTAGACTCGGTAGCTCAATTGATAGAGCAACAGCACGTAATATCTTATTAAACATAACTGCTAAAGCTGTGTAGGTAATGACTTATACACACGTTAGCTCTAACTAAAGTAGGTATCTCGTTACAAGTTATTAATGTCCCACATCTGGGAATTAGAAATGGGTTTAATGGAACATTATGATACTTGTATAGTACCTACTAAAATATATCGTATCATCAAGTACTTGACAATATTTAAGTAACTATTAATAAGTATAAGAAATAAAGACTTCTAAAATTTTGCTTGTAATATGTTTCGCACATTTATTTAATTACACTCTAAATAAGAAATAGGTAGTAGGTAGGTTACTCTGATTATATAAAAAAACAAGAAGTTATCTACGCTTATTTCCTTTTAACTGACGTTTCGTGGAGTCTTTCACAGACGAATTTCAATCCGTAAAAGGTAACATGTTCACGCATATTTCTATTACAAAATCCTTATCAATGTTTATCTTTTCAGCCGCATGTTCCCATCGCTCCGCGTCTCCCTAAATGGTCTGGATCCACGTGAGGAATACTGCGTTCTGCTTGAATTATCCCTTGTTGGGCGGCGCAGATGGCGATGGGCGGGCGGCGCTTGGGCAGCGGCCGGTGGGGCAGAACCCCAATCGCCACGACGATTAATGCTGCACCCCGATTCTCCAGCACCGGGACACCATTGGACAGCAAACCCGATCTCATTCAGCAAACTTAAGCTAACGAACAACACAATGGATGCGCAGGGACACGTAAGTTTTTAAAGATTTTGATTTAAAAACTTGGTTAGAATTACTTATTTAGATAAACACATGAAAGTTAATCGCGAACCGACTGTCAATTGTCTAATTTTTTTATTTATTTATTTTATTTAACTTAATAATTCATTATAACTTTGACAATTGACAGTGTGAATTGGTTTTTTATTAAAAAACAAACGCAATATTGGAGGTCTTGCGTTATAACGTTACCTATCAATATTAATTGTACAAAGCTAGCCATAATTATAACTTACGTCCACGAATGTATAGTTAGCATTTTTCTATAGCCATGTCTTTCATAAAAAGGCAACGCCTACTTAACCACTTCCACTATAATTGAAACATGCATGGATGTTTATAAGATTTTCAACTCTGCTGGTTATATGATAGAGTTCAAAGTCAACTACTCATTGATAATTTACGTTGAAAACACAGCTTTCTTTACTTCGTGATAATGTCATAATCGGAACTCAATCATTTTGGGAGATCAATTTTTTTACCTTATTCGAACTCAACATTACCATAGACAAAATAAACAAAACAGTTTTTTATTGTACATCGTAGAACATAGGTAAGCTGTACTGTTTAATCACAGTAGTAGTATGATATGTAGTAAAATTCCAATTACACCTCCTTGTTAAATCTCCTACGCTAGCGCCATCTAGCAGATTTCACTTTGAAATTAGGAATACCCTCCATCTTTACCGCCCCCGAGACCATGTTCGGGGGCATCCAAAACGTTAGAGCGTAGTTTAAATAAAATAAAGATAAGTTTACCAATGTATTTTTTTTATTACCTTTTAAACCGTTAAGTGTTATTTATTCTCATAAGGTTTTTCAATAACAGGTGCTACCAAACATAACCTCTTCATATGAAATATTGTAAATTACCGGAAAACAACCGTTTATCTGTTTCGATAAACAAACATGAATAAAAATGTTGACAGGACAAAACCTTTTTACGCATCACGGGATTAAATGTCAGATTCATTTTACAATATAGTTATCGGGGTCATAGAAGAGGTAAAACAAATTAACTCTTCTTTGAGATAGGCAAATAATCAAAAGTTAGATTTCTATACAAACTTTTCATAATAAATCAGAATTTTAACATAATATCTTAGTAGAATGTTATAAAAAAATGAGATAGTGACATAGCAATATATATTGTCTATTAGTTATTTTGTAATAAGTATTTTAATCTCATTTTAAAACATCCTAAGATAAGTAATGCAACAATATTCTACCGAATGCTATAATTTGTTTCTAAAATATGGATATCGTATAGATAGATTAATACTTATTAAGAAAGCACAACGATTGTAATAATTATATTCAGACAAACATAGGCCTCACTTGAGATTAGGCGAAACACCTCCACCAAGAATTTAACGAAAGAAATTTTTAGAAGAAAACTTTGCGGCTTTTCCATCTGTTTTCTACCTAATATTTTCAAAAACGCAAAGCTTATAAATATTGTTTTATTATCAAATTGATGTTATCGTATATATGTATAGGTATAACGAACTAACGATTTAAACAAATCTACCCCTTACACGAGAAACTACCTCCCAAAATTCTCACAAACCCAAAGTCTATAAATATTTTTTATCGTTCTTACCTCATTTTAAGAAATGATATTGTTGTGAAGCACACTACAGGCGGTATCTTAAAGCACCCACAACAAAGGACGGGCTACCGGGACACAAGCACCATTCTCATGGAAATACACGCATCGCTTGCGCACTTGAGATTTCGCCACCTGTAATAAAAAGGGACTTATTCTGGCTTTTGTTCGCGACTTTTTAACGCAACATCAAAGAGTTCGTATATACTTTTGTAACCGGCCTTCCTAATTATCGGGCGGATTAAGGTTTATAGTTACAGCGAAGAGATTACTGTTATCGAATTCGTTAATTGGAAAAAGGATTGCACCACATTAGCGTTATGTGAAACGAATTGTCCTTGTGAAATTAAGGTCAGAATTCCTTTGAAGCCCGTATAATCCTGTAGAGAAGAACTTAAGTATATTTTACAATGACGTCGTTTCTAAGTTACAATGAAGCTTAATTAAGTAAATACTAGTATTTTTTAAACTTAAATCATGTTTTACAAATTAGTATAGGAATAAACTTCTTATTATAATTGAAAAACTGTTTGTGTCACTTACAATTAAGTAATGTATTTTATGCAAGTAGTACATATTTAAATTTAAAAAAAAATGGTTTAAAAAGAGGACACGATGTTTGGGATTCTTAGCAGCAGAAAAGGTCATGGGAGAACTGAAGATGATATAGAGATAAATAAAGTAATGTAATTCGCATTTTAAACCGTTAAAAAGCGATTTACGTAAATACTTACAATACTTAAAAAATACATAACATTCTTCTATAAAGCTTTCTGAAACAACATTATTGCTTTCTTTTCTCAAGCGTCTACTCAAATGTAACATATGTTTTAGAGCTAATAAAAATAAAACCACCCTCTAAAGAAAGCCAACCCCTTATCGGAAAAAATGAAGGGATGTTTGTTCGGCACATTAAATATTATCGCTACAAGAAATCGGTGTGTAGGGGTTGACGGCTAGGCCCGTGTCGATCCGGGGGGAATTACACGTTTTACGCTGTTCCAATCTTATCTTACATCTTGTCCCCGTAATTGTGTTAATTTTTGGGTCATAAAAACATAATTTACACATTTACTTATGACATTTGTTTAACAGTTTAATTGTCAAAAATAAGGTAAGTAAAACCGTGGAAGATGCTTAAATATGTTTGCTAAATCAGATTTTTTAACAATACAATAAACAAGTAGTTTACAATTAGGCATTTACAACCTAACCAAACCTAACAGTCGAGTTTCTTTGTCCATTTTACTGATCGAGTTTTATTTACATGCAAGTCGTTTAGTGTCCTGTCCGACCGAAAGTTCTTGTGTCCCGGGAATTGAATCCTAGAACTTTTTGTCTTTAACGCAGTGGTAGGCAAAACGTTCAATTGTTAAGCTGCACAAGCGCTTGTAATATTTTTTAACAAATTATGACGCTTCGCTAAGCATTATTATATACATAATAGAATTGTATAAGTAATTAAACAGAATTACTTATACAAATCGTATATTTCAATATACATGGACAATCCTTGAGATCTCTCCAAAAATTCCCATCATTCCACAGAAATACCATACGAACATAGAAAAAAATATCTCCGCTTATCACAGCTATCAATTGATTTTGATTGAGCGCGCGTCTGTTTGATGGACGAGAAATGAAACGCGGGAAAACGTTAATATGTCACTTCGTCAATGATTTTTTGTTGCTTAATCATTGTCAAAAGCGCTAATGTCAAAAACTTTATATAATCTGCATACCTACTCTTACTGTATAATTCCCAAGATGGCTGACTAACTACAGGTTAGGCATATACCTACTTATGTCAATGTCAATTTTAATTTGTCATACCTAAGACATAAAAGCCAAACGTTACAATGTATTTCAAATGATAAATTCTATATAAGTACCTAAAGGAAGTTAACTGGTTGAATTCGCATTTTAGACACTTACAAGAATGATGTCCGAAGTATTTTTGTTTATTCTAATAAAAAATTAATGCAACAGAACCTGAATAAAGAATTGACAAATCACTAGCATTTATTGTCTATGCCATAGATTGTTATACAAAAGTGGTTTTCATTAAAGAGTGTCTATATCAAGTTTCTAATTTCTAAGAAACACACGATAGCTGTTCGAAATAATTCACACGTATGAAACATCGATAAAACAAGTACTGCGTAGTCAATTAGCTAACCGCGACAAAAACTGACATGCGGGACCACAGAGCTCCGCCGAAGTTAAATCAGAGATAAGGTTAATTTCGTGGTTTTCTTTATTAGGTTTAATTGCATCGCGTTTAACTGCTACAATTACTTTAATTAGCCGAACAAAAACACAATGACAAATGTCGCTTTCACGACACGACACGGCGTCGTTTTTAGGCGAACATGGCTCAAATGTTCCACCTTTATCGCTACTGGGAATGGCTTAGTGAATGTCGTAAAACTACTCAAATGTATGATGGACAGCTTGTATTCAATGCCGACAATGCAATCAGTTGCCGTTGTCGAATCGCTGAAGCTCGATTCGACCTACTGATAAGATCCTGTATCTTGTATGTTATAATTATTTGTTTTATGAAAAATATTTGCGCCCATACCCATTGGGCGCAGTGACATTTCGCGAGGGCTTATTGCTTCTGAGAAGCGCTTAAAAATTATTAAAATAAAAATATATTTTCCGAGATAACATTCTTGATCTTATCAGATCAAATTCACTCATGGAAGAAGTTGTTATATGAAATAAAAGAGTTGACCGTTGAAAAATAAAGTTCTAAATTTGAATAATATCTACGGCCTAGAATTGCGTTAAACTTAGAGAACCTAACGTTTCTAAAATTAAACTAACGATTTTAATTATTTAGTCTTTACTTATTGTTTTAATGTAATGTTAATGTTAAATGTGTATAATATAAGTTAGAACTCTGTCGCATTTCTTTCTGTCATGACAGTACATACAAAGAAAATAATAGGAAAATTACAGAAATAAATGAATCTTAAATAAACAATGTAATACATTTTTCTATGCCAAACTTTTTTGGTCGATTAACGTGTAACTGCGCGTAATTTCTGTGCTTTACGGGAGAGAGACTTTTCACGGAAAACGTGCTTAGGCTGTTAGTATTTTGGAATATTCTGTTAGCTTACAAAGTACAGATATTAAAAGAAACATAAGAACGAAAATGTAATTTTCTTAGTCTATGTGACTTAATTAACTAAGCATATGGGCATAACTACTAGAGGTGTAACAGTAACGAAAAAAACGTACCCGTATATGTTCGTTACTATTACTATGTATACTGCAACCCAATTATTTTATTTAACAATTTATTTACTCCAAAGATTCGTAATAATACACGCAATAAACGATACACACTTAAACCATACGACCAAATGCGAGTAACGAAATAGAGTCAGGTGTAACGTTTCGTTACTCGTTAATTTATATCACACCCGATACTAGTACCGGTACCGAATACATACGGTTTATTACATGTTTGATAAGTACATAAAACATGCTCGACAGGTCGCAAGACTAGCTACTTTACATATTTCATTTATGCTAAGAAAAAGTAACACCCAACAATTTTTGTTGCGACATAACTACGCTTTGTTTTTGTCGCCGTAAAAGGGTGATCACGCATCTGCGCAGTAACCTATACGTCTTAACGGTCAGGAATTGCGTATACGCCGGCCATATAAAGTTAATTTCCTATTAACACCCAAGTAGAAACTGGTATATAGCGCTTAGCATCACCCATTTATGGTAAAGCGAAAAACCGAATGCAATTAGTCCGCGACAAATTTATGTTATGTTTCAAATGACACGTGTACTCTTTATATTCTGTATTACCAATCGCCCGTGACTCCGTCTGACATTTTTAGGAAAATCTTCAAATTGCGAATCCCTAAACTCAAATTAAGAATCAGAATCAAAGTAAAATTCGATTGTACCAATTTTCGTAATAAAACGAAACGTATTTACTGTAACATTTCACATTTGTAGGTAGGCTAACAAAAAAAACTCCTGTATTTTTTAAGAGCAACTGTTTTTAATAAATCGGGGTTTTTACTAGCATAAAGTATATACATACGCCGTGATCACGCTGCTACAAAGCATCCGAAACGTAGGGGCCATAGTAAAAAAATTAAACCGTAAAAAGTGTTTTGTTTAAATGTGTACATTCGCGTAAACTTCAGACGATGCCTAATCAAGTTAACCTGAAAACCACGAAAAAGTCCACGCAGTAGTTTTAACATACAAACAGACAGGTCAGAGTTATTCAATTTTTTCTTGCATTTCGTAACTTGCAATAGGCTAATGATAATTTTACTTAATGTACTTTGTGCGTACAAATATTTTCTGCTTTTTTAGTACAGTATAATTGATACGTGTTCAGTTATTCTCTTTTTACATTCGCATGAACTTATGTTGCATTTAATGACGGCGAGCTTGCAATTTTTTGCTAGTTATTGACGGAGTGACAACTAATTAAATTAAAAAGGCTCGTTTAAATTAAATTATCATCTGTTATCATAATTATTTATACGTGTAGGTGTCATACAAGTGTTTAATAAGACTGTCAATAAAATATTGTCTTAAACGAATTACAATTAAATGGCTGAATTGTGTCACTAATTATTTTATGTCATTAATTGGAAGCCAAATAGAGCTATAAATTTCTGACGTGTATTGAAATTTTACTTTGGAATTACAATCAATTATATAATATCAGTCGGACGTAAGAACTCGGTGGTGGCACACAAAGAAACTGCACAGATCATATTTCAAAAGCGAACGGTAGTTCGGCAACAAAAAAAAAAAACAAGAGACTGTTGTAAAAAGTGTGTACGTCAGTGAAAAATATAAAACAGAACCCTTTACGCATCGAGTGTTTTCGGCGCCCGCGCAGGTAGCTCTCTTGAAGCACCAGATAAACGCTCAAGCGACGCGCGCCGACTGTCGCCAGAGTTTTTTAAAATTCGCTTCACTTTTTTTGGGGCTTTTACTTTGAAAGTCATGCTTAGTGTAAATAGTACAAATAAAGAATACTTTACTCCCTTTCCCACTTAAAGGTTTTAAAGTTTCAAACGTGAAATTATTTCTAGGTGTGCACTTGTGTATTAAATAAATACGTATTCAAGTTATTTTTATAAAAAACCTTCGTAAAAATATTCATAGCTGGATATATAGCTTAGTTTCAGTACACTTTGATATTTCAAATGAACATACACAACATTTATATATTTATTTGAAGAAAGGAGAAAGAATATATTATTTATTTGCCATCGTATCATTACCATTTTATTTATTAACAAAACTTGTTCTAACTTAACAGTCGTTATATTTTTCATAATTGCGCGGTTTTTTATTACTACTACTTGAAAATTACATAATTGGTATCCTCTTAATTACAGATGGTTCTGACTTCAATGCACAAATACCGGCCCCGAGTCCTGGTGGTCAGAGCAAGAGATGCAGCAGCACTAGCGTGGGGTGCACCACATGCCTCCTTCTCCTTTCCGGAGACTGAATTCATTGCTGTTACTGCTTATCAGGTAAATTGAATATAAAATAGTTTCAACAGTTTTCAAGAAAACTATTATTATTTTCTATTGAGGACACCGATAGGAGGCCGGATGATCAGTCCACGCCATTTGCTAACTACTTCATCCATTTCCCAATCATTGGGTTATCCGACTCCGACTGTGTTCCAGACCTTCCAGTTTCTTTGCAGAATTTAAACAATTCCATCGTTAATTCTTTCATGTGCCCTCTGTTATATTGTTATGTTCAACAAGGCGAAACGCAAGCGTCCTTAGGTAACAGATCTTTAGTATAGTTACTAATAAGTGGTAGTCCACCAGATGTTTCAAATGATAGACAGCAAACAAGGAGATTGATCGATTCTAGAATTAACTTTACGATAACGCTGTTCTTAACACGGTAAAACACACGAAGACAGAATTTTGCCGTCATAAAAATACTTTCAAAGTACCTAATAAAAAGGAGGGATTGAAGTAGAATACACATTGTAAAAAAATAGTTAAAGCGATAAATTTGAAGTCATTTTTATTTAAGTAAAACACTTTAACGGTTTAAAACGCGATATATTATTTAAACTTATACAGTATAACCCGTGACCACGGCTGCTGCAAAGCATCCGAAACGTCGGGCTAAGGGCGTTAAAAATCATTTTCAAATAAGTTTAACTAATATATCGCGTTTTAAACCATTAAAGTGTTTTATTTAAATGTTCACTACTCGCGTAAACTATAGACAGTAGTAATTTTTATTGTCTTAGAGGTCAATGAAAATCTTCTCTGTTAGCTTATCGTCAAAAACAGATGCGTTAATCGACGGAAAACCAATCGAAGAAAAGGGGGATGCCGAGGGTGACTACTATATCAAATCTGATCTCTGGATCACGCACATTCTCGGAAACTTCACTACGTTTCCGAGAACACAATTCGCACTTATGACGCACTGAATTTTTTTGACGGCGCCATAGCTTTTACCGGGCAAAAAACCGGTGACGCCGCCAAGTGGTCATCGGGTGAAACAAAGGCTCATCTAAGCGGTGTGTTTGTGGAATATCTTCGAAGAGACAAGGAACGGATACTACAGTTGAGACTTAACGGCAAACCAGATAATAAACGTTAATTGTTTTAGCGGTATGCGGCCTTTTGTTTGAAGTGTTAACTGCGCTTCTGAATTTATGATTCATTGTGTTTGAATTACAATTGGATTTAAATATAACTTTTTACAAAATATTAAAGTTAACTAATTTAAAATTTCTTTAAACTACACGCTTCGGATACTTTGCAGCAGTTCTGGTCGCGGGCAGACTGAATATGAAGTGTGCCCCTAATGTCAAAGTCAAATCTAGCTATGCTAACGCCATCTATGCGGTATCATCTAAATCTCTAGGTCGAAAACATAATTAATTATAGTCCAAGTGCCAAAAAAATTTTAGTTCTAGCACATCAGAACATCCTTTTTGGGCAGACAATCAATCAAGTTCTGCTCAAGTCATATTAAGCTAATAAGTATACCCAGTACTAGATATTCGCGGGACCTACCACACTATAGGAGTAAAGGATCTTTTTGCTGCTCCTCTGGCCTACAGCATTTAGGTAGTGTCACGTGTCCATTTCTTGCCTCCCCTGGGCGCCCCTGTTTACATTTTGCTCTTTGACAACCAGCGCACCGTGTTTGCATAATCCCCCCCTAATTAGGTCGAGCCGGCGTCTTTACCCCCGCGGCGCATTTAATGTTGACTGCACCGAGGCGCGAATATCCAGCCATTTATAATTACAACTACGGCCGGCGGCTTTGTGGGATAATCCTGGAACTGTAACGGGACACATTGGACAATGACCACTGGTATCGTTGCGCATTAGCACGCATAACTGCGCGTACGCCGGCGGCATTGTTGCGAATTACTGCAGAATTAGAAAATATACTTTGTGATCTGCCGCCGGCATTGGAAAGCGTAACAAGGTGGCTTATAACGGCCCACGTATTATTTCTTACGAAGGCTTCATAACTTACTATACATGCTATGACTGTGACTTCGTCCGCGTACAATAGTTATTTTGGGCATCAAAATTTGATTGACAAACCTACCCTCATATTTATCAATTACGTATAACTGTTACCTACGACGTCAAGTTAATTTTAAAAGCTATCCACAGACTAACGCACGCTAAACGTAAAAAATGAATAATTTTGCGCGTTTTACCACATTTCCTCTTGTTTCTTCGCTAAAGCTATCCTCAATATATGATCGAACGAACACAAAACCATTTTTTTCAATTCGAACAAGTAGTTCCTGAGTTTAGCGCGTTCAAACAAACAATCTATTCAGCTATAATGTTACTTAGTATAAAGATAGCGTTAATGTTTTTGCTGTCAATAACTGTCGTTCCTATGTGATATTATTGATTAATAAAGGGAAGATATTACATCAAATAAGGTAACAAATCTATATCAAGTCAATTAAAAGACGCCTATTATAGATTACAGGAAATATGTAGCTAGGTACATATGACAATGTAGGTAGTTTTATGGATTGATTATAGCTCAACAAAAATACATTCTTGACTATTAATTCTTCTTCTAGACTATATTGAATATGTAAGAAAGTTTAAAAGTGAAAGCCCGTTTTCCCCTCGTGGGGCATGGGGCGAACACAATTCTGCGCCCGTTTCACTAATCCATTCCTTTAACAGGCAAGTAGTTGATCAGACTTCTGTGCCCTGCCCGACGGAAACATTTGTTTCTCTGGGATTCGAACCCAGGACCTCTCGCGCTTAACGCAATGCTTGGCGTTTAACCATTTGGCTACAGAGGCGGTCTAAGAAAGTTTATTTCAGAATAAAAATTTGTATAACCTAATAGTTGGCTTGTCAAACCTTTAGTCCGTATTTTGATTATTACGAAATTTGATAACCTACATAAAAACGGTTCTTGCGAGATACTCCGCGTGCATTTTTTCAGATTTTTTTTTAGGATTTTATTTCAGATTAAGGAGTCATTCTTTTTACATATTGTTTGAGTATCTTGACCTACAGTGTATCTCAAAGATGAGTAATTTTCCCCATTTTTCCACAATTCCCTCCGTTTCTTCGCTCCTAGTACGTCGCAGTCTATAATCCAGCCAACTGAAATAATTTATCAATTCGAACCAGTTGATCCTGAGATTCGTACAAACACAGAATCTTGAGCTTATAATATCGATAATTATTATTTAGGTAATAATGAAATCATAAATAAATGTATAATTTACAGCTCTGACTCACATTGCTGGTACTTTTTAACTGTCGCCGCATTAAATTTCAAGATTAGACTAACGAGACGCCAAAATTCGTTATTCCAGACGTTGTTTACAATCGATAATTTCGCTTGCACCCGATAGCTAAACTAAATTTGCTCAGACCCCTAATTATACACCAGAAAAAGCTGGCGACGGTCGCAAATATGAAATATTGGGCAAAAAGGGAGTAGTGACGTCACGGGCGACGGGGCGGGTTGTAGGCGTACTTCAGCCACACTCCATACTAATAAGCTTTTAGCACGATACGTTATCGCTGAGAGCCGATTCTGCTATTTACAACGTTGATACGGCACTATTTGGTATTCGACTGCTATTAAAGCTTTATAACTGTCGCGACACTGACTTTTTTAATGATGGAGGGTGTTATGCCTCAGCCTATCGACCTATTTTGGCTATTTTCGGACGGTGGTTCGTGTTTCACCTGTGGACGGTGGTTCGTGACCCGGACGGAATTTCTATATTCCTTCTACCCCCTACTTTTACAAGCGATCGTGTTTCACAGTTTACCGTTGCTTGTACTGGCGTCTAGACCGGCTTTCGCTTACATGTCGCGTTAAATAGCAGAATTGGGACCTTGGTCGTGTTATCTGGTGCGATGAAGCGCCGGCGCCGCCTTATCTACTTGTAAACGCGTCAGGACTGTTTGCGGTCAGTGGGTAGTCTTGTGCTAAAACGTATTTTTTCAACGTCTATAAGTCTATAAGACAACACGGGGTCATAAAGCGAAATAATACCTCTTGATGTGACATAATTAAAGTGGAATAACTTTTATTTATTATAGCTTTATTATTAACACACATATCACAAACAGAGAAAAATCTTATGTACCTACTAACTTATAAATAAATGACGGCCTCATCGCTAAGCAGCGATCTCTTCAAGGTAATCCAAAATACGGAGACGAGAAATAGAAACAAATAAATTAAATGGATAGGTTGAGGAAATAATAATAAAAGCAACGGTACATCGTAAAAGTGCACACAGTAAGTAGAAGAGAATTAGTTATATTTAAAGAATCTTAATTGGTCAACTATATAATATTTGAAAACTAAGATTTTTTATATGCACATGATGGCACTATATAAATTTAAAATTTATCATTATATAGATAGATTAATATAAAAAATATTTTTCAGACAGGACTTGAACCGACATCCACAGCGAACTGTGCATGTTGAAAAAAAGACGATGACTCGGTAGCTCAATTATTAAGAGCAAGGAACGCTGTGGATGCCCGTGCAAGTCGTGCCCGAGTTTTTTTTTTCCATTTATAATAAATAGATTTTTAACTATATAATATTGAAAAAAACTGTTGTTACCCACTTGCAATCATATAGACATTTGAAAAGGGTAGTTTTCAATCAGAACCACGTGACATACACAGAAGCTAGCTATCGGATTTCGCTGAACTATGAACTGCCGGCGCCACGTCGCATGTAGCGTTATTCTGACGGGACAAGGAGACACGCCATACTATGCTAATTGGCCTGTCGCCAACCACATGTGCAAGAATTATCCCTTACAAGCTATTAGCGACATTATCCGGAAACGGATGTTTAAATTGCCACAGATAAGATCCATACAGAAGTCTCTTCAACCGCGCTATCTCACGGTGGCATACAAAAGTTTATTTATTTGTCTTATCTAGACATATATGCCAATAGTGTCTCTAAAATTAAGTCACATCTTCAAATTTCAGATCGATCGAAATAAATTAGCTTAAACCTTACTATGAAAGGGCTGTTGAGAATAAATAGGCAAGCGGGGACACTATTTTATTGTATACATATACATAGAATGTGTATGGTCTGTTTAAGTTTCTCGTAACTCTCATACTTTAATAAACCACAGACATTTTTCGTATTACTTACGTCAGATCTGGCGTTTGGCGCCAAATCTAACGATAAAACAAGTTTCAAGAATGCCTAGTCTAGACGGATACAATTAACGAATAGATTTCTTAAAAATTCCTTTGAATTCCTATAAATGCAATTAGATAGAAGAACAAATTAACCATAACGGTTGCAATCAAAGTAATTCTAGCTGTGTCTAATACAATCGCTATTTTAAGAAACAAATAAAGGTGTTTTAGTGGATTTCTTTGCGGAAATATCACTGTTTAGTTTACCACACATGAAAACAGTAACTGTGATTTAAATAAATGTTTTTCTTCTATTGATCAGTATTTTTATCAATACAGAATCTATAATACACATCTTATAAAACCCGAGTAATCTAATAAAGACTATATTTTGTCTACAGAACGACCGCATCACAAAACTGAAGATAGACAACAATCCGTTCGCGAAGGGCTTCCGCGCGTGTGGTCAGTCCAAATGCAAACGGAAAACCTCAGATATAGACCAAGCCACAGACTCAACAAATGAATCTCCAGAGCCCAAACGAGCGTGCTCAGATGCCGCGTCATCTTGCTCTGAAGAAGGAAGCCTAAGATCATCATCGCCACGGTCACCTCCTCTGGTTGAATCTCCAGCCCCAATAATAAGGCAGACTACCCCAGATATCAAAGCACCAGCTTTCTACCCTCCAGAATTGCAATATATGCATTCTCTTAACATGCCGATGCCTTTTGGGATTTGGCCCAACGGTCCAGCTAATCCCTTTATGGCGTCATGGAGTCCGATACCTCCTCCAGCTCCTAGGGTGCCATCACCATCACCTCCTGCACCCTGCAGGCGTGTTAAGAGTTTTACCATTAGTGCTCTACTTGGGGAAGGCTGATAGTTAGACACACTAACGCGGGACTAGCAATTTCATAAATGGTCTATCTATTTAGACTTGTGTATTTTTTTTACCAATGAATTTTAAATGTGTACATTTTATATGTTTAGTCAATGAGTTTACCGACAGAGTTTTATCGATAGTTTAATATTCCCGTCGCTATGTTTGTCTGTCAAATGTATACGTATAAGTAGATGGTCGCTGATTTCCTATATTTACTTTCAGGAATAAATGTCAAAAATAAATTTATTTCAATATTTATGAATACAAACTGTCTGTATTACTTACTTACTTGCAATTTATACTTCTCCACACATTTTTCTAGTGTTGTTTAAAATCTTTACTTTTTAGCAATAATCTATGGGTATCTTTTGCTCTGTGACATGTATCTGTATTTATAGTCTATAATCTCACAGATAGATACCAGACGATGCAAGCCTTTAGTTATTTTATAGATAATAAATATTGTAAAAATCTACCTCGTTATTTAAATCTCTATGCCTTGTGATACATGTGCCTTTATGTAGATATACGCTATTTGTTGAAATATTAAAACTACTTAATATTTAGGCTAAGATTCTTAGATTTAAAATAGTGTTGTAAATAGTTATGTTACAGTTGTTTAATACACATAATTTTATATAGATTGACACCTATATGTATGGTAGCACGTTATGATAAACTGTACACATTAAACTATTAGAAAATCAATAAAATTATAAAGCATAATGTTTGTGTCATTTTTAAACCATTAATTATTCAATTGCGCAGTTGATACGTGTATGCAAATGTTTAAAAATTTTCATAATTTATGCCAAATTTAAATTTTCAACTGGAAATTCACGTATAAAAATTAGTTACTTTAACAAGAAACTATAAACGTGCCATCTATTTTTAAATATTGCTTGAACAATGCTTCAAGAAATCCATTGCTACACTGTAGTAACAATATTGTAAGAGAGATGGCGCTTATATCAACATTTTTATATAATTTTCTACAAATAGGGTTCTAAGATTTATCAATGAAACACCCTTGGCATTGTAATTTATTAACTAAGGACAGTAATAACAAGGGGTAATGAATGTTGTCTTTAGAGGTTTCATCCATTTATTGAAATAGTGCTTGTCACGTTAGCCACATTTTTACACACATCAATAGAAAATTTGTCTCAAGTGAACTGCAAAATGGAGGTAGTTTGTTCGATTCATCTGCTGTTTTATGGAAAAATTGTCGATTTGCGTAATAGGAACATAAATTAATTATGTACAATGAACATGATGAGTAAACTGAATTTTCCTGTTATTTGACAATCTTTGTTTATTAACGTTTTCCTGGTACATATATGTCAAGTTAATGATTGTAGCCAGTTAGGTGGTACTAACATTACTCAGAGTAATCGTCCGCAATTTCACATAATAGCTAGTGTGTGCAAATCAAAATAATGTATGCCATACAACAATATGTACATAAAACAAGACAAATCATATATGTTGATTAATAACTTATGAAAATCTCTTAAAATTCTACAATTTGTATTAAAACTATCCAGCAACAAGATTTTGTAGTTCAGCCGATAACTCAGATGTATCAATGTTCGCTTTAGAATTATTTGTGGCTGCAGGCACACTTGACTCCCTATTACATGCCTTTTTATGGACAAACCAGTGTAAACGCTGGCATTCCCTATCGCAATATTGCACTGTTTTACATTTTGAACACTTTTTAGCTGGCTTCTCTTCTCCACACGTACTACAATATGAAATAGTGTCAATAAAGCCTCGCTGGCCATTTATGGTGCAATTTATTAAGGATAATGCAGGTGGAGGGTCCTTACTAGTCAACGATGTCACCATTTGATGGAAGGTTGTACATTCCCGGTAAGGAAATTCCCTTACACAATCTTTGAGAAATGCATCCATTAAGTCTAAGGAATAACCATCTTTACCAGGTTTCAAAAGTTTCTTAGCAAAAATTTCAACAATGTCATGTTTTTTATCACTCTCCACCGGCGGTTTCTGCTTGTCCCTAATGTTATTTAATTCCCTTATTACATAAGAGAGATAGTGGTACTTGAATGCCATAACTTCATTAGTCTCACTGCCTCTTGTCATTTCCTTTTTACACAACATCTCTAGGACTTTACTAACTTTTTCAGCATTATCTAATAGGCCTGAAGCATGTTGCAAATTGAGAGCTAACCTAACTGGATGAATATTCACACCAAGAACAAATTTATGGAGAGGTTCTACTAATAGCGGGGATATGTAGGCTTCAGCCTGTTGTCCTTGTGGCGTGGAATAGTAAGTTATCTCACTACGCGGTATGAAGTTATTTATTGTCGCCACCGTGTGATGGTTTCCAACAAATGCAGCCATTTGAGCGGCAGTGCGGCCTACGGAGTTAGTAGCACTGGGTTTCGCGCCTGCCTCTAAGAGGAGCTTGCATACCTCTGAATTTCCTGATAATGCACCGAAATGTAGAGCCGTGTAATTATACTCATGGTTACCGCAATTAACATCCGCGCCCTAAAAACGAAATAAAGCATTAAATTCAACTCAATTTGGTTAACTTTCTAAAGCAGCAATAACACTTACCCTATCGAGAAGTAATTGCACCATATCCTTGCAGCCCTTATAAGCGGCGTGTTGAAGAGCGGTCATACCATTTTCGTCTAAAAAATCGACGCTGCCCTTGTGTTGCGCCAGGATATTCTTGAATTCAGACACGTCGCCCTGAGCAATTGTGGTGAATATGTTATTTTCAGCATTGTGGGGGTCTTCAGTTTTATTATCCATTGCTGTGGCGTAGCTTTAGTCAAAGCTTTTCTTAAAACCTTAGATTTCTCTGGACTTAGGAAAATAACCACTTAAATCTTAATCACACAACTACGTGAACGTCATTTACCATATTGACAAATGACATCTGTACTGACAACTGTTTCGGTTCTAAACCATAACTTGACAGATGATTCAAACTAAACATTGCCATGTTCCGAGAATGGTGTTAGTCTATGGATATTGCTATACAGTTGCACAATTTGTTACACAACTTTTCAGCCTCTCTAGGTTGTACATAGACATAAGATAAAAGTACTGAAAGATTTTATTAAACAAAAAAGCCTAATAATTAGCAGCGCCGAAGCCCTCTGTCTGCACATCTTTAAATTCTACGTAATCTGTTAACGTTATCGTTTAAAGCAGAAATGAAACATAATTACGTGTATAAATACTTTATTTCACTAAGAATCAATTGTCATAATGGCTGATATGACAATCGATATTATTAATAACACATACAGACAAAGTTCATCAATATCGAATTACAAGATAGAATTATATTTGTAAGCGTTTTTTTTTTGTATTTTGTATCCATTTTTAGACAACAATTATTACAGTTTGCGTTATATTATTAAAACTACAAATGTAAATACCTACTAATAAACACTAATCTCGTAATCGTAGCCGCACTATTTGCCAACACTAGAGTAATATGTATTATATTCGATTTAAGGTTAATACGAGTTCACTACTATTTAACTACTAACAATATGATATCATTATTAGTGAGATATAATATAAAATACATATCTACGAATTTTCTACCATTAAGTTTCCACATCGATCCGAATGTGAAAGTATGGAGCGTCCCCTATAAATATTGGAAGATTCATTGATCTTTACCCATGATTACTTATAAGAATAAAATATAAACAAAATACTCAATAAAGTCTCTAAAAACAATCCATCAATCCGCATTGCCCATCACGGAGTGATGAATCGTAGGTACTTAAGTAGCAAGTTTAAATAGATGACAATGGAGCACCAAAATCAAACACTACATACAACATCAAGATTCAAATGTTGAAGAGATCAATATTATGACTTTATACGATACATCATTAATAGCATACAATTATGAATGCTCAATCTAAACGTACAAAGAATCGTGAAAGATACCCATAATATAACATCTACGAAGCATCTTTAGTTAAACACCGTGGGTATATGAACTCTACACAACATCGAATTAATGATTGAATAAAGTATTTTAGTTATTAGAATAACAGTAGTTATAATTTTTCTACATTTACTATTATCTACACAGCATTATTTTTCGATAATCCGAAATAGATTAAGTCGTAAATAGATTAATTTTCCAAAGCACAATTACTAAGTACAAGATTAATAAGCAAAATCTGAATAATAAATGATTTAAGACTTTAAAATTTACTACTAATGTAATCTTATATATTTAAATACTAGCAAGCTACCTTCATTCATCACCATATCATCCAATACCATTATTTTAAAATCATTTACACATTTGCGTAAAGCTACAATGTAGAAAAACTTTTTTAATTTAAACACTTATTTAAGTTTTAATACTATAATAATAACAATTCACTTTTTCTGAAATATGTTAAAAACATTTCAAACATGGCGATCGTCAGGGTTACCAGAAATATATAAAGCTACCATAAGCAACAAAATTGCAACTGTAAGCAACTGTATGGAATCTGTGGTCTAGTTGCATCTGTTTAAACTAATCCTAATTGTTCCAGTGTCAACCTTATGCCAAAATCTAATTACTAAATATTAAGACTATAATTTATAAACCTTACCTTAAAAGGTTGGAAATAACAATTAATAACCTTCTACAGCTACATCTAAAATATTGACGGTTTACTGAATATTTAACCGAAAATAGTAAATTGTATATACTTTTTTACATTAAGACTTGTCAATTACTAAGTCTCAATTTCACATAAGAAGACACCGACACTATAATTATAATTATTTCGTTACGCAAATAATAAATAATAATATTAGCATTTACTTTTTTGCATCTAATGAAATATGAACTACTTGAATAAAAATCTACAATACACTTAAGTCATGATCAAAACTTTCTTTTCCCGCCAAATTATTTCAAAAGTTGTGATTATATAGCTATATTTAAACATAGTAGACGTCGAAGGACAGGTGGGCTCACACGAGCGCAGGTTGGGAATTCTGGGATGGTGACGTATTTGCTGGAGGAGTGGTGGGGGTGGTCACGGCTGATGTAAGACGTACTCCACCACTCTCAGAGACCACTACGCCATTGTGAATGGTGCTGTGCTCTGTGTCAGCGTATGGTGTTGTTAAGATGCGCAGACGCTGTATATAACATCATTAAAATTAAAAAGACTTCAAAAAAAAACATAAAATTTAACTGAAAATGTATTCTAAAAGCAAAACAAGGGAAAGTCATTTGAAAGGAGAACTTTGATGTCTAAAATGAAATACTTTAAAGTGTTTTATTAAAAAAAAAATAATCGAAGTACCTCGAAAAAAGTTCCCTTTGTCGTCAGAATTTTGTATATTGCCACCGTCGGAATACAAATCACACTGGACCCGGCTATAGCCCAACCCAAAGCATTTGCCCAGCCAGGGTACACATAACCCTCATATTGGAGCGGTTCATAATCCAAGAGACCATACGCGGTTATGAATAGAAGGAAAGCCGGTGCCACAAAACGCCAACATATCCGCCAGTATAAACCAGGCTTGAACCCGATCATGTCCTGGATGTCTTCACAAAATCTTTCGGTACCTGAAAAAGAAGAAAATACTTAGGTACCCTTTCGCTTTTTCTTAGGGTTTCTCTTCTATACCAGAGACCAGGATGCTGCTGTAGGCTTGAAAGACTGCCACGACTAAGTTAGTGGTGTCATCCCGTCTTAACGAGCTTTATCTTTCACAAAATGAATAATAAATGTTTGTTTGAAAACTTTAATATTTTTTTACATTTACACGATATATATTAAAAATCGAATTTAGATTGATTTAAAACTAATTAAACTAACTTGTACTTTTTTGAATATATTTTGGTTCGTTAGCACGAAACGCTCTGGAGGCCGGTTCAAATCCTAAACATGGCTTAAAATTTTTGTCAAACTATTTATATTTACAAACTCTTCAACATCCGCAAAACACACACACAGACTTTAAATTACCATATATCCAGGACACTGCGATAGCCTCAAAGAAAACAGCCACGAGCATAGAATAGCCTGCAGCGTATCTATCCAGGAGTTGGAAGAAGTAGAAACCGCCCTTGGTGCAAGATGTAAGCCCGACGATAAAGTACAAAGTGAAGAGGCAGGCCACGAATATTTCTCTATGACGTCCTATTGGGGGATATTCATCGCTGAGCGCTGTTATTATCGCTTCTGATCCGCCGAACTGAAATCATGGGAAATGTTAGATAGATCTTCCCGAATATTCAAAGCGAAAATAGGTCGACGGAGAATCTTGTGTACATGTTTATAGCTGGGGTATATAGACTAGATTAAGGTCTACTAACATTAAAATAAAAATATAAAAGCGTGTCTATGCACTACGTGAAGAATGAAAATAATAAATATTAGCAAAACATATTAGCTCAAACCCTTTTTAACTTAGTATATGTATTTGTTCTTATACAAAACACTTTTAAACGGCTCCAAAGTCCAAAATCGAATTACATAGATTAAAATCAATTTCTTTTCTTTTTCGTTTCATTTCTATAACAGTGACTTACGGAGCTATCCAGTCCCAGAGTAAGCAACATCATAAAGAATATCAAAGCCCAAAATGTAGATCCAGGCATGGTGGCTATAGCAGCTGGGTACACCACGAAGACGAGGCCAGGTCCTTCTGTCGCCACGTCCTGGACGTCTTTGCCAGACGCATAAGCCATGTAGCCAAGGACACTGAAGATAACGAAACCGGCGACGAAAGAGGTGCAAGAGTTGATCACGCTTGTTAGAATCGCATCCCTAAAAGAGAGAAGAACTTTGGCAAAAGAATAAAATTGATGGCACTATATTCATTTCAATCTTATCATACACGTGTTAAGGTATTTTTTTTCTTTAATCGATTTTTAATTCATTCATAAAAGTTAAATCTCGTGGGGCATGGGGCGAACACATGTCTGTGTGTTTCACTGAGCGCTTTTATAGGCAAGTAGTTAATCAGACTTCTGTACCGAAACTGAATTCTTTCCCCGAATTAGCGCAACGTTAAGCTGCACGTTTAACCATTAAGCTGCAGTAGAAATTATGAAGTATATTTGTTTTAGTTTGTTATAGAATAAGTAACAATCGAATTTTAACTAGAAATTGCCAAACAGTGAAAATTTTAATAAATGCTTTTTATATTGAAAAATTTTACCAGGGTGGGATTCGAATCGACGACTTCAGTGGGTACTGTAGTTCTATCAGTTATAAAACGATATAATATAAACGTTAGGTATAATTACTTGTAAACGTTGTTGTGGTACTTGTTGTATGAAGCGTAGGCCAACAATACCCCAAAACCGGGACCGAGTGAAAAGAACACTTGAGTGGCTGCATCTACCCAGACCTAAATGGACATCACAAAAATTTTCAACAGGTGAACACAAGAGTAAATATAATATACATGCTACTACAACTAACATTAGTTCCCAAAACGACTTAAACGATTTTGATGAAATTTGAAAAGTTAGATGTCTGAAAATCTGCTATTTTTACTTTTCATATTTACATGTCACATACACACACATTTTTTTTGTGAAAACATGATCAAACTTCTGTGCTATGTCCGATCGCAACAATTTTTTTGTTTGCCTGATATTCGAACCCAAGACCTTTTACGCTTAACGCAATACTAGTCAACACGTTAAACCATTGAGCTACGCTAGCAGTAGTAACTTAAACTGTAACGCTTACACACCTGTGGCTGGGTTATAGCTTCGAAATTTGGACTCAAATAGTACGCGATGCCAGTAGCTGAACCAGGAAGAGTAATGCCTCGCACCAAGAGAATCAGTAATACCGCATAAGGGAATAATGCCGTGAACCACACCACCTGAAAAATTATGATTTGCTAGCTGTGCTCGCTACTTCGTCCGTGTGGAATAGTTATTTTGAGCTTTTTAAAATATAGCTGATATCCACGACGTTATCCGCGTCCCGTCGTTCTTGCGAGAACATTTTTTTAGGTCATTAAAAAAAATCGTTCATACATATTTTTTGGTGTCTTGAAGTCTTTTCGCAGGCCATGCAACGAAAGAAAAAGAGTGAAATATGTGGAGAAGAGGAAAATTATTCAAATTACCATGAATGATGCTTATTTAAATGATCAAAAAAGTCAGCGATACTATATGTTTATGCTTTAAGACAAACTGGCAGTGCGATGACAACGGCTTAAATTATAAAGATGAAAACAAAGTTTGCAAAAACACATTTGAATGACCAAATCAACTATTCTACGCGGACGAAGTCGCGAGCACAGCTAGTTATTAATACGCTCTACGATTCCATACTTTTCCAGAAGTACTGATGCCCTTCCACAGAGAGAAGTAACAGATGATATAAACAGCCAGCAAACACAGAGCCATGTCCCATTTAATTGCGCCCAAGTCGTGAAGTCCTTCGCTGCCTTGTAGTTCCAAAATAGCTCGGCTGTTAAATAAAGTGTACGTTTTTTTACATAACAGTTTATCATTACAGAATTTAATTACCACTTTGGAACCATGATAACATTATTCCATTGCGTCACATCAATAAAGTTGTACTTTATATAATTTTGATAATAATTTCATATTAAAATAGTCTATATGAAGCAGGCACCTTAAATTAATATAGAGGGATTTATAGTAAGGACCCATTACCTATCGAGTCACTATGTTCAGTGGCGTAGCTGTCCCCCTTATCTTTTAGAAGATATAAGCGTAGAAGAAAATGATTCTTTTAACGTTCTTGATGCTATTTATAATTTTGTAAAAATAAAATAATTTTGAAGGTTCACCTAATTCAAGCTATGCTAAAAGATACGAGGACCCGATTCCTTCTTGAGCCGTAGGATTAGGTAGACCGGGGCCCTTGTCCGCCTATCTACGGTACTGACTATGTCTATTTTCACGTAATACATACATTTATGTAAATACTTAAATGACATGATTTCTTCTCATTTAAGATGAAAATTATAATGACTTAAGCTACTTAATTATTTAGAAATATTTTAAAATGTAACTCACATCAATAATCTTCAATAATAGTAACGTCATTTTTACTTTTGGTTTGATTAATTATGATTTTTGAAATAAAAGTTCAAGTACTTTTGATATAACATGGCGTAACTTTCAAATAATTATTCCTTAATAAGGAACTTTAAACCCCATTCGCACGAGAGCTTTTTAACGGAAGTTAAAAAAGCGTTCAAATACAAAACGGCATTCCCAAGTATGTTTACGCGTCAGCGTTTTTTAATCACAGTTTTATTTTTAATTTTCTTATCTGTGTATCTTAGTAGCTCTGTGTAGCTTTTTAACTCTCGTGCGTATGAGTCATTAGTTAAAGCTTTAAAATAGAGATTCGCTTAAATCTAACTGATAGTTATATTAAAACTTACTTAAAGTATTCAGATGCAGCAGAATTGAATGGGGTAGCTTGGGGTTGGCTGGAAGAGTTCTGAGGTCGACTCATGTTAGAAGATTCCCAGTTGGCTTCAAACTTTAACATAAACAATAAAGTATTAAAATTATAATTCTCATGTTATTGTATAAATAAAATCTCTTTAGATTGTAGAAAAAAGACACACTTCCTAAATTGGTTAGTACCAGCTCCGATGCAGGTTGAAATCCCGGCGTGTCATCAATTTTTTCCAATCAAATAGATTTTTAATTTTAAAATAAACTTAGATTGAAAACAATGTCGACTTAAAAAAAAAAGATTTTGTGCAGTAAAAAAATATTTTTTATCTGTGGTATATAGGGGTGTATGACAGTTATCTGTGGTAAGAACGAAGGGCAACACTTTATGAAGATGGCATCCTATTGTAATAGCGAAATAGTAATGATTTCTGACATCCCAGAAAACAACAAAGTATTTTTTTTATAAAGTGTTTCTTTGTAGTTTTCTTATTTACTTCATATGAGACCTTACCGGTTGGCAAGCTGGTGTGTTCCACTCATTGTTGCAGCTGGTCCAGGGTAGCATGGTAGTGAAGGAGGCGAAGAAAAAACGCAAAGCCCAAGCGATGATCACATTGTAGTAGAAATCCACGTAGAAAGCTATCAGCACCACCGCGTAACCAATGCCTTTAAAAATGTAATAATTTACTGCTATTTGAAGTTTCTTTTTAACTCAGTTTTAAAAAGGTTGCAATGATAAGCACTGTGTGTCTGTAGTTTACGCCAGTAGTGCATATTTAAATAACACTTTTAGCGTGTTTTTAGACCGCCTTTGTAGCAAAATGGTTAAACGTATTGTCTAGTATTGCGTTAAGCGCGAAAGGTGCTGGGTTCGAATCCCAGGGAAACAAAAAAATTGTTTCGGTCGGGCAGGGCACAGAAGTCTGATCAACGACTGGACTGTAAAAGAACGGACCAGTGCAACGGACACAAAAATGTTCGCCCCGTGCCCCACAGGGGGGGATTTCACTTTTTTTTAGCGGTTTAAAACGCGAGATATACTGATTAACTTATTTTTATATATATTTTACCTACGTTCGAGCTGCTGGAAAACATTCAACACGTCGTACTATAGTAAAAATATGTGGATTGATATATTTCCCAATGACACCGTTAAAAATGTATTATTTAAAAGCAGTGTACAGCTTAACTTAGATATTATTTAATATTGGAATTGTTCAACTCAATAAAACGTAAAGTGCGCCGTGTAAAACTAGACTAGTTATTTCTTATAAGAGTGTTATGTAACGCGTTACATAACACTCTTATAAGAAATAACTTTAACCGAACAAAGCAACTGACCCACGGGGAAAATAATCTATATCTATACTATAAAGCTGAAGAGTTTGTTTGTACGAATTGATTTTTTTTTTTTGTGTTAGAACACTTATCGAGGGAGGCTAGACTAAGACATCGCGCTGTGACTAATAGGAGCGAGGAAGCAGCGGGAAATGTGAAAAAAACGGGGGGGGGGGGGTATTTTCATCTCCGTGGGCTTCCGAAGCGCACGCTTCGAATGAGGAATCGATTAACTGATCTAAAAAAATGCCCGCGACACTATATGCTTATCTTTAAAGATTAACTTGCAAGAACGACGGGAGCCGAACGACGGGTCGCGATCGACGGAACGCGTCTGATGTCGATGTCGGGTAGCAGTTTAAATTATTAAATATGAAGAGGAGGTTTACAAAAACAAATTTGGATGCCCAAAACAACTATTCTACGCGGTACGTACGCTAGTACCATATAAAAGCCTACTCTGTACATTTGCAATTCACTTAATAGGTCGAAGTAAATCACATGCTTGTCTCTCCGTACGATAAAGCAAGTCCTGAAATATTTCAATTTTATTTCCCCCCTCAAAAGTCGTATGGAGCCACTCAACGGTGAGACGTGACAATTGAGTCAAATGAAATCACTGAACATAAGCCGGGCGCCGTCCTCGCAAATCTAGAGCCTTTGAGCGCGTATGGGGGCACTTAAGGGGACCCAGGAACGGTGTCAATTATGGAGGTAAGTGCTACGGAATTACACTTCCTAACACTTATATAAAATACGTTAGTATAACTTATCGTAATGTAATAAAGATTTAAGTCTTCAATGAGTTTCATATAGGGCAGACACATATCTGTGCCTGTTTTACCGGAACACGGCCCATACTAAACATGTTAAGCCGCCTGTAGTTGACGCTATCGGTCCACATTTAAATAAATAACTTTTAACGGTTTTGAACCTGAAAGATCAAAATAAACTAAAATCAAGTCAAATAATATAATTCGCGTTTCGAATATTAAATTTGATTTACGTTTCAACGCATTTAAATCTATTTAAGTCGTTCGAAGTTTGGACAAAATTCTGTTATCAAGCATATATAGATTTAAACCTAACCTGTTACTTTTAAATAAAACACTTTAACGGTTTAAAACGCGATATATTCGTTAAACTTATTAGATCCGTCGGGCCGAAGGTAAAAATCATTTTTCAAATAAGTTTAACTAATATATCGCGTTTTAAACCGATAAAGTGTTTTATTTAAATGTGTACTACTCGCATAAACTATAGACAGTATTTAACTAACCTGTTACTCTTACGTTAAGCACGAGTCGTGGGTTCGAATCACTGGTAAACAATGAAATTCAAATAACATGATAATTAACTCACCCTTAAACAATGGAACCAGTCTCCCCCAGCAGGTGATGGCGCCCTTACGATGAAACTGTCCCAAAGCCAGCTCCATGTAAAACAGTGGTATACCACCCACCACCAACATGATGCAATATGGAACCAAAAAAGCCCCTGAAAGAAAGTATTATGGTTATTTTTTTAAATTAAAGAAAAAAATACGCCTTGGCCAGGACATGAACCGGCAGCCACAGTCTCCCCGCTGTTACTCTAATCTGTAAAATCTGAGCTACCGAGTCCAACACGTCATCGTCGAATTTTTTCAAACTATTTGATAAATGCACCTCTTGCGCAATGATTCCGTTATGTAATTATATTCTTTACCTAAAAATAGTGATATCGTATTTTTCACTGTAGACTATTAAATGAACACACCTTTGTGTCCGGTACACAGATTCATTTCTGTGCCCTGCCTGACTAAAACAATATAATTTTTCTTCGGTATTTGGATTTCATTGAAAACTGCATTTATAAGTACACATTTGGGACTAAAATATTTTTCACATATTACTACACATAATGGCTGTATATAATTTGAATATCTATTTAGATTAAAAAAAAAAAATCTACACGGCGCGGGTTCTTGAACCGACATTCACAGCAGAGGTAGAAGTAGCAGCACAAAACGCCGTAGTGTAACTCCCACCACCTGTGTCATAAAATCTTCTCAATCAAAATAAATTATAATTTTAGTAATAGTATACTAATATCTGAAGAGTTTTTTTTTTTGTTTGAACGCGCTAATCTCAGGAACTACTGATGGGAATTGAAAAAATCTTTTTGTTTTGGTTCGAGCATTTATCGATTTAAATGAACGAATCCTCTTTAAAAGACCTAAAAAAATGTGCGCGACACTATCCTTTAAGATTAACTTGCAAGATAGACGGGTCACGACCAACATCGTAGGCAACTTAAAAGAGGAGGTTTGCTAAAACAAATGTTGATGTCCATTATACCTATTCTACGCGGACGAAGTCGCCGACACAGCTATTATCATTATAAATGTAATATAATAGCTATATAACTAATTTGATCACAAATTCTTTAAACCTAAACATAGAACTAGCTGTCTATAGTTAACGCGAGTAGTACACATTTAAATAAAACACTTTAACGGTTTAAAACGCGATATATTCATTAAACTTATTTGAAAATGATTTTTAACTTCGGCCCGACGTTTCGGATGCTTTGCAGCAGCCGTGGTCAAGGGGAGATTAAAGATGGAGGATGTCTCTGACGTCAAAGTAAAAAATTGCTACGCTAAGTGTTTTATTTAAATAGAACGAGCTTTTAAGGCACTAATAAAACTCTTAGCGCTAAAAGTTTTCACTCCACTCCTGCAGACGCAATCTTAGATCATAGGTCGCTATTCTCGAGACAATAATTTCATATCGACGGGAGGGTGAGGCAAATTGCTGTAATTGGCCTTTTAAGAGTCGCATTTACTTTGAACAAGCTTTTATGAAACTTGAGAACGCTTCACAATAGTCACGACATAGCTGTAGGTTATATTCTAACGATAAAACTCCTTTGAGAGCAGGTAACTGCTTCGTGTCGTTCGAGTCATCGGTTCAAACAGAAAGGCAATTTTTCTGAAACATTTTGGACTTCTAATTTAAATAACAAAACTTTAGCAAATAGGTAACTATCGTGATTTAAACCGTTAAAGTGTTTGAACGCGTGCTACTCGTAGGTAAACTACAGACAATATTTACATATGTATTATTAGTTTACGTTACGTGAGAAAGGAATACAGTTAAAAAATTTCCTAACTAGATGACAATAAAGAAAATGGTCTGATTGTCTATTATAAATTAGACACTAGAAAAGACGTCACAAACTAAAGTATTACAATTTCTGCAATTGTAAAATGGGACGCATCCGCTAATTCTCTTTACGATTATGAGTGAATCAGGAGCAATTTGTGGAACCACCTACGATTGTAATCTATATTATACGTGTTTCTGTCAAAAATATACACCTGATTACAATTTCATTCTGTTGTATAATCTATCACAACAGCTTTCTATGTGCCAGTCAGTTCTTCAAAAAACAGAAAGCTTTGATACGTCACCTCGCAATGTTTCACTTTTTAATTAAACAATGATTATAATTTTTGGCATGTAGTTCAGACCTCTGTGCCCTGCCCGACCGAAACATTTTTTTTTGTTTCCCTGGGATTCGAACCCAGGACCCCTTGCGCTCTAATGCTAGACAATACGTATAACCATTTGGACACAGAAAATGTTCGCCCCCATGCTCCACGAGGGGGAAACGCGCTTTCACACTTTTAAAATTTTATAAAGAAGTTTTATTTTTTCAAAATAATACTCACATTTCCAAGCATATTTGAGAAAATATATTTAATTATTCACTGTAGTTTGAGCGAGTATTACACATTACAATAAAACAATTTAACGGTTTAAAACGCGAAATGTATTAAGAAATTAACTAATTTACTACGGCCCAATGTTTTTGGGTGGCATTTTAAAGCCTTATAAGTGTTTTCTTAAAATATATAATTTTAATACAATGACGCGTAAAGCTTTTTTGAAAAATATATTTAGCATTCACAGTTTTAAATAAAACACTTTTAACGATAACAATATAAGTTTTAAACCGTTTGAAGTGTTCTTTTGAAATAAATACTACTCGCGTAAACTACAGACAGTACTTATTCAAAGCTTTCATCGTTGTTTCATCTTAGCCGCTCTTATAAATCAAACGGTATCGGGGGATGGGGGGAAAATGTTGGGGATTAAGTTTATTGCCGGATGCAACAGGTCGCGGGTATAAGAGGATAAAGACGGCTCACTCGAGCCACTGTGGATCGGCCAAAGTGTCTTAAAAGTTTCCCCGCACTTAACTGGGACGAAGTTATTTATGGGACTATTTTCTCGCTTCGTTGCAGCCTTTGTGGTGCGGAAATGGTGAAAATGGGTCCGCCGTCAACGAGATATGAAAAGTCACACAATAGAGTGGTAGAGTGTCTGTGTGAGAGTAGATTATATTTTGGTTTATATGATATAGAATTATATAAAAAGTTAACTACCAAATAGATGACTTAATCTAATCACTATTCTATAATAATTAAAATTAAAATGTATAAGTATTGGTAGGTTATAGTATAGTATTTGTCGGACTATTGATGCATTAAATACTGTCTGTAGTTTACGCGAGTAGTACACATTTAAATAAAACACTTTAACGGTTTAAAACGATATTGATGCATTCTTAAATCTAACCAGTGTATTAGTTGGGTTAGTAACAATTTGACTTATTGCGTATATTAGGAATAGCTCTGACCACGACTTCGTCCGCGTGGCATAGTTATTTTGGACATAGTATTTAATTACAAACTATCTCCTCAGCTTTATAAAATAGCGACCCGCTTTGACTTCGCTCGTCTGCAATGCTGGTACTAGATATACTACAGAAAAACTGTGAACGTTGTATATGAAACCTTCCTCTTGAATCACTCTATTAAAAAAACTGCATAAAAATCCATTGCGTAGTTTTAAAGATTTAAGCGTAAATAGGGACAGAAAGACGACTTTGTTTCATACTATGATTAGTGATAGCTGTTACCCACTACGTAATCTGCGTCCTGGAGCTCTTCAACTTACGTACATCACAACAGTCTTGGCTAAGTAAATACTAGTAAGGTAGACAATTCTGTATCCGTTTTTATACTAAATTATTTAACGATTTTATTCTGTACCCTGCCCGATTGAAACTAATATGATTCCAGCTCAGAAGATAGCCAACGCGTTTCGCGTTGTATATGTAAATATTTCACGGCTTTGTCATCTGTGGGTGGTCGTGACCCGAACAAAATTAATACGTTTAATTTACGTTTGAAAACTTTATTATTATTTTTTACATGTTATTGCACATGAATGCACTATATAACATTGCGCAAGAGGCGCATGTATCAAAAAGTTGAAAAAATCCGACGATGAGGTGTAGGACTCGGTACATCAATTGGTAGAGCAACAGCACGGAAAGCTGACGATGCCGGTTTAAGTCCTGCCCGAGTTGAAAATTTTTTCAATTTATTTCAGACGTTCAATTTACTTAATAATTTATTGTTGACTTCGACCCGACAGTCGATGTACTCCGTGATCAATTCGCGTTATCAACTGTTAAAAGTGTTATTACCTAAGTCTTTAAAAATTTTTCCAATGCCAAAATAGGTCGATAACGAATCTTGCTTAGATGTTATATGGCTTGGGTATTTGGTAGGGGTAGAACCTACCATCATGTGAATCCCATGCTTGTCTGTTCTCTTCTATTATAAAAAAATAGTAAGAGTTTTCAATTCTTCCAATGTGAAATGAAATCTCGAACGAGTCCCACGGGCGTCGATGGAGGGATGATTGGGTATTATAAGATTTCCATCGGAACAGTATTAAATGATCCGCGAGGGTCCGACGATACTTATCAATATTGTTTCGATTTCAATTGAGAATTAGTTTAGACCTACAAAATTGAATGGGGATTGTTTTGAATCACTCCTTAAATTGCAAATAGGTAGGACAGGAGGACAGGAGGTATTTCAAACACGTTATGTTATAAGTATATAAGTAGTTGTAAGTAAGTATGTAAAGTAAAGGCAGCCGTAGTTAAAACAAATTGAAACTATCTTAACAAATTATGCTTCGCTCTTTAAACCGTTAAAGCTGTTTTATTTAAATGTGTAGTACTGGCGAAACTACAGACAGTACTTGTTCATATTGGTTTAACACAGAAATTTGCCCCATACCCCACAGGGAATATTTATTGTTAGAGGTTTCTTAAACTATCTCTCTGACGGCCTTTCCTCCCTAACAATACTACACTTTATCATTATTGATATATGTTTATCTCGAAATAAGTATATTATTTGTAAATTATTTTAACTACAGCCCGACGCTTCGGATGCTTTGCAGCAGCCGTGGTCACAGCTAACTAATATCGCGTCTTAAATTTTATTTGAATGTTTACTACTCGCGAGAACTGCAGACAGTATTTATTATTATTATAGTCCTCATTTTATAAAAAAAAGTTATTAATATACAGAAGGATAAGCTATAGATATCATTACTTAACCCTGGACAAATTAACTTCCAATGATTGAGTTACCATGTTGACGTCATTTCGCCATGACGAACCGCGATGCGTGACTGATGGATGACCCTTCCCTATGATGAAGTGGTACAATCAATTAACCAACGATCATACTGACCTTCACTTGGTTATTTTGATGATTCCTGTATTGGGTTGAGTTATTAAGATCCTGGCGGAAGTTTTACAGTTATCTATGACTTACCATAGATAACTTAAAGCAATACGATTTGAGTTGTCTGTGGTAAGTCACAGATAACTAATTATTACGTTGTAACTGTTATCTGTGTATTAAGTTTGGTCTATAGACAGATAAGCCGTTAAGCGTAAATCCGCGTTTCGCTTTATTCATTGGATTTCCAAATATATATAAATAAAATAGGTCAACAGTGCAATTTCGATAGATTTCGATAGTATTTAATAACCAGATTTTCAAAGTGTTATATAGTATACTTAAGAAATTGTTTAATCGCGTAATCCGTAAAGTTTAATCGCGTTTCAGTCTGTGGATTTCCGAAAATCCAAAGCTATAATAGGTCGACAGCGCATCTTGTGTAGATGTTAGATCTGTTATACGCGAGATACACATTTAAATAAAACACTTTACGGTTTAAAACGGATATATAGTCTCCCCGGACCACGGCTGCTGAGAGCACAAACCCGGCGAAGTAAAATATTTCAAATGATTTTACATTCGCGTTTTAAACCGTTAAAGTGTTTTATTTAGTGTTAGATATGGCTGGGGTATTTACCACCCATCAAGTGAATCCCCATGCGTGTCCTCATCTATCGTTAAAAAAAATCAAGTAAACAATGACATCGTGTGAAAAATATTAAACGCTTTGGAATCTTATCTTTAAAAGTTTGCTATATCTTTTAAAGTTTGCGTTTAAAGCGGTCTACAGAAGAAATATATAAAACCGGATATGGATATTTAACGTCCCGACGCAGTTAACAAGTCCGTTGCCTCGTGAAATTGAATTACACAGCTAGAGGCGGTGTCACAGGCGCAAAAGGCCGCGCTAAATAAATTTCCGGTACTATCTCCGACAGGACTTGAGACGGATTATGGTGTAGATTGCTATATAATTGGATTGAAAACGATCGGATGACCTTCCCACTTATTATCGCCCCCCCCCCCCCATTATTGCGTTACTAATTTCCCCTGCACATCGGGAGTTAACGAAGTTGCTCTTCGGCGGCAAAGGAGCGTCCTGATTGACAATTACTGACTCTTTGGTCGCAAAGGCTCGCAAAGTGGGGAACTGAGTAATTAGTGTTGAAAAGTTTGTTTCATATATTCACTTTGTTAAGTTTACTGTACAAACTTAAAATAATATTGATGTTAGTACTTGTGAATACGACACATTAAAATAAAACGTACTATTTAGATAAAATGCTTTTAACGGTTTAAAACGTGAAATATATTTACTTATTTTTAATTTAAATAAGGCCCCACGCTACCAGTCGACTGATGCAAAGCATCCGAAGCTTCGGACCCCATATCTCGCGTTTTAAACCTATAATAGACTTTTATTTGAAACGCTTTTTGCAGCGACTAAGGCTAAAGAGTGCTTTAATTGTTCGTGATACGATTCACAGATCGGGACTCGAAGCCACGACCGAACCACTTGCATTTGTAAATTTAAACAAAACACGTTTAACGGTTTTAGCTGCGAGATGTATTACTTAAACTTATTTACAATTTATTTAACTACTAGCCCCCGTGACCACGGCTGCTGCAAAGCATCCGAAACCTCGGGCCATAATTAAAAATAAATTGTAAATAAGTTTAACGAATGCATTTCGCGTTTTAAACCGTTAAAAGTGAACGTTCATAAACAGTGTAAGCAGAAAATAACTGGACTTTTAATTAACCCCTATGAAGGTCAAATACCCAATAAATAACAGTCAAAATCCTAGTTCAATTCAAAGCGTTCAAGAGCGGAATATCTTGCGTTCAATTAGTGTGCACGAAAGCTCTCCAAGAGCTCCAGAACCTCAGGAACAAGAGGCAAGAAGCTGTTGGTCGGTCATTAAGTCTCGAGGGCTCTGTACTCGGCGTACGCAATCAGTTCGTACTGTACGGTGCTAGGAATCGTGTACTGTGGTCTATTTGTGATATTATCACAGAATATCCTATAGTAAAGTAAACTTATCGATTTTATCGGCTGCTGCAAAGCATTCGAACGTCGGGCCGAATTAAAAAATCATTTCCAAATTAGTTTAACTAATATATCGCGTTTTAAACCGTTAAAGTGTTTTGTTTAAATGTGTACTACTCGCCTAAACTATAGACAGTATACAACCAGACATACTATCAAAACAATTCTGTTTGACACCGCTTCGTGTTCTACTCATATTACAGACATGAATCTAAAAAAAACATTACAAAGATGTCGATAATTCATTAATTACTTTGCAGCAGTCGGGGACATAGGTCTCCGCGTGACTACGGGGACTTTACCTAAAACACATCGCGTTTTAAACCGTTAAAGTGTTTTATTCAAAGAAAACTAAGGTTACTTTTTTTGTTATAGGTAGTATTTTAAAATTCGAATTTTAGAATTTCGATTTATTTACTTATTTTATCACTAAATGTTATTTATTATTATATTACTAACATTAAGAACGTTGTATATTTGCATGTTTTTGAAGTAAATAATATTATAATCTTTAAAAAGCCTTATAATTACATATTATACCTCAAATGTCAAAGTGAACACGTCTCAAGAATGCAATGAGCCGACAATTAGAGTTACGTGCGAATGTAAGAGCCACTTAACATTGAGGTCGTTTTATTCGCTTGTTGCTGGTCGCGTACCTTCGCGTGGATAATGTCGTGGAGAAGGGATGAGTGGACCATTCAATGTTACATTTATGTGATTACACCACCTCTTAGAAATAAAGGTTAAACCTTCTATTTCTAGTTCAAGTTTAGGTAGTAAGTATTCAAAAATGACGTATTGTGTGTAGTAAGTTCGACGGGCTAGTTTAAAGGGTCGCGAGTTGTCCCTCCAACCCCTCCAACGGGACCAACATTTTTCAAATCAATTAATAAGAGATCGCACCTCTACCCGCGCGTTTTCGCCGATACCACGAATTTTAACCTCACTCAACGCTCTCCTCAAGTTAAGACCCAAATGTGACCGCTTCGCAGATCAATGTTCATCAATACTAAAAGAGTTGTATGATTTTGAAATTTTGTCCTAATGTAATGGGTAGATAACCAATTTTTAAGTGTATTTCCATCCAATTAATGTAACTGGCTATTGCCGTTTTAATTGATAATAATAAATAAATATTTTTTCTGAAACATTTTGGACTTCGTCTGGAAATCTGGATATTAAAAGGGTGGTAGGAATATCGAAATTCCGTCCAGGTCGCGAACTATCGTCCCCAGATGAAAAAGCCGCGAAGTTAATTCACATTTCGTTTTCCAAAATTCAAAATAGGTCGACGGCGCATGTAGTTTAGATCTACTTATCGTCAATCTTTTAGGGTTTTTAACTCGAGATTCGTAAGGATTTTTTTTTAATTTCACAGACGTAAAGTTATGTTTCAAACACTTAAGACATTAATTCTATGTTGAAATTATAAAGTAGGTACTTGGAACGAAGTAATCTAAACATTGTCTAAAAGTATAGAGCGGGCTTAGCTACTAAAAAAAGTTCAGCAACTCTTAGACAATTGCGGATTACTGCCACGGTTGCCGAATACCCAGAGCTGAAATTGATTGACAGCAGATCTTGTTTGGGCTGAGGTATTGATTGATAAAAATGAAGTGAACCCAACACTTGTCTGTTAGTCTAGCTTGTCTGTATCATAAAACAGCCTTACCTCCTCCGTTCTTGTAGCAGAGATAGGGAAACCGCCACACGTTGGCCAGGTCGACAGCGAAGCCGATGACCGAGAGCAGGAAGTCCACCTTCTTGCCCCATGTCTCGCGCTCGCCGCCGCCCGGCGTCGGAGTCTTCAGCGACATTCTATTGCCCGCTCACGCGCCGCCACGATCTGCTCAAATCAACAGAAATGTATGCCTTGTAAGCGATCTTGTCTGTAGTTTATGCGAGTAGTTAGTACACATTTAAATTAAACACTTAATGGTATAAAACGCAAAACTTATTAGTTAACTTATGTTTAATTTAATTTAATGCCTTATAAGGCAATCATGTCTGTAGTTTACGCGAGTATTACCTACACAGTCAAATAAAACATTTTGTTAAATACAAGATATTTCACGTTTTATAGGTATGATTTAATTCAGTAACTTATAAAGCAATCTCGTCTGTACCCACCTAGTTTACGCGAGTAGTGTCTACACATTTCAATAAAACAATTTTAACGACTTAAAACGCAGAATGTATCAGTTAACTTATGTTTTAATTTAATTAGGCTTATGTCCAAAATTTCGGATGCTTTGCAGCAGTTCCCCCGTGACCACAGCTGCGAAGCATTGTATTTAAATGCCACGTAAGAAAAGTACTAATTAAACTTCCTAAAATCGAAAATCATATTAAAAAGTAAGTAAAAAAGATAGGAAAAAGTAAGACAGTTATCCAGAATGATAATTAGGTTTCTTTTATAAAATTATGCTTTTAGACAAACTGAAATAATGTACTAACATATCTAAAGATACAAACATAGACTAATTTTTTGATAAATAATTCTACTCTCAATAATCAATTATAAAGAGCAAGTGATTCACTTTATGTACGGTATCTATCAAAACAATATCTACGCCCCCATAATTTTGAAAGAGGATTCAAAACAAAATAATAAAATAAATTGAGACTTGAATACTTTTCCGTCTAGAAACGTTCGTGTCAGACGGAATTTCGGTATTCCTAAGATACTTACGAAATAAACAAAAACCCAGTGTATCAACCCATCATGTTTTAAATTACCTACCTGTTACCCAAGACCTAACAGAGATATATGCTACGAATGAAACTGGACGAGTTATTAATAATCCCAACCTTAAATTTATCCCTTATTATAAAACAGGTATCGCATTATGTATAATTGTTGACCTTCCAATTACGATTCACGATTGTCCCCGAAATAATCGTGGTCCACTCCATTACCCGTGTTGGAGTGGAGTGACAAATGTTGTGTACGCGAATGACGAAGTACTCTCAATACTGACCCGAGCAATAGGGTTGACACCGGTTTCAAATTTATACAACGAAAGATAACTGTTCTACTACGTTACTGTATATTGTATGTATGTAAGCGTTTTTATACGTTTCTATTGTAGAACAAAAAAAAATCACATTGAAACATGATGGCATTATATAAATTAAACATCGGTTTTAGGATTGTAAAAACTTAACACTAACATTAACATAAAACCTAAAATATTAAAAAATGGCGCATTTGAACCTCTTAGCAATTGAACGACCGTGTCCTACACGTCATTGTCGAATTTTCTCAACCTACTGATACATGGGTTTCTCTCACTATATAATTTCAATTTTATACTCCCCCCGCAAAATTTTTTTTTTGGGGGGGCCTTTTTTTCACGTAGTTAAGAGAGACAGCATGAAACGCTGTGTCGTAAATTTTTTTCAACATAAAAATTTATTAAAATTGAAAGAACAGAGAGCATAGAATTAGGTATATGTATTGTATTATAAATACTATCATTTTATTCTTAAAAATAGTGTATTCAAGAACTAAATGATTCGGAACAAATTTAAGGATAATAATAAAATTGTTTAATTTTTTTTTGTGACAGCCCTAGTTATTGTAGCCCTAGTGTCGATGAGTGCGTGTCAAATGCAACCCGTTACCCAATGATTTCGGAAAAAGCTGTGTCATCGAGAACTTCCAGTCTCCACGCTAATTGGATTTCAATAAAACTGGCAACCTATTTTAAAAATATCAAAACTGAATGTAGATATTCGGCTCTCGATTTATTTTTTACTATGACAACGCCTTAAAGATTATTATTTACTAGAATGAAACTGATTACCCTACATTCTTCAAGTATTTTAATGTTTTTTTCTAGTATTTTTAAATATTGCTTAAGACGTTATTATTCTTATCAATTCTCGTACAAACACATTTAATCTTAATAATTATTTACAAAACATTTAAAAAATATATTTATTTTAAGGAATAAAGAAAGAAAAGCATAATTGTCACTTGATAAAAGGTAAAATATTCAGTCGTATAAAATATATATGCAAGATGCGTTGTCGGCCTATTTCGGCATTGAACGTTTGGATAGTACAGTTTGGATGACCTGACAGTACTTTATTTATTATTACTATTACATATTTGCTTACTTTTTTTAGTAATACAATAATGCAATTGTTCATTTTGTGCTTAATACAAACAATGTAGAAATTAAATTTCTTAATACAATTTTATTATATTTATATTAAACAATACTATGATTTTTTCTGTCTGAAATAATATTATTCATTTTTATATTTACATAAAACAAAAATGACATTAGTTTTTTTGAAACAGTTTTAGGTTTAAAGATTTAATATCTTAAAGATTTTTTTCCTGAGCAACTAGTTCAATTAGAAAATATAAAACCTTTTTTGAAAATAACCTTTTTCTATCTTGACCGACAAACAGACGATGATATTTAAAAATGGAACTTACGTGCGGTTCGGGGGGCGCAACAGTCGCGCCATGTCCGCGCGTCACGCTCCGCTGCCGATGGAACTGTGATGTCCCCTGGAGCATCAAGCTTTTAGCTGGCACTTCCATAGGCGGAGTCTCGCGCATGACACGCCTTTGCACAATGTTGAAAGCCTTTTACCATTATAGGGTTGAGAAAATAAATGTTCACTTTATGATATTGTTCAGTTAAGAGTTTTAAATGTGACTATAACAAATTAGAACGGTTTAAAACGCGAAATATATTAAATAAATTAAAATATACTTTATTCTCTTTAACATTTTAAAAAATTATTTAGATTCAAGGCAATGTAAGAATTTAGTCATTTTTTTTGTTTGTCTGTCTGTTTGTTGTAATTCTACAGAGTGTTCAAAAGAGCAACATAACTGAGTAGAACACCCAAGAAACTCAGTCCGGCTTTTTTTAACATGTCTTATAAACTGAATTTATTGACTTCAGCAGGGAGCAATTCATATTACTCGTTATTGTCATTAAAGAAATCGTTCAGACAATAAAACGCCTTCTGAGATAAACTAAGTTTTATAACTTTCTTAAATTTATTTAACGATGAATTTGAAATCTCGACTGGCAATGTATTATACATACGAATACAATTCCCCGCAAATGAATTAGATATTTTATGGAGCCTATATATGTGTGGGGGAAAAAACAAAACACGCAAGTCCCCCCCCAAAAAAAAAAGGGGGAAAGAAAAAAAAAGTTTTTTTTTTTTGAAAAAAAAAAATTTTGGGAAAAATTGAAAAGGGGGGGGGAAAAAGGGGGGGGGGGGGGGGGGGGAGAAAAAAAAAAAAAAATTAAAAAAAAAAAATTTTTCAAAAAAAAAAAAAAAAAGGGGAAAAATATTTTTTGTGGGGGGGGGGGGGGGGGAAAGGGGGGGGGGGAAAAAAAACCCCGGGGGGGGGGGGCCGAGGAAAAAAAAAAAAAGAAGCGCCTGGTGTTGTTTTTTTTTTTTTTTTTTTTTTTTTGGGGGGGGGTGTTTTCTCCCCCCTACTTTACAACACAAAAAAAAAAAAAAACCCCCTTTTTTTCCTCCTTTGGTTTTTTTTTTTTTTATAAAAAAAAAAAAAAACAACCCCCCCCCCCCCCCCCCCCCCCCTTTTTTTTTTTTTTTTTTTCCTCCCCCCCCCCCCCCCCCCCCCTCCCTTCCTTTTTTTTTTTTTTTTTTTTCTCTGGGGGGGGGAATACACCCCACGCCCCGTTTTTTTTTTTTTTTTTTTTTTTTTTTTTTTTTTTTTTTTTTTTTTTTATTTTTTTTTTTTTTTTTTTTTTTTTTTTTTTTTTTTTTTTTTTTTTTCCTTCCCCCCCCCCCCCCCCCCCCCCCCCCCCCCCCCCCCCCCCCCCCCCCCCCCCCTTTTTTTTTTTTTTTTTTTCCCTCTTATTATTTTTTTTTTTATTTTTTTCTCCCCCCCTAAAAAAAAAAACAACAAAAAAACACACCCCCCCCCCCACAAAAAATAAAAAAAAAAAAAAAAAAAAATATTTTTTTTTTTTTTTTCTTTTTCCCCCCCCCCCCCCCCCCCCCCCCCCCCCCCCCCCCCCCCCCCCCCCCCCCCTCCTTTTTTTTTTTTTTTTTTTTCCCCCCTCCCCCCCCCCTCTTCCTCCCCTCTTTCCCCCCCCCCCCCCCCCCCCCCTTCTTCTCTCCCCCCCCCCCCCCCCCCCCCCCCCCCCCCCCCCCCCCCCCCCCACCCATAAAAAAAAAAAAAAAAAAAAAAAAAATTTCCCCCCCCCCCCCCCCCCCCCCCCCCCCCCCCCCCCCCCCCCCTTTTTCTGGGGGGGGGGGGGGGGGTTTTTTTTTTTTTTTTTTTTTTTTTTTTTTCTCTCTCCCCTGTGTTTTTTTTTTTTTTTTTTTTTTTTTTTTTTTTTTTTTTTTTTTTGGTGGTGGTTTTTTTTTTTTTTTTTTTTTTTTTTTTTTAATATATATACTTCTTCCCCCCCCCCCCCCTCTCTTTTCTCCCCTCTCTCTCTCTTTTTTTTTTTTTTTTTTTTTCCCCCCCCCCCCCATATAGGCATAGCGAAGTTATCCTTATTTCGTAACTTCAAAGTATTAGTTATCTATAATTTATTTTAACTCTACGTTTGGGATGTTTTTCAGAAACTGTGTCCCGTCTTGACCACGGTTTGTTAAACTAAATTGTAAATATACCAAATTTCGCGTTTTAGGCCGTTGAAAGTGTTTTACTTAAATATGTACCTGTGTAGGTATACCTACTACTTCCTTACCAATATCATCATTTCCTAGTGTGGGGGCTAGCACATACTCCTATAATGAAATGTACGCAGTTTTTGTGAATAAAGAATGTGTTTATGTATTTTTAAAAAAATAGTCCCTAGTTATCTAAATGTGTTAGGTAATAAGTACATAATAAATACATAAATAATCGGAAAAATACGAACATCTCTAACTACTTACTTACTTACGAAAATTACGGGTGACCCACGGGAAAATTACGCAAGTAGGTAGTTTTTTATTTTTATTTTTTTTTAAGTTACAACAATTGATTTTCTTATTTAAGTTAGCAGTCCGAATTCACAAATTGTTTTGATTAATGAATTTTGCCGGCCTCGTTGGTGTAATAGTAACAATGTATGGCGATAATGACTAAAGTGGGTTTCGATGCCCACCAAGACTAACATATTTCCTAGCAATCAATTTGTTTTTTTCTAAAACATCTTCGAATGAAAATCTGTATATTAAACGAGTGGTAGGAATATCGACATTCCGTCCTGGCCACGAACCACTGTCCACAGATGAAAAAGCCGTGAAGTTTAATAGCGTTTCCTTTTTTTATACAAAAAAAAAGCGACAGCCCCTCAAAAAACCTAATGTTTAGATGTTACATGGCTGGGATATCCTTTCAACAAGTGAACAACCAATTGTTTCTTAAAACTAAGTTAACTAATATAAATCGTGGTTTAAATCGTTAAATGCGTTTTATTTATGTATCCACGTATTTTGGTGATTGTCAATTGAATTTCAAATCTATTGCTTGTAGATTATAGGTTATACGTAGCTCTAGTTAAACTGAATAATAATAATTACATCCGCCGTTCAATTAAATATATCGAGAGGTGTGCCTCAATGTAGGCGTTGCTTAGCGTAACCACGCCTAATAACAGCGACCCACTTCAGAAATCGCGGCTGATATATTATCTATTTGAGAATATGTGATAAAATATTATGGATGTACGCCTAATGCTGTTCTCGTGACCTAAATAAATCATATTAATAATAATGTAACTAACTGATATATCATAGTATTTTTTATATCTTTATTTTCTACTAAATTATCACTTATTCTACGGATTACTTTTCAAGTTTTGATAGGAGCGACGATTTCTTTGGACGACAGAACCAAAAATAGTTCTCACACGCAGGCAAGCAAACAAAGAAACCAATGTCGTTTGTTGAAGCAAAACCACTCCTATGGTGGCGAATTGCAAGGGTCTAGGATTCGAATTCCAGAGAAAGTACTAGTTTCGGTCGAACAGAGCAAATAACTTTTATCAGTTAGTCGTAAATCGACCAATGAAACAGATGTGAATCATCTGTCTGTGCGAAAAAGCAAGTTTCATGAAAACCATAACATATTTCACACGATTGAAATTTCTTACGGCGAAGAGACAAGAACTATAGTTATGAATTTTGGTTAAAAAAAATTTAACGATGACGTGTACGACACGGTAGGTCAATAATTAGCCATGGCAATAGAGCAGCAACACGGAACGCTGGGGTTGTCAATTTATGACCCGCCCGTCTTTGTCTAAATTGATACTTAATTTAACATCTCTACTTATTATGTAAATTAACGGTTAAAATCCTATTTTTTTTTAAATATTTAATGTCCTGATAACAAGAGTTAAAATGCTAAATCGAGATAACAAAGAACATAGAGAGGAATAAAAAACAAATCACCATAGATTTTTTAGCACTGACAACACTATACATAGACAAGCAGACAGATTTTCTTATTGGCTAAATTTGATTGTATCATTTTGACTGTCAACCAATGAACTATGTCCAGGCAAACAGTGTCAAAATGTCGTCAAAGGTGTAATCGTAGCGAAATATATTTTTGCGTATTTATTTATCCTTCGAGCGGGCGTATTGTGTTTTAATTTATAAATAACCCGTTTATTTTTCGACACTTGAAAACTGCGTAATAAGTAACAGGTAATTTTTCAACGGCAAATAAGTGTAATTTACTTTCTCTTCCTGTGACAGCTGACCATCGTTGCAAAATATCTTGTATTTGTAAATAAAAACAAAGCTGCAATTTCAAATAAATATAAAACGAGTGCGAACCGATGGCGTAAATATTTCTAGTTCTTTGTTCTCGGTTAGAATAGAAGATAGGTTATAATCCTTGTGTTGAATTTGTGAGTCTAAAATAATATTTTTTTAAACAGTTATGGGCGATGAAATGGATCCGTGTGAGTGCTTGTGGAATCATGAGCTGGCTATGCGACGGCTTATATCACTAGTAAGTTGTATTCACTGATGACCTTGTCCCAATTCTTCGTCGAAAATATAAACGACGTTTTGTTCTTATTAGAATGATAATTCGCTATCATAATTCAGTAATAGTCAATGCTAATCTAAGGAAAAGTGGCCACCAGCTACGCATACTAATACTATCAGCTGAAACATATGCATTGCAAACACATAGAGGCTATATATATTTCTTATCAGCAATATTACGCTTATTTAGTTTTGCAGTTTTTTAACAAGCGTTATCATTTATGAACTTGTACAATTTTTTTTGATTGGTGTTTTATTTAAAATTTGCATAAAACTCATTTAGAATGTACTGAATTATTATATCACTCTTTGAATAGACAAGTGTTTTAATTCCATTAAATTTGCATGTTTATTATATATTGAAAGTAAACCTTTATTATATGATATTTAAAACATTTAATATTTTTCAGTCACTCTGTCTTTGTTTGAATAAGAAACTTTGACCAGCCCTTTTAATTAGCAAAAATGCCTATCCTAGCGTTATGCAAGGTTTTCAAATAAAATTGGTCTTTTGGAAACAATTTTTCACAATGAACTTTTTAACTATAAATAAAATATGAAGTGCAACATACACCTATGGGAATACACAAGGACCGGTGGGATTTTAAGTTACAATGGGAAAATGGGTGAAATGGTCAGCTGATAATGTGGACAAATCACATAACTTAATAAAGAAATATTGCTAAATAAAATTCCAGTTGCGCCAAGGCCAAACATACTGCACAGATGGGGAATGTCTAGAGGAATTACCATCCTTACCCCAACCAGAGTCGGCTAGCAACAATTTCCTGTTTATGTTTATGATGATGGCTCTAGCACTTGCGATGTACATGATACGCCCACGCCGCAACCAAATCCAGGATGCTGCGAAGCCCGCTCCAAACTCTCATGTAAGATTGTTTATGTTTTATTGATTACAAATATACCAATATTTTCTACAATCAGTAAAAGTTTGAGTTAATCAATAAGTTATTTTAGGCAATTGTATTAGTTACTTTACACCCACCTATAACTTTTTAGTAGTTAAAAAGAGTTTTAAACAAGCTTAGTTTACTCTTAACAGTTAAAAGTTAGTTAGTTAGACAAGTCTACTTATCTTAAACAAATGTTTCCACCATAATTAACTGTTTGATGTATGCTTTTTTGTATTGTTGTTAAAAACAATTTATTATGCGCTCTGTTCTTACGGAAAACAGAACATGAATTAAGAAAGTTATGACTAAACATAGAAACATGTATTTGGTCAGGTTTTTACCAGAAAATTTTACTACAAATACTCACAAAGATTTAGGTAACATTTACGTCCCATTGGTGGGACCAATATCATTTAATTGTCATAGAGCTGACTTAGTGATAAAAGGGGTCATAAGTTTCAATCCCACAAAACAAAGTTTTGCACACAGGGCATGGCGGTCAGATTAACTATTTTCTGTAAATAAAAACTGATCTGCTAATCTGCCATTTCCTAATAAACCGTGTTGTTTATAATTACCAATCAAAAACCTAACAAAGTTAAACCGTGAATTTCATTATCAAAGTGTTTTATCAATACCGTTTTATGTAATTCTAGATCATTGTTAATGTTCTATATGTTGACAACATATTACGACACTGACACATTAGGGAAGTTGAATAACAAGTAATTATTCTATTGTGTTATTTTAAAAGGCAGATTCCTCTCACCTTGAACTTATTTCGTCGCCTTGTGTGGCTTATGGATGTTGTGCATTATTTATCACGTTCTCATTGTTTTTAGTCTTAATCGTAATTAAACACGTTACACACATACCAGTACGAAAAATATATCTATTATAAAAAAACATACACATTACACAATGAAAAATTGTTGTTATTTAACATTTTGGTAGAAAAGGACTTAGCTCACATGAGGTTTTAGAATCATGTAATATATAACAATTTATATTAATTTTTTCTATATATACTCTTCTTTCTACTAACTTCTTAAATGTTTATGTACTACTACATCTAGCGAAGGGCAGTCTTAATGTATTTACGATACTAAGTACCTACATAGTCATCCTATGTTATAATTCCAGCTAAGCTGTCTTTCCTTGAGACATCCTACTAATTATATGAAAGTTTGTATGTTTGGATGCATGTTTGTTATTCTTTTTCACGCAAAAACTACTGAATGGATTTCAATTAAACTTTCCAATAATATAGCTTATACATCAGAATAACACATAGGCTACAATTTATAAAGACATTGTGTGAGCTGACCAAATTATGACATTAATTGTAAAGTAACTAGGAAAAAACCTACCTTTGAGCGAGCTATTCTGCGCTGCCATAAACGTTAGTTACACATATTTATGTCATAATGTTAGTTCTTTTTTACGCCACGCTTATATAAGCTACTCCAAATACTAATACTGCGTAGATGAAGTCGCGGGTACCAGCTAGTGTTAAATAACAAGAAATGTGGGTAGTTTTCTTGTAGGGCTATCAAACATTTATTTTAATTTAATACATAAAATGAATCCCTGAAGTACTTTGCTTCCTGTTTCATCACGTTTCTTATTATTCCAGGACCGTGACGGTGCGCCACCAACGCCACCTAGAATTTAATCAACGACACACCACAGGTTCGTCGAGATGACAAATATTTAATCGTAATATGTATTATATATATATAAATAAATAATATATTATAGCTTATACAATAACAAACATTCATTGTAATAAGTGTAAGTTAATTTAAGTGTTAAAGCGATAACTCGAATAAGACTATTGTTAGCATCTTGCCTATGAAAATTTAAAAGTATTTAACTATCTCATCATTCCATATTTTCCCACTTCTAATTTAAAGTTCTTGGTGCTATTGTTTATTTAATCTGACGAATTGTTGTTGAAAGTCAATTAGGCTTTTACACACGAGATTGTTAAAAACTTAAAACTGAATAAAATAAAAGCGATTAAACGAGGTTCACAAATGCAGCATCACAAATCGAAACAATAATCAACAAGAGTATAGTAATTACGGATCTGATGGAAATATTTTACTTTTTAATTTTTCACAGCACGTTTTTTTATTTGCACTCCTGCTCATAGACAATTTATATAGACACTGACAGGTCAAGCAACAATAACAGTGGTTACAATGCGTTTAACAAAAGTGGTCTTGAGTTTAGTATCATGGCAAGATAAAGAACTCATAAGCCGCCACATATATGCTTAGGTTTAAATGAATTGTCTTTGAGTATTAATAAAACGACCGACGCATTCTGCGAATTTGTGATATTCCATTAGTATTAGAAATTGTCGCGGGATCGGGTTGAATCATTATAGAATAATTTCATTATACACTTTTATTTGAGATTGTATTATTATTCAGAGAAATAAAATGCTGTGGTATTATAATGTTGTTTTATTGCTCGCAAAGTAATTTAGCTGTGACTTCATCTATCTGCCCCAAAACATATGTTAGGGGCCAGCAGATGCTCCTGCTTCTCTTTGTGTAGTGCAATGTACCCGAAAAGTACTTAGAAATTACTCTAAAATTAAACAAATGAAATAAAACTGCAATGAATAGTGTAAAATCTAAATTTATTTTTAAAGATGTCTTAAATAAAATGTACTTTTGGAAGAATTGTTTCACTGTTTACAAAGGCAGTGTAATAATTTTATTTCTGTCGATACAAAAATATATTCCCCTGAATGTATTGATTTATAGCGGATGCGCCAACTACAGATAGCAATAAACTTTCTCTTAAAAATGCTGTATGCTGAATACATGATTAATTTTCACATGATGGGATTATAGAAATATAAAATCTCTTAAAATTGAAAAAATTATTGACTGGCAAGACTTGAACCAGCTTTTCAACAAACTGTACTGCTGCAAGATCAGTTGGTCATTTATACAATTTTTTTTGTATCTAATTCTTACAAATCCTAATGACTTCTAAAGAAGCAGAGACCGTTTATACTTAGGAGTCATGATTTAAAATAAATTTACCAGTACCTACCAATCTTATAATCGGTCAGGTCAAAAGATAAAACTAAGATTTGGCTTGATTTAGTGTCTACTCTGTTAAAAAAAGTAGAACGCTATTCTTAGTCCAGCTAAAAATCCTCTATAACTCAATGCCTCATTAAAGTTGGCGCATCCACTCGCTAAGTAAATATACCACCTCTTACAAGGTGGTAGCCCCCAATCATGACTCTTGTATCCTATCCACTTCGCTTTTCACTTTCTTTAGCAGGCTACTGATCTTTTTGTACTTACCTGTCGAGTTCGGCAGGTTCTCGAAATTGATGACGTCACAGATGTCTTTCGCGAACTTATCGTCGCTTGGCAGCTTCTCGTAGGGCGAGGCAATGTTCATAATGGGTGCTCCGTAGTGGGTTTCTCTTACTTTACCGGTTTTCGCGTCTGGCGTGTGTGTATCGTTGCCGGTTTTGTGAAGCGTAACGTCTTCGCCACTTTTTGTATCAGCACCACCTTTGCTGATTGATACATCTGTTGTGGTTTTCTCCTCTGAAGTATGTTCATCTTTGCTGGTCGTTGCGCTTGCAGTTTCTGTATCGTCTGATGTCGTAGCATCTGCTGCTTCTATTTCTTTATCAGTTTTTGGTAAATTTTCAACTGCATTTTCACTGCTTTCGTTTTCTTCCCTAGTGTTATTTGCGTCTGAAGGTCTCGTCTCGTTATCGATTTTTGTATCTGTAGTTTCACCAGATTTTAGATCTTCAGTACAAGTTGGCTTTTCTATAATTTTGTCATTCTCAATAAATTCAACTTCTTTATCGGATTCTATAAGCGTATCATCTAAGATTATAACACTGTCGTCCGCAGTGCCGCGTGATTTATCAGACATTATTTCCTTGATAGCATCTGTGTCTGTGCCAGAATCAGTGGTAACGTCAGCGTTGTTAATAGCATCTAACAGCTGCTGTTTTTTAGCTTCTAAATCGTCAATGGTCGGGCTATTACGGTCGCTGCTAATGAAGGATATTTCCTGAAAATTACAATTTACATATCTCATATAAAATACAAACATAGATTTCTGAATTTTGTACATAAAATGTACATTCTGTTTGATTTAAAAACTTTCGAAATATTCGGCCCTCGTAAAGATTGATATTGGCCAGTCTTCGATTAGTCAAGGAACGCAATTCTCCTCGTCATGACCATCCAGTTGTGATGACGAAACGTCAAGAACTACTTCGTTATTATGACGGTAGAACAATCTATTAGAAAATGTTTTTCTGATTTTACATATATGTTTACTACCAATGCTATCGTCATGCTTGCTTTGTCGTATTTTTACGATGTTTTGTGCTATTCTAATGTATAAGACTTCTTTAGATAAGAGTACAATAAAGAATTATAAGATAAATTTACGTGTTTGACTTACATCATCTTCGTCAATCGTTATTAAATCATCCTCAGGCATTGGTATATCTGGAACTTGCATTACCTCAACAATTTCTATATCGTCAAGTGATTTATTATCTGTATCTGTGTCTCTATCCATAATTTCAACTATGATTTCTGGTTTTGTCTCTGGTTTGTTGGGTTTCTCTGGCGGAGGTGGTGCAGGAGGTGTACCTGGAGGAAGAGGCGGTGGAGAAGGTGCTTTTGGTGGTTCTTCATCCGGTAACGGAGGTACAGATGGGAATTCTGGAATTTCTGTAAGAAAAAGTTTCCTTAAATACGGTCTATAGTTTACGCGAGTAGTACACATTTAAATAAAACACTTTAACGGTTAAAAACGCGATCCGTCCTCCCTATTATTAAAACACCGAAATTTAAACAGGGAGGACGTCCTCAAATTATCAAACACCTGACGGAACTGAACGGAACATCAACTTCGACGGAACAGATGGCGCTAGCGTAGCAATTTTTTACTTCGACGTCAGAGACATCCTCCATCTTTAGTCTCGTCGTGACCACGGCTGCTGCAAAGCATCCGAAACGTCGGGCCGAAGTTAAAAATCATTTTCAAATAAGTTTAACAAATATATCGCGTTTTAAACCGTTAGTGTTTTATTTAAATAAAAAAAAATACTTGTTATTATTTTATCATACGACGAAATCTATGTACTTCGACCTAAAGAACAATATTGTACATTTGTGAGCTTCGCCATCAATTAAATTAAGATAAAGGCCAAGATTTGCAATTAAGTCTGCCTCATACTTTTCAGTTTGTGTCATGTTTCATACAAATTTTCAGAGGTATTTTTTAGTATATTACCATCTCCACTATCTAGCTCCATCTCAGCCTGACCTTCCTGTGAATTATTAGCTGAAGAAGGGAAAAGTGTAAGTTTCTTGCGCTTGTATGCTTTCATGGCATTTGGTGCTAAACGCTGTAGCATCAAAATTTTACTGTCCTCCTCGGACATTGGTGGAAGACCATAGAGATGTGATTCCTGAAAATATATTTACAATAATATTGATTGTAATTTAGTTAATACATACAGATGCATTTTGCTAGAGCGAAAAGGAATGCAGTAAGAACATAAATTACTAGCTGTGTCAGCGACTTCGTCCGCGTAGAATAGTTATTTTAAAAAGATAGATCATTTAAAGAGGAATCATTCTTTCATACACATTTTTTGGGTATCTTAAAACGTTTTTGCAGCGTCCGCCTCGGAAACCCATAACGATGAATAATTTTCCTGTTTTTTTTTTTCACATTTCTCGCCGTATCTTCGCTTGTACTTGTAATATGTTCATTGTGTCTCTAGTGTAAATAAAGTATTGCAATATCTACCTCCATATACTTAGAGCTGGCAGGAACATTAAAACCTGGGAAATCCAGTATCTTCTTTATGTCATACAAATCTTTAGAACCTGGTTCTGAGACCTCACCCTCTTCTTCATCTGGTTCAAGTATCCTTGTACCCTGTAAGTTGTAAGACTTGTTAATACAGAATGGAAGTTTCAGATGTGAAGTGAGAAGTCTATTTCTCATCAGTTTTCTTGTATCAATAGGTGCAATGTGTTTACAAAATCAATTTTTGAAACACAATAAGCTTGACAGTTTGCCACAAAAAATATGTCTTTGTTTACTATTACTAAGTTAAATGTATGTATACATACATTTAACTTAGTAAAATGTTATTGATGTCTCAACAGACATCTTACAACAATTTCTGTTTAGACAAAATTGTATCATTTATATATTTCTCTTTATCAAAATTAAGACAAACATATATAGCAACTCACAATATAGCAGAATATGTTCTCAAAAAAATTAAAAACGAGCACATTGAGATAAAATGAATGGATATTAGGTTTCGAAGCGGGACACTAATTGAGAGTAGGATAAGAGTGTAGTCGCTTTCAGTCGCTATCCTAAATAGAACATATTATAGTCATTATTCACAAAAAAAACTCACTGACGAATCAAACATGTTTATGCCAGATGGCAAGATTTTTGCTTCCTCCATCCAACCACAGGGATAGCCTAAGAGCCTCATTCTGTATATGTGCAATGGTAACTCATATCGTTTTAGCCCCAGAGCATAGCGTAACTGCCCTGATATTCGTCCTGGTATCAAATGCCCATATTTTTGATCATCTTCGACATGGTAACGCCTGTAAAGTAAATATATTATTAAATAGTCTAATAGATATTGAGGAATGAAATCCATTATATGTGAATACATTTCTACCTTATAATTGTATAAAAAAATGTTTAATGGGATAAAACTCAGAAAATATGAGTTATTTTAACTATGGAATACTGCAAAGCTTCCGAAACGTAGGGTCATTATTAAATTAAATTATGTACTGTGCGTCATATAGTAATTAATTTTAAATATGTACTACTCACATATACTACAGAAACAATACTAGAATAACTATTTATTTAAATGTTTAAAAAAAAACATTCAGTTATAGTTTACAATGCAATCTAGCATATATTTCACTAAGAAATTCTTCTACATATTATATAAAAAGACTATAATTACTTTAAAATTATAAAATGTTTTATAATAAATAATATAAAACTAACCCAAGTTTGACACCCATATTCCTTCTCTTCTCTGCAACCCTTGCGTGGTTTCTGGGCTTTGGACAATCTTTCAATTGGTGCTCCCCATCACAATTAAAACAAACAAACTGTGAGCGCACTGGACGGTTATCACTGTTTTCTTCCACAGGATTATTTGAAATTGATTGTGATGCCTTGAATAAAACTAATTAGTATGACACTTCTATATGGATACAATTTGAGTATGAATCAACTTACCTTTTTATACATGGGAATTTGGACATCAACATTATTTGGGTCCGTATCAATGAAGAACAAATTATTATCAATTACAGGAGGTGGTGTTTGTATTCTAACTTCTTCTTCAAAGTCTTCTGGCCAAATGTCAAGTTCTATATCTGAATCGCTATCAATATTGAAACTTTGACTATCATGCAATTTTATTAAGTCTAGCATAAACTTCTTAATCTTTGTCTTGTATGCCTTTGCTAATTTGTTGTCTTTAAAACGTACGCTTACTAACGGCGCCCTACTTACACAACCATCACCAAAATCTGGTGAATCTATATCTTTATTAAATATTGAGTCTGTATTGCTTTTCTTTCCATTGTCATTTGAGCAATTCGTATTATGTATAGAATTATTTAAAGAGACCGTAGAATCTATTTTAAATTTGCAAGTGTCGTTTTTCCCTCCATTTTGAGAACCGATATTTATTGCATGTTTATTCTGTACACTGGACGTTTTGTTCTCGTCATTTGGTTTGGATATTTTAGTTTTGGTTATTTTATGTTCATCATCACTGCTTCCAGATAGATCTTCGTTACTTAATTCATAAATTATGTCGTTCACGCCAGCTTTCCTCTTTGCCATGATAAATATATAACAACATTAACTGTGGCAATATATGTTAATTAAAAATTAATACTATTTAAAGCTAAGGTCTAAAACTTGTCAACTTAAACTTTAATAATCCGCTTGATTTTGGTGAAATAGTAAATAATTGTAGGTTGTTTACGTTTTGTACAACAGAGATATTTGACAATGGACATATTATTTTTGACCTAATTTGTTGTGACATTACACTTTTACACAGATTTATTACATCTTCTTCTTTACTAGACGTGTTTTCATAGACTACAACAAATACTCTGTTAGTCTTTTAATGTAAGATATTCTGTGGAGAAAATGTATTTTACTAAATAAATATTAGGTTAAGTTAATCAATGGTTTAATAATCTAGAATTTCTTAAAATTTAAACAATGTCTCTTCTAAAGTTTGCTCGTAACAATACGAAACATGTATTTAATATGCACAATGACACTCAAGCTATATTCATTTCCAGCAGAAAATTAAGCTTAGTACCTTCTTTTTACGGTTTGTACACACGTTCGAGGGTTATTTTCAGTATTCTGTAAAAGATTAACTATAATAATTTATATACCGAACATTTGTAGATCAAGAAAATCCAGCACCAAAGTTTTTTTCCTCTGGAGTTCAAACTTTACTAAAAAGGCTGACGAGACCCGACTTCGCAAAAGTGTTTCGTAAAAGAGCCAATACCAACTATCCTGTGTTAAAAACTCCTATTTACAAGTTTTTAACCGATGAAGAATTAAACGTGGAGCGAGAGAACGCAAATAAAAGTGCTGACCGATTACTACAAATGCCCCCAGCTGTAAAGGTAATTACGTACATGTATATCAATTAAAAATAGGCCTAGGTTTCATTTATTACTGTTTAATGTGTAGCCTCTAATAGCACCCAAGCAGTTTATTAACACACGCTCTGCACAGGCAGAAATAGGTGAAATGGTCAGCAAATGATATGGGCTACTCATCTGGCCTTCTATTGGTGTCCCCAGAGGAATATAATAATTCTTTTAATATAATTTATGTTGGAGGGTAAAAATATTTAAAAATTTTAATATATTTTACATGTTATTCACATGATGGCACTTCATTAAATAAGAAAAAGAAATTCCACTTGCTAGCTCAATTTGTTAAAGCAACAGCACAAAAGTAGTTTTTTTTTTCAATTTGTCTTCAATTTTTAATTTGGATTAATGTATTTAATATGCATACTGCCTTCCTTACTTTTACAATATATATGTTTCAGGTCAACGAACCAACAAATGACGTATTATCAAAGGACCCTGCCTTAGTTGGGTATGACAATTCAACATACATGTTCACAGATATTACTTTTGGCATTGACAATGCACATAGAATTATAGTTCAAAGGTATTTATCATTGTTAAACAAATTAGTTCTGTGATCTGTATACAAATCTTTGTGTAAGCACTTAATCAAATATTTTTAGAAGTCCAGATGGTACCCTACAAAGCTGTGATTATGAAACAAGAAAAAGGCTTAATCAGGTAATACAAATTTGTTTTTATTTTATTTCTAATCTTATTTTATTCATAAAGATTAAGTTTTTTTATTACGAATTAAGTCTTACATGTAGCTTTCACAAAAAATGTTGAAAATATGCCCTTAGAAAATAATGTAATTCATACAATAAACATGCTTGAAAACAATTATATTTTACATGCACATGATGGTTGTATACAAATAACAATCGATTTAAGATTAAATAAAAATTACGACACTGACAGGACTGGAACTGGCATCCACAGAGTTCTATAGTGTTGCATTGATTTTTAATTTCCTTTCATCATGCCTATTAAGCTAAATATTTATGGGTTTGTTGTGAAAGTAAATATTTTCTGTCAAGCAATTTTGCCTGCTTTATCCTTCTTTTCTGATATTGTTTCTGCTTTTTTTTATTTTCTTATTGTGAATTCCTTTTTGTATGATTTTTATTTCATGTAGCTATCAATATTTGTTTACAGATATATTTTCCAATGCAGGGTCGTAAGTTAAGGGAACCAAAAGTATTTTCGGAGACAGAAAAGTTTAACAGTCTCTTGGATAGGGAGCAATATGAATATATATTGGACAGAGCGTGTGTCCAGTATGAGCCAGATGAGAGAAAATACCAAGAGCTGACCAGCATAACATATCAACATCTAGATATGCATAGCAAGTTTAATTTGCTGAGGTATTTGATTAGATTTAAAGTATATATAAATGCCAAAGATTATTATAATTATACATACTACTATTTTCTAACGGGGACTCTGATAGTAGGCCGAGTAATCAGTCCACATTTTCTCTCTGCAGAGGACTTTGGGTTATCTAACTCCCACTGTCCCCTGTCATACCTTCTGGTTGTATTTTAAAATATTATCCTATTTAAAATGCCAAAGATAGTACTACTGTTTTTTTTTATTTACTTGATCCATTCTCATTTAGTAAGAGATTAAAAAAAAATTATCAAACTTATTATAGCTTCTACATAAAGAAAGCCGCTGACCTTGTGAGTTGTGATACAGAGAGGTACTACAACTTATAGCTTTATATAAATTAAAAATCTATTTAGATTGAAAAATAATTATGACACAGACGGGACTTGAAGCGGCATCCATAGGGCTCTGTTCCGCTGCTCTTAGACTATTTACATGATAATGTTTATAAACAGTGTTCCTTTTTTAAGTAAAAGTGTGAGTTAGTATAACCAACCAAACAATTTTTCACTTTGAAATACTTGTTACAATAGATTTAAATAATGTGTACCTTTATATTATGACTAAACTCAAATATTTTATCTTTTATAGGTCAACACGCCACTTTGGTCCCATGGCCTTCTACCTTACATGGCATAAAAGTATAGATAGGCTCATGCTGGAACTAATCCAGAATGGTACTGTGCGAGAAGCCGTATTGCTTGTGGCCCTACGCCAGGCTATTCATGCTGACCTCACAAATGAAGACACCTGCAACACTTTAGTTTCACAGGTATGTATAATTAGGAAGATCAATGCTTGCAAATCTGTTTTCATGCCTTCAGTTAGCTTAGAAGTGTAGAAGCTGTCTACATATATAATGAACAATATTTGCTCTCTGGAAAATACCTCTTATTTACCCCCAAAAGTAAAAGGAAAATAAATTATTTAATATACAAAATTCTTCTGTCACAATGTTTTTTCGCGATCTCCTTCAAGGGCTGAACCTATTTCAATGAAATGAAGTATATACATTTGTTAGGCATGAGAATAGATTTTTTGTCATCGACAACAGCTCTGCATCCCCATCACTGATATACTATGCAATACCTCTCACATTCATTCCTACTAAAGTATTATGTATAGTAATTATATTATGAAAATATTATTATTACTAGTAATAAGTAGCAAAGCAATGTTTGCCAGGTCAGCTGGTAAGTATTAAACCTAAAAAGAAATGCTTTGCTTCCGCCAAACTGCATTTTTTTGTGGTGATTAGCATTTTCAACTTTGTTATTATATTATATGAAATCTTAATATTAAGTAAAGATAATGGCATTTACACTATGGAACTACATTACTAAAGTAAAGAAGTCTCTTCTAAGCTACCCTTTCATTTCCAGATATTACCAAGACCAATCCAGCAAACAAAACCTGATGTCCTCTCCGAAGAAGATATTGCACTGGACACAAAATGCACTGAATGCGTAGACACCTATATCAATACAAACTCCACTATGAAGAGTCAGCAAGCACTAGCATTGCAGGGCTTTAGAGAATATTACCAGCAGATGGTGGATATTAGTCGCGGTTTGAAGAAGGCTCATGGAAATGTTTAAATAAAGTAGTATAAATGTATAGTGTAAGAAGTGTTTTATTTCAACTGTCTCTGTGACTTATTGGTTATTTACGATGCCTTAAAATGCGATAAGCGCGCTAGATCTAGATTCAAGTGAGTCTCACTTCACTCTCGTCCTTTAAACACCTTCTTTACAAACATTTTACACTTTACAACTCTCAAACTTAACTTTTAAGTAATACGTAAAATTATTTAGATTTTAAGTTTCGCACTTTCTGCGCATTCCCCTAATTAAGTTGTTTTACATTATTTTTTTAAGAAGGGTCGCCTGGAAGAGATCGCTTGATAGCGATAAGGCCGCCCGTTACACTCCATACTTTGTAGATATTATTATTATTTTTACTTCATAGTAATTTGAACGTTGTGTAAAAAGTATAAATAAATAAATACTTATACATTTTACTGCTGTATTATTTATGTTACCTAGCACAACTTGCCCCTCTCTCCCCTGAACACCGGAATCTTCAGATATTCTAATCTGTCACTATTTGACTGCATTTTTGATCGCAAAAGGTCATATACATTTTTGGCAGTCCTAGCGTGACGTTGTCGTGAGTCAAGTCATTTATGATGCATTATAATGCCTTTTTACCATTATCCAAGGAATTTTACACCTTTATTAATTGCAGCAGAGAAGAAGGCTGTTAAGAATGGCGTCCACCACGCCATATTTACGTCCCGGTTCGATAGATACATTGGCGATTGGAAAAAGGATTTAAAAGAAGGTTCTTAATTTAATTTAAGAGAGAGACAAAAACAAATCTTATTTATTTTTTATGATTCGTTTATTAGTTTCATACAATAATTACAAGATCTATTTTCTACTAACTTGTGTAAAGACTTTTAAGTAGGTATATGATACTTGATAAGCATTTCTCTGCTGTAAGGAGGCGAAAAATAGTGTCTCCTGAACTTAACTCTGTGTATCTACTAGTAGACCTTTGAAAGTTTAAGGTGTTCTGAGTAGGTGAAATCCCATTTCCCCCGTGGGATATGCAGTGAATACATTTATGGGTCCGTTTCATTAATCGGTTATTTTGTGCCCTCTGCTCTATCGAAACAATCCATTGTTTCTCCAGTATATGAACTCAGGACCTGTCACGCTTAACGCAATGCAAGGCAACACGTTTGAACATTTAGCTACAGAGGCGGTCGCTATGCACAATATATGAACAGGTGTACGTATATTTTATACCAAATATTTAACTATTAAAAACTGAATTAATAAATATTTTATTGTGTGACGTAGGCAAAGGCCGATTTCTAACGTGCACGGGAAAACTGTATGAAGGAGACTGGTATCAGGGCTTTAGGTAAGCGGTTACAATAACAGTGGTAAGTTCTTTTGCGTCGAATTCAGTCTGAATTGATTTGGTACAATTTAATTTTTTATACCCTAGGTATATAGCATTTTAATAACAGCTGGAATCTAAATTTGTTAATATTTTTAGACACGGTAACGGAACCCTTAGCAATAAGCTACCAAATGGGACGTTCCAGCTGGAGTATCGCGGAGAATGGGTTAGAGGGAAGCCAGAAGGCGCCGGCTGGCGTTACTATGGAAACGGTGATGTTTATTTCGGCTTTTGGAAACGGGGGCAGCGCCACGGTTACGGCAAGATGTGGTACACGAACGGTACCATGTACGTCGGGTACTGGAATATGAGTAAAAAGGAAGGACTGGGAATGTTCATTCAAGGTAGTTTGAATTATCAAGTAGCTATAGGTGTCAGTTCAAGGACGTTTTCTGTAGTTAACACGAGTAGTATTGATTAAAATAACCACTTCTAATGCTTAATAAGATAACCATGACCACGACTGCTGGAACTTCTGGAAGTATCCGAAATGTCGTACTTACCCAGTATAATTAAATAAAAAGTAAGTTACCTAAACCTTGGATAATTTCTACAACTTTTTGATGTTAGATGACGCAGGGACATCCATTTTTTTAATCATACGTCACTTATATTATCCCTGCATTAAAAGTTTAGAAGATTATTACAAAACGGACGGAGACTTGAACCGGCATCCATCCGTTCCGTGCTCTAACCAATTGACGTCCGTGTCGTGAAATTCTGTCGATCAAAAATTAATTTTTAACTTATATGATATAGAAGTTTTAAACCGTTTTCGTTTACAGAAAACGGTAATCGTTATGAAGGCCATTGGAATCAAGATACGAAACACGGAATCGGTAGGTTCTACCATTTACACACTGGCCAGTTGCAGGAGGGCTGCTGGGACCGGAACATCTGTGTAATGTCCAAGATAACTGACATTGAAATACGTCAGTTCTGCGACTTTCCTACGGAATATCCAATAACAACTGTAAGTAAGCTCCTTTCGTAAATCTCCTGACTGTCTATTTTCTTGCTACCGTTTTTATTTTCTACCCTCAATAATGAATGGTTTGTTATTAAGTGAACAGTTAGCTGCATTGTTAAATGTACCTTCAGCAGCTAACTGTTAGCCTAGCATTATTAAGTATGAGAAGTCCTGGGTTCGAATCCCCGGGGGACAATGGATTGTTTTGATCATATAAGGCCCAGAAGACTGATTATTATTTGTCTGCGAAAGAACCTGTGACGAACACAAAAATGTATTCGCCCTACTCAGAGAAACGGGATTTCGAATGTTATCGAGTGGTTATTTTCTTAAATAGAAAAGCGACTAAAGGAATAATAAATCAAAATAGTAAATTAGTACGAGAATTATATATACATATAACATAACATACTTATCATACGTTGTATTTTTCAGGAGTGTCTAGTGGATGCTGAAAGTATTCTAGAGGACAGCAAACTCTGGCTTCATCAAAAACTAGGGAACATAGACGAAAAATTAAAATTTTGCATAAATCAAATGTAATTTATTAAAAATCGATATCAGATCGTCGAAAATCTTAACTATTTTTGTCTATATTTAACAGATTTACATTATCGTATAAAATACATGAATAAAACATAGGTACAGGTTTGTCGATGGTTTTAATAAACATCCCTCGTCACACTAAAAATTTATTAGCAATTATGAATTATTTAAAACGGTGAGAACCATATTCACATAAACACAATATAGGTAGGTCCTTCAAAATCTTTAATTTTACAATAAAAATAAATAAAAACGTCTAGAGTGTTAAATGTTTACAAATAAAAATTGCTAAACATGTACTTAAAGTAAAAAATAATATATTAACATTTGCTTATGAAGATAGAAATATAGTTTTCTATTAAATATAAAAATGGAGTCCAATAAACAACCCATTCCTAATATGTATTGAATTAAATTTATTGAAATAATATCTTCAGTAGAGGCTATTTAAGCAAATTTTACATCGTTAAAAAACGAAAGAAATATATAATTTGTGACAAGACTCTGAAACAAAGTACAAAGGCAACTGTAAATTAAGATTATTAAGATAAATTTTTTTGGGCAAACCGATTTTATTTCAAAAAGTGATTTTAAAGAATGGCTTGCCAAAAATTAATTTGTAAATCTAAATTAAATAGTTGTTTTATATATATAAAAATTCATTAGAGAGTTGCAGAGATTCCATAATATAGTTTTTCGTCATACTTAACCAACAACACGGATCTATATTTATTTAGAATATCTTACGATCAGGTCATGTAACGTGGTCTGCTACATTCAGATATCTATCGTGGGCATCAAATATCATCTTTTAACATACCATGTTATCGAGGAAATAAGTAGGGAATAAACATTTTATTTTTGTCTTTTTCTCGATATAAAGTTTAGTGAAAAGCTTATCTATTAACAGTAGGGAAAATAAATTATTACAAGTGTTGTGCCCATCAGCACCATTAAATAAGTACAATTTAAGTATATCAGTTTCATTCTAACCGCTGTCAATTAAACACGATTAAAACAATATATTAAAAATTAAATAACATTCCCATTAAAATATAACCGTGCATCATACGACCCGCGCTTGGTCGATCAAAGTAAGGTTGTTCATCCTGGAATCTTGGTCACCTAACTCTATTTGCTCCTTAAGAAATTCCAGCTCCTTTATACCACAATTCACCACCTCATACTTGTGAGTTGCTAACGACATGTAAAAATGTATCGCGAAAGCTAGAAACACTATCATGACTGGTATTAAGAGAACACAGGCAGACCAAGCCGCTGGTGGGCTCAAGTCATAGAATTTCACCCAGCATAGTATAGCAATTTCTACCAAGAACAATATGAGACCCAAGAGAGTGGAGAACGCCCAAGCAATCTCTATGTACCAATGTAATCTTTCGTGTGGTGATTCATGGACTAATGATATGCTGTGGAGGTTGCCTATAGCTTCTATATTTGGTAGAATGCATGTACTGATCATTAGTGCTAACATGTGAACGGCTACCAAGAGAGTGGTGCATACTGTGAATGCCACCAACATACCAGCAGGAACTTTTGTGGGTGTGTTTAGTTGGACCTCGACCATGGCTACCTGTAATGAGTTAAAATAATTACAGTTCACTTTAGTATAGGTCCTGTGAAACATTTTAGTTAAGCAAACCAAAATAAATGGGGAAAATGTCCATCATCTCAAGATGGTGACATCCACTTGTGGTAGCATAATGTTGAAAACCGATCTGACTATGATAAGATTAAGAGAATTACAAGATTATAAGTGGGAGTTTTAGTAATAGGAATAACTAAAACTAAGTAACTAACTTGTTAAATGCTTCCCTGCGAATCATTTAATAATAGAATGCTCACCATAGCAAACCCAGATAGTAACGCTGATGTTTTACTGGAAGCTTTAAGTTTGGCTCGGCTAAGTTGTAGTTTCCTCCATGATAAATATGCTGGCGTGTGCAGCGCATCATCAGACTGAATTGCAGTTTCGTTGGCCATAGCGCACTTATGCTGTTGAAAAGAAAAATTACTAAATCATTAAACATTAATTAAAAATGGTTTTTTTATACAATGCCATTTAATTAAATAAATTAAAAAACAAAATAGGATTATTATTCGAAGTTTAATTCACTTTTGTTTCTAAAAGCCCTGGTTATTTGTAATAGGTAAGAAGTCAGAACCAATTTTCATAAAATTATTATACTCTAGAAAAACATTACATTTGGATAATAGGTATTTTGCAGTTGTAGTTTAATAATAGCCTAAAAGAACTTTTGTTTGACACTATAGCCTAATAGTTGAACCCATTTCCTAGTGTTGCATCAAGTACAAGACGTTCTGGGTTTGAGTACCAGGAAAACAATTTATAGTTTTAGTTGAGCTAGGAACAGAAGTTTGACAAACGGATTGCCTGTATCTAATTCAATAAGTGAGATACAGAAACAAGTATGCCCTATGTACCACAGGGGATAAGGGACATCACTTACAACAATAATCTTTGAACTTTATGGTATGAAAGCTATGGAATGTAGTGCCGCTAACGAGCAATTCGTATGGCAAACGTACCTGGCAGTACATGTTACCTGTGTACTTGAACAGTAATACACATGACATGCTGTTGGATAGGCCGGATAGATGCAGGGGGATTTTAAAGAGCTTTTATAGATGTATGTCATAAGGTAACAAAGCCGGTTCGCATAAACCGACAGACGGTTTCTTTACCAGTTTAATATTGTAAAATAAAATTATAATGTAAAAGAAGTTAAATAAAATAAATAAATTTTATTTTAAAGATAATACCGTTAAAAATCTGCAGGTCATAGTATGGTAAATCTAGTAGAGTGACTTGTAGATTATATAGCTACTAAAATGATCAAAAGTAAAAAAACCTGATGATTTCCTAAACCTTAGTATGATATAAAAACTTGTCACTTAGAATTATAATTCAAGGTAGAATATACAAAACCTTGTTAGAGTTATGTTTACACAACGTAAGGTGACTTGCATAATGCATTATTTAAGCTTAAAACAATTTTTAAACTTTATCAAGATTTAACTTATTTTACAAAGTGTAAAGTTTCACTTTGTAAAATCAGTTAAGTCTGTTTTTTGTTCTATAATTGTTTTGAGTGTTTATAGAAGTGCATACGGTTTGACAAACATAATATGAAAACAAATAACAGATGGTATGTTTTTGTGGGAAGTTATATACCACAGTATTAACCACAATTTTACAAAAGATATTAGTTAGATAAAATAGAAGCAAGTAAGAAAGTTTGCTTTTAGAAATATACAAGTGAATTCTGTTGTAAGAAATGCAGGTGAATCAAATTAATTCAATGACGATAATAGTAAAATCAATAACATGTTATTGTAACCACTCTTACAACACCAACAAGCACATCAAATTAATAATATGTAATAATCAAAAAATTTAACAAATGAAAACTTAATGTATTAATGAAATGAAACTAGTCATAAACCCAGCCAAGTGTATCAGAGGACTTGTTTCTGTGCAAAACTAAGACAGCATGCAAAATCAAAGCTACCAAATTTGATTTTAAAAAATCTTTTAGCAAAATATAAGTTTCAGAACATGTTCCGTATTTCTTCCCACAATATATACTATATAAAACTCACATTTCGAGGAGTAGTAATTCTTAGATTCACTGCTAATATAAATAAAACCCCTCTTTAATAAAGTGATCTAACAACTCAACAAGACAATTTGCTCGTTAAATTTAGAAGCTCAAAGCTACTATAATTAATCATAAAGGTGAAGTGCATTACAACAGTATTAATAGCTTCTCATTAATGCAAATTTTATCAATCTAGCAACTTGGTCATGTGCAAGCCGTTTTTAACTAGGGGAGTCATACCTTGGTTGGATTTGGACACCAATTGTTAGAATGATATCGACTGGGGGGATGCCCGAAGTGGTAATTATTGCCCACTGTACTGGCTGACCAAACCGACATACCTAAACAATACACGATAGACCTTCAAGCCGACGAGGTCACTTGATAATGTTTCCATATAGTTCTAAACACTACTATCTCTATAAGTACTAATCGTTTCTGGGATATCAAATAAAACGCATGCACTAGATCAATGCCATTTTGAATTTAAAAAGGACATCTATAGAAAGTTTTATCACAACAAATGGTGTGTGTAGGTGCATATAAAATATTTTAACAATGTCACAACTTACACCTGTTTGTCAAATGCACAAAGTACAGAATATACTGTTATATAAACAGACTATAAAAACAGATTGGCAAATGAAATTGTCACTGTCAAACGTCAATGCCAAATGACAGAGATAGATATTGTTGCTTTCTCATTTTTATTCTAACGGTATTGCGTCCGCACGGGAGTGCCCAAGAAAGTACGTCAGGCATTCGGAGTTTGGACGAATAAGAATGATAAGTTGGTTGTCTTATTTGTGGATAATGTAGGTCGGATAAGCTGTTTGTTTTGGTTTTTTAGCGATTCGGTTCGTGAAGAATTAGTTAAAGGCTTATGCCCATTGAGATTTCGAGTGCTATACCATTAGCGTGACAGGGGTGCTGTAAACATTTGATTTGTGCAGTGTTTAAGTGGCTTCCGTTTGTTGTGTCACCATGGCTGAGGCTGCAGCTGCGACCACCACTAATCCTAACGCCGAAATTGTGCGAGGACAAGTGTTTGAAGTTGGTCCAAGATATAAGAACCTGCAGTACATTGGCGAGGGGGCTTATGGCATGGTTGTGTAAGTATCGACTATCGTAAAATTTTCAGTTCTTCAGTCTCTTATACTGTATTTATAATAACATAAAGCAGTTTAGAAGCGCAATAAATATTGCATTACTTGAATAAATAGGTATTTATGCTTTATTATTATTTATCTCTGCGGTCTAGTGTTTGATCAAGATAATATAAGATTAGGTTGATATATATTAGGGATTTGCAATTACATGCTAAACTTGTTATTGAATTTGATTACAAAGGAGGAATGTAAGATCTTTTATTTCAGCTTAAAAAGATCATATTACCAACTACACAGTTAACTAGTTCGTCAACAAATATAGTAATAGTTTAGTTTAGTACATCAAATTATGTGTGGATTTTTCATTTTCATATACTTAACTATATTAGATTTTTCTTCTACTGTCAGTAAACATTCAAACATTCAACAACCCGGTCATTTTCTATTTGATTCTACTTGGAACTTAATATGTTATATTTTGAAGATTCTTTCCTAGCCTTAACATAGAGTTAGACCTAATGTTTTGTATGACGGCTTTAAGTGTTTTCTTTTATTGCTTTGCTGTCTATTCAGAAAAACTGTAATTACCGACACTGAATATGCCAATATTTTAGAAGCATTCTTACAATTTACTCAGAATGCTGACTCTTAATAACTTGTTTGTGCTGAGTTAGAACACAATCCACATTTTCAGGTACATAATTCTCGGTTTAGAATACTGACATTGTAATTTGACATCTAAATCTTCCATAAAGGTAGCCTGATGCTTGTTTCACCTTCTTTGAGAAAAAAATCAACTTCTAACACAACCGATTGCATCATGATCATGATCCACCCACAATTGTGTATATTATTAATACAATACACTGTTTTATTGAAATTGTTTAGATAATCAATTAACTAAAATGTGGTGTCTACATTTATATTCTTATAATACGGTGTATATAGGCTAATAAAACATATCCAATTGCATTATAATGATTTAATATTTGTGTTTTGCTCATGTCATGTTTTTTTTATTTCACATTGCAAATTCCATATCTGATGTACCTATTGTGGTGTCAAGTTGTATACACATATGTTTTACTCATCATTCCTTCTTCAGTCATTTAGTCATTTTTCCCATCCCAATAGATTTGGATTCTCCTGGCTCTCAAATTATGTTCCCAGCAGAAAATGTATAATAAGTTATTTATTTAAAAATTAAAAATTATAAGTACTTATAATTATCCTATCTAAATACAATACATATTATTTAATCCTATTGAAGTTTTTTGTTTTATTTGTTATGTCTGTGCCATGTAAGTGAATGACATATATTGTAATTAGGTTAGGTTAATGTCACTTTATGTTGTGGGCTACGATGCAATAAACAACATCAATAATTTACACGCGTTTTATTGCATAATAAGTGAAAACGCAAAATCGCCTTACCCAACATAACTTTAGTTTACTTTTAGTGAATCCATTATTTCCCACACCATGATAATTTCGAATCCATTATCTTTAGTTATAAGAGATACGTGATCGCACTTCTAAGTGCGCGGCGACCGTTCAACGAGATTGTACCACATCCGTTTCCATAATAAAGCAATTTTAATTTACTGTATGTTACATACACCAGACTATATTGTGTAAGGTTTGATATCCATCTGTGAAATAATAATAATTCAGTGCCTGAGAAAAATATTTACCGTTCTAGCTTCTATGTCTGTGAAACCATTCAAATGTCCACAGACATTCAAACCCAGGATAATTTTATACGTGTTTAAAAACATTTCTGTCTGCTTTTGAATCAAAAACATTAGCACTAGCTCTTGTCTCGCACACGTTTTTCCACTAGATTGCTCTTAACGCGGACCTCCGGTCAGAAGCAAGGGTTGCCAAGCGTCAAGCCAACCGTAAACATTAAATAACTTGTCACTCTGTTGATTCCGAGGTATGGAGTAAAAAATTAAAACCACTTCCGAAGACCACGTAATTTAGATTGTTGGGGCAATTTCCTGTATCTCTTGACTTCTAGATTGAGGAATTAATTAGCTTAGGATAAGCTTTTTATCGCGTTTTCTACACTTGTCATTTTTGTTTTGACCTTTTTTTTATGATAGAGAAGGAAGAGATTGGTGGAAGATGATCTATCCCAGTCATATAACATTAACAAGTTACGCTGTCGACGTTGGATGGTTTGGGCGTTGGATATTCGGAAATCTACAGACTGAAATCGAGACACTTAAACTTAACGTCTTTTTCAACTGTGGGTGGTAGGTAGTTCATTGTCGTTGCATCGTCAGTGTTCTTTGCTGGTGCTCTAACCACTTGAGCTACCGAGTCCTCATAATAAATAAACATTTAAATAAAACACTTTAACGGTGTAAAACGCGATATATTAGTTAAACTTTTATTTTTAACTTCGTCGGGCCGAAGTTAAAAATCATTTTCAAATAAGTTTAACAGACAGTATAAATAAACATGTTTCAGGAAAATTATAACAAAACCTCTCCATCCGCCGGAAGATGCATCGATCGTCTGGCTTGAGTACATTTGGAATTTCAATCGTAAATATCGCTATCGCAAAATGTCATTTCACAAGAATGTCCCACGTAGCATATCGATGCCGTATCTAATAGCACGGTACGTTTACCAGCGTAATTCAGCCGGCAGCCACGAAGCCATGACCTATCTGACGCGTTATAATATGATTTTGTTTCAGATTCAATTTATCGATATTAACGTAATTAGGCATCGCTCTGCATATGTATACGATATTCACATGTTAAGTTAATATCATTTACCTCGTGTCAGAAAATCGAAATGTATCCCTTTAGACCATCTCCATCGCCAATGTTTAAATAGGTTCCTTAGCAATCGCTAGAGAATAAATAATATGATGGCCAAAGTAAATATACCGCGCGATTGAAGTTGCGTTCACAGCTTCAATAAAATTACTGTATGGAAGATAATAAAGATAATAGATAATATAGGTAATTAACGATGTTAATTTAAATTTTATCAGCCTTAAGACACTCATCCAATTTACAGATTGAATGCCCGTTTTGTTTAAACTTGGAAATCACAGCTTTTGGAAGCCGTTTAAGGCGATAGCGATAGCTTTTGAATCAACGTAATTGAATAAGCCATAATGATTAATATTCAATTGAATTCCGTTAATGCCCTGGAAATTTGAAAGACTTAATGACTTCACTAAACTTAATACAAATAATCAACACTTAATTTGATATCTTCAAGGTCCTATCGCTTTACTGAATGTTTAAATGTCGGGAATAAAATGTATCTTTGCTATATCCTTACTAATATTATAAATGCGAAAGTAACTCTGTCTGTCTGTCTGTTACTCTTTGACGCCAAAACTGCCGAACGAATTTGAATGATACACAGATAGACTACTTTTTATTGCGAAAAGGGGGTTGTAAGGGGTTAAAATGAATGAAAGAGATGAAAGTTTGTATGGAAATTCGTGGTTTTTGAAGCTAGAACAATGAAACTTTCTTCTTTAGCATTATTGGGAAAAGGAGTGGAGTTGTGGCAAAGTAGCACTTACAACATAGATTGGTTGCTATAAATGCCCAATAACATAAATTAGCTCTCACTCACTATTCCACGCGAACGAAGTCGCGGGCACAGCTAGTATTCTATAAGGCTTTTGTGACCTTACTGGAAATTTTTTCGAGGTTCTGGATGGAATTCTATGAAAATGTTCAGCGTTCCTCGGCTCAGCGAAGACACTTTAGTCAAGCAGTGCAAAACAATATCTTAAATATTTTTCTAGGATAGAGCTAAGCTAAGCGATTTCAATATTATTAAATGGTGGTATTCCTACCGGAAAAAAATTTAGATATTCCTATCTAAATTTTTTCCGACTTACTAGCCACCGTCCACATATGAAAAAGCTGTTAAGTGTAAACGGGTTCAAGTCCAAATCCATCAGTCGGTATCCAAAGACGAAGTAGGTCGACATTGCCTCTTGTTTAGTTGTTTCTGGCTGAGGTATTTCATACACAGAACAGCATGGGGTCACCCCATGTTTGTCTGTAATTATGAAAAATAGATTGTTTTACAGAACGAGCTAAAGAGTTCAAACAATTTGTCTGTCAGTTGGTGGACAAATTTAATTGATAGGTTGAATGCCCGACACATATATTATAATTGCGTGTCGGCTTTGAACATTCGAAGTGCTGTAGACCATTACACTTCACGGATTTTCCACCATGGACGGTGGTTTATGACCCAGACTATTTCTATATTTCTTCCAAATAGATTTTCCAGGTCATCCAACATGTTACAGGACAATAAAAAAATTATCAACTATGTTAGTCCCAGTGAGAATACAACCGACGCGTGTAAAGTATTAACGCGACTCGAATTATTCTCTGCAAATACCAACACATAGCTAAATTTAGGACAGTTAGGGAAGATATGATAAAAATATCCGATTCACCATAATACCACGGCGTAAAGGCGATCGCGGAAGTTTAGTTGTTTAGTTGGGTACGTGAGTCACAATATCCCATTGTCATCGCCTAGCTGGATGTCGCGTGTTTTCCTGCTACGAATCGGGACTCGCTCTCCGTATATCCGTTTCGCGAACAATAATGTTGATATTTTTTTCTCATTAGCTTTTGTTTGCGCGAGGTGACTTGAATTAATGCGCTGAGTCATTAGTGCTCGCTACTCCTTTGCCAATCGTAACTTAAATGGTACAACTGTGTGTTGAACGTGGTTTAAAGATTAATTCGTTTAAATCAAACACTTTAACGGTTTAAAACGCGATATATTAGTTAACCACGTATATTAGAGACCACGGCTGCTGTAAACGCATCCGCGAAACGTCGGGCCGAAGTTAAAAATCATTTTGCTTAAAATACAATCAAAAATATGAGCGATATATCGCGTTTGAAACCGTTAAAGTGTTTTATTTAAATGTATACTACTCGCGTAAACTATAGACAGTATTTATACCTATATGCCAGGATTTTAAAAAGTAT